TGCTCTGCTTCACAACAATTTGAATGCTCTCATTCACAACATTCTATTTTATTTGAATTGTTGTGATCGAAGAATATCTGGCTTGCATTTGAATCAAAGCTTATAGTGTAACTTCTCTGATATATATAATATCTTCTCTTGTCTTTCAACGAATAATTTTCTTTTGGCTGAACAAAAATTGGACAAAAACACAATATAAATTTGCAAAGGGTGATGATTAATGATTGGTGTGAACAATGTTTAACATAATTATCTTGTTATTCGTGAGCCTATTGAAATGCATTTGGAACTTTTACTCTTTCTTATGAAAACTTTACGATGCTTTATGCTTCTACTTCAGATAGAATATGAGATTATGGCTGTTGTTGCTCATTTATTTGCTAGAGGTAAAATGGTTAGTTTATCAGTTGTTTTTTTTTCTTTTCTCAATATGTATGTTAACTCTCTTTTGCAATGTCTATCGTTCTTCGTTTTAATATGACTGCTAAAAAGCTACTGATCTTCTAAACAAATTGATTTTATGCTAGATACCCATTCAACAAGGCTCCCCTTTCCAATTAAAATTGGATTTAGTAGCATATTAGCAGTGTGAATGTTGTGATTATACATTTATGTAGTTTTATTTATCATTTTGCTATCATAGTCGTTCACTTAATTTTTCCTCTAAATTAGGCTATTGCTCAAACTCAAAGCCCCTTCTTAATCGAATTGATTTGATGTTATTTGGTTTGCTTTTGAATCCAAACAATTTGAGAATAGATGACTTAACTATTGAGTTCATATTATCATTGAGGATTTCGTAAGAGTTTTCGAATTAATTTGATGTGATTTGCTTTTGAATTAAATATGGAGTTTTGATCACTGATGTTGATGACTAAAATTACATAGATCTTTTAAGCCCAATGAGGATTTCACAAGAGTAATCGAATTGATTTGATGTGATTTGGTTTGCTTTTGAATCCAAACAATATGAGAATAAAGAATTTAAATCTTATTATCATTGAGGATTTCGCAAGAGTTTTCAAATTGATTTGCTTTTGAATTAAATATCGAGATCTGATGACTGATGTTGATGACTAAAAAATACACAGATATCAACACGTTTGGATTCAAAATCAAACCAAATCACATCAAATCAATTTGATTACTTTTGCGAAATCCTCATTGAGCTTTAAAAGCAAACCTCATTAGGATATCGTTGATATCTGTGTAATTCATTAGGATATCAACGCCAGCCGATTGAATGCAAGGGAGATGGTTGAATGCAAGAGAATATGCAGATCTATTTGAAACACAGGGACATCTTTCCTATGGAGAATGTTATGGCTGTAAATCCACATGTTCAGGGAATGTTTAGAGTCGACTGTGCTCTTCAATCGTCACTTCACATGGGTAGAACCTGAGGAGATATATTTGGAAGACGGTAATGTCTTTGTGACTAGGTCTGTGAGACTAAATGGCGAAACAGCACAAGACATTACAAGAAGAACTACACTTGTCCACTATCTACTTTTGGCAGAACCAGAACAATTGCAAGTACAAGGAGAGGAAGACATGGAAGAATTCTAAAGAGGAAGAAGAAGATAATACTCTGTTTAAATATCTGTGTAAGAGTTTTCTAATTGATTTGATATGATTTGCTTTTGAATTAAATATTAAGATCTGATCACTGATGTTGATGACTAAAAATACACAGATATCAACTCTATCCTAATGAGGTTTTCTTTTGAATTAAATATCAACGTTGTCCTAATGAATTACACAGATATCAACGCCAGCCAGCCGGTTGAATGCAAGGGAGATGGTTGAATGCAAGAGAATATGTAGTTCTATTCGAAAATACCAACATCTTTCCTGTCGAGAATGTTATGAATGTACAGGGAATGAAAACACATGGTCGCTAGATCCTATCACGAATGAGCAGACATGAGCTGTCTTCAATCGAGGAGCAGAGAAGATCTGTGCAAATGCAATGTGTGTAATCCACAAGATCCTCCAATTTCCAAAGTCCTTGTGTCTTCAATAGAAGATGAAACAGAGTATCCCAAAAAGCTACTGATCTTCTAAACAACTTGAGTTGAAAAAATTATATGTCGAATGTATAAGTTGATTTTATGCTCGTAACCCACTCAACAAGGCTCCCATTGCCCATTAATTTTTTGTTTTTTATTTTATTTGTGGTAAGAGTAGTATATTAGTAGTGTGCATAAGAAAAGGAAAAGTGTTTTTTTTTTATAAATAAAAATAAGGTAAGCCTTTTTTAACACGGAACGTAACGTATGCATAAAAGATGATGAGAGCAAAAGACAAAACCCTAATCTCTCTGTTGCGGCGTCTGTTGAAACCTTAGAAGAATGACGAAGAGTACGATATTCGATCTTCCACTGAAACTGGTAGGGAAGAAGATACTCAGGAGGGTTCCGTTAGCATCTCTGGGAGCAGGGCGTTCCACTTGCAAACTAAGGAACTCTTTATCCAGAGATTGGATCTTGAGTAAAGCAGCAGCAAGGCAGCAGTTTCTAGGGTTCTTGACGATGAACTCCAAGGTTTGTTCAGTGAGATTTAATCTATTGGAGGACGAGGACAAGGACAATGGAGACCGTGGCTTGGTTGATCTATCTATAAAGCAGGTAGCTGTAGTCGATCAAGTGGAGATATCTAGAGTATTTTACTGCAAAGGCTTATTGTTATGCGCCCTCGAGGACTACTCGAGTCTCATGGTGTGGAACCCGTATCTGAGGCAAACGAAGTGGATCAAGCCGAGTGAAAGCTTCTCGACAAATATGCTCTGGGATACGACAAGAAGAGCCGCAGCCACAAGATCTTGAGGTTTTTGGATGAGGGACACCTTAAACAGCAGAGACTACAAATTTGTGTATGAAATCTATGACTTCAGCTCTGGTTCGTGGAGGGTTCTTGACGTCACTCCTCACTGGGATGTAGAGCCTTATCAAGAGAAAGTAGGAGATGATGAGTGCATCGTAATTGATGATACTCAACAAGAAGATTCATGAGTTTGAAAACTATATAATCTGCTTTGACTTTACAAGCGAGAGGTTCGGACCGCGCCTTGCTCTTCCGTTTCACTCTCCTGTGACATCGAAGAGACTGTGACATCGAAGAGCAGCTCACTGTGCTGTATCAGCGGTACGACACATTACTTGAGGTGATGCATATTTGGGTCACCACTAAGATTGACCCAAACACTGCGTCGTGGAGCAGGTTTTTGAAAGTGAATATGAGACCGCTCGCTGGCTTTCAGTTTCCCTATGATAATGGGAGCTTCTTCATTGACGAGGAGAAGAAAGTCGCTGTGGTTTTTGATGTGAACGACCAAAAGACCGATCATGAGTCCCACACAGCTTTTATCGTCCGTGATGAATATGATGGTGATGGATACTTCAAGTCAGTGAGACTCGGAGCTGTCCCGAAACATTATCCTCCCCCACTTGTGTGCTCTTGTTCTTATTTCCCAAGTTTAGTGCACATCACCCAACGGCGCAAAAGGAAGAAAAGAGATGTTTAGTTCGCCTACATTTGTTTTTTGCATTCTACGCAACAATTAATTTTGTTTCTTACTATTAAACTGCTCTTGGGCTTAATTTGTCTGATGATCCATTATGGATCTTGGGACTTGTTGGTGTATGTGTGTATTAGTCATTTACGTACTTTGTGCTTTTTCCTTCTCTAGTTTTATTTATATTTTTGCTATCATAATCATTTGCTTATTTTTTCACGGCATGTAAACCGGACGATACATTTTAATTTTTGAAGTATTGAATCATAATCCTTGAGCTGATAACTTGATATTAGATATCACAAAGAGGAGAGAAAAAGGGTTAAGAAATGGAGGAAATATAACACGTTATTGATGTCCTCGTATATAATTAGAGATGAAAGAGATAGTGATTTCTTTTTTTTTGTCGGGGAAAGAGATAGAGATTTCATTATCAATATATTTAAGAGATCTATTTTTTTTTCTTCCACTCCCGTTAAAAGAACCAACGTTCTAATTATATAATGGAAACAGTACTTATTTTTAACATTTTTAAAAGGCAAATCAGAGAACTAATCCATCGGATTTTGGGGTTTGACTTTGACATGCAATTTCGTGTTTAAACTTCTCGGATTTTTTTTTTCTGTTCGAGAATGTTTTTGTCCGAGAAAGTAAAACACGAATCGGTAAACTTATGTTAGATTTCAGTTTTGTATGCAGATCTTCTTTCTTCTTCATCTAATCGTGTGTGCTTTAAATTCTCGATTTTGTTTTCAAAACGTTCTTAGCATGATGTTTACACAATTACACTCATTCAACTCCATGTTATTCGGAAACAAATTCAGCATTTGATTCGCTAAATCGTCAATGTAACTTTTGTTCAATCAAATCTCGAAAGCGAAATCTTCTTTCTAAAGGTCAACAGATGAGAAATCCAAGAGTCGACTTAATTTAATGTTGAAACCCTGATTCTCAATATTTTGGGTTCATGCATTAAAAACCCCAAGACTTTTGGTTCATACATCGAAACCCCTGTTTCCTAATTAAGAAGATTACATTTTTAATATCTTCCAGATTCTACCCTCCTGACCTCAGATTTCCTGCCATAATTTCGCAAATATCTATACTAAATCCACTCAATTCTTCACTTTCCCCAGATTTTCCGAGAATTTTTTTCCTTTTCTCGGGAAATCGGCGGAGGTGAAAGGAAAATATCCAGTCACGATCTCCTCTGCTTTCCTCGAAGCCTCTGCCCAGAACCGGTATCGTCACTTCTCTCTTTTCAATTCGGATTTTCAACAATTTGGTTTTCTGGGCATCTTTGTTTTGAAATGTTCTCGTCGGTTTCGCAAATCAGTCGGCATATTATAGAAAAAAGTAATCAACTTTCTTCAGTGTAATGCGTTGAGAGGAGAAAAATGTGGCCTTTCATGTTCGTTTCAGGGTTTTAGAGGTTCTGAGAGTCTGTGGATCTATTCCTTAGGTGTGAATTGAGAAAGAGACAATGGCAGGAGGCGAGAGGAGACGCAGAAGGAAGTTACAATTAAGCAAGCTCTTCACACTAACATCTGCTAAAGCTTGTTTCAAGCCAGCACATTCGCAAATTGGACGATCTGGTTTCTCTCGTGTGGTTTACTGCAACCAACCCGATTCCCCTGAAGCTGTCTCGAGTAATTACTGCGACAACTACGTGAGGACCACCAAGTACACTCTCACCACTTTCCTCCCTAAATCACTGTTTGAGCAGTTCAGGAGAGTCGCCAATTTCTACTTCCTTGTCGTTGGCATCTTGTCTTTCACTCCTCTCGCGCCTTATACCGCTGTGAGCGCCATTGTTCCTCTCACTTTCGTCATTCTTGCTACTATGGTTAAAGAAGGTGTTGAAGATTGGCGCAGGAAACAGCTGGTACTTTGTTTCCTTTTTTCTCTGAGTGGTTGTTGATTGATTAGAGTTCTGAATTCGTTGTTTTAAGTTGGATCAATCTACATTGCTTAGAATTGGTACTGAGAACAAACCGCCTTACTTGTCTTTTTTGTTTAGATCACTCTTTTGCATTAGGTTGCAGATTAAAACATTTCTTGATTATGTGAAAATTCTCATGCTTTATAGGATATTGAGGTGAATAACAGAAAAGTTGGAGTGCACAGAGGCAATGGGAATTTCGATCTTAAGGAATGGAAGACGCTAAGAGTTGGGGATATATTGAAGGTAGAGAAAAACGATTTCTTTCCGGCAGACCTTGTCCTGCTTTCTTCTAGCTACGAGGATGCTGTTTGCTATGTAGAGACAATGAACCTTGACGGGGAAACAAATCTGAAACTTAAACAAGGACTAGAAGCAACCATGTCGTTGCGTGAAGATATTGACTTCAGGGATTTTGAGGCTTTTATCAAATGCGAGGATCCTAATGCTAACTTGTATTCGTTTGTCGGTACGATAGAGCTTCAGGGAGGTAAGTATCCTCTCTCACCACAACAGCTTCTTCTAAGGGGATCAAAACTCAGGAACACAGACTATATCTATGGGGTTGTTATCTTCACGGGTCCTGATACAAAGGTTGTCCAGAATTCAACGGCACCTCCGTCAAAGAGAAGCATGATTGAGAGGAAGATGGATAAGATTATATACCTGATGTTCCTTATGGTAGTTTCATTGGCGTTTTTGGGTTCGGTTTTCTTTGGAATATCAACAAGAGAAGATTTACAGAACGGCATCATGAAAAGATGGTATTTGAAACCGGATGATTCCAGTATCTTCTTTGACCCAAAGAGGGCGCCTATAGCTGCAATATATCACTTTCTATCGGCGCTGATGCTAAACAGTTACTTCATTCCTATCTCCTTGTATGTGTCGATAGAGATTGTCAAAGTTCTTCAGAGCATCTTCATCAATCAGGATATCCACATGTATTACGAGGAAGCTGACAAACCAGCACACGCACGTACTTCTAATCTGAATGAAGAACTTGGGCAAGTGGGTACAATTCTATCTGACAAGACAGGAACATTGACGTGTAACTCCATGGAGTTCATCAAGTGTTCTATTGCTGGGACAGCCTATGGCCGTGTTGTTACAGAGGTGGAGATGGCTTTGAGTAGGAGAAAAGGTTCTCCTTCGGTCAATCAAAGCAATGGAAGTGTTACGGAGTTTGCTGTTGCTGCAGAACCGGCAGTGAAAGGATTCAACATTAAAGATGAAAGGATAATAAATGGAAACTGGGTCAAGGAAACGCATGCTGATGTCATTCAGAAATTCTTTCGTTTATTGGCAGTGTGTCATACAGTCATACCTGAGGTGCATGAAGATACAGGAAAGATCACCTACGAGGCTGAATCACCGGACGAGGCAGCATTTGTTGTTGCAGCAAGGGAGCTTGGGTTTGAGTTTTTTGTTCGAACTCAAACAACAATATCCGTAAGAGAGCTAGACCCAGCGACTGGCCGACAAGTTGAAAGGTTTCTCCATCTTATCTTCTTGATAGTATCATTGTATGCAGGTTCTTTCTGTTGCTTACTCTAGTGAATGTTTTTCCCTTGCAGGCTGTATAAAGTGCTGAACGTGCTTGAATTCAATAGCTCAAGGAAACGGATGTCCGTAATAGTGCGGGATGAAGATGGCAAACTCCTTTTACTTTGTAAAGGAGCAGACAGGTATGAGAGCCGGACTCTAGAAACTCAGATATAAGTCTCTTCTTCGAACTTGATATAGAACTTCTTTTATTGGGCAGTGTCATGTTTGAAAGACTTTCCCGAAACGGTAGAAAGTATGAAGAGGAAACCCGGGACCATGTGAACGAGTATGCTGATGCTGGACTGAGGACTTTGATACTTGCGTATCGTGAACTAGATGAGAAAGAATATGGGCTGTTCACTGAGAGAATCAGTGAAGCCAAGAATTCCGTTAGTGCTGATCGAGAAGCACTGATAGATGAAGTCACAGAGAAGATTGAGAAAGATTTGGTTCTTCTTGGAGCTACCGCTGTTGAGGATAAACTCCAAGATGGGGTAAGCTGCTATTACTATACACAACCAAATTACAGATAGGTGAACTTACTTCGCTGAGTCGAGCAAGGAAAATGTTATTCTTTTCTCATTCTCTCTTTTTCCCTTTTTTTCTAGGTCCCTGATTGCATTGATAAGCTTGCTCAAGCAGGAATAAAGATTTGGGTATTGACTGGAGACAAGATGGAGACTGCTATCAATATTGGGTATTGATTTTTGGGTACAACCTGATAATATCTACAGTCGAGCCTTCTGCATACATTCTTACTCACTCTCTGAACCCTTCTATGTATGTTTATCTTTGACAGCTTCGCTTGTAGTTTGCTCAGACGAGACATGAAGCAGATCATAATCAACTTGGAGACCCCTGAGATCCAGGAGTTGGAAAAATCCGGAGAAAAAGATGTCATTGCAGAGGTAGTAACTTCTTTTGGTACACTGATTTTTGATGGGGAGGGAATAATGTTACTAGTGATCACGTAACTGAACGAATCAACGTGTCTATTTTCTTGTAGGCATTAAAGGAAAATGTCTTGCGACAGATAATTAATGGAAAGACTCAGCTAAAAGCGTCTGGTGGAAACTCTGAGCCATTTGCTTTAATCATTGATGGGAAATCACTTGCTTATGCATTGGAGGACGATATAAAAAACATCTTTCTTGAGCTGGCCATTGGTTGTGCCTCAGTGATTTGCTGTCGTTCGTCACCGAAACAGAAGGCACTGGTCAGTAATTGCTTTATCTTCCATTAAACTGTCAGATACTTTGTGGCTGTCTCGCATTTTTCTCAAGAATCATATTGCACAGGTGACAAGACTAGTCAAACTTGGAAGCGGTCAGACGACACTGGCCATTGGTGATGGCGCAAATGACGTTGGAATGCTACAGGAAGCAGATATAGGAGTTGGGATTAGTGGTGTGGAAGGAATGCAGGTTCTACAATGAATCACAAAAAAACCGGTTTAATCCAGCTTTTGTTGGAAACTTTTTCCAAGTTTAGTTCTGTTAATTTTGCAGGCTGTAATGTCCAGCGACATTGCCATTGCTCAGTTTAGATATCTGGAGCGCTTGTTACTCGTCCATGGACACTGGTGTTACAGGCGGATCTCAAAAATGGTAATCCGTGACATTTGATTGACGCTGACATTTCGTCTCATTATCCTTTGAGCTGATGGACTAGTTTTCCCAATATTTGTGTGTTCTTATATGCAGATTTGCTACTTCTTCTACAAGAACATCACATTTGGTTTCACTCTCTTCTTATATGAGGCATACACATCATTCTCAACGACACCTGCTTACAATGACTGGTATCTATCTCTGTATAGCGTCCTCTTCTCGTCTCTTCCTGTAATTTGTTTGGGCATCTTCGACCAGGATGTATCTGCACGGTTTTGTCTCAAGGTAAAACATATAGTCATTCAAATCGAAACAGCTGCTTAATCTGTTCTCCGGTATAGTGAGTTTCTTAACCCCCAAGTCTTTGCTTTGTTTGCTGTCACAGTTCCCCGTATTGTACCAAGAAGGTGTGCAAAATCTTCTCTTTAGTTGGCGCCGGATACTCAGCTGGATGTTCCACGGCTTCTGCAGCGCAATAATCATCTTCTTCCTCTGCAAAACCTCTCTCGAATCTCAAGCTTTTAACCACGAAGGGAAGACCGCAGGGAGAGATATCCTAGGAGGAACGATGTACACATGTGTGGTGTGGGTTGTGAGTTTGCAGATGATATTGACGATCAGTTACTTCACAGTGATCCAACATCTCGTCGTTTGGGGATCTGTGGCTTTATGGTACCTCTTCCTGATGGTGTACGGATCCCTTCCAATAAGAGTATCAACAGATGCCTATATGGTCTTTCTTGAAGTTCTTGCCCCTGCGCCTTCTTACTGGATCACCACTCTATTAGTGGTGCTATCCACAATGATGCCTTACTTCATCTTCTCTGCAATTCAGATGCAGTTTTTCCCAATGTCACATGGGATTATAAGGCTGCTTAAATACGAGGATCAGTGCAATGACCCTGGGGAGTTAGAAATGGTGAGACAGACATCAGTAAGGCCTGTACTGGTCGGTTTCACAGCTAGAATAGAAGCCATAAAGAGATCGGTCTTGAGATCTCATTAGCCAGAATCTTGACAAGTGATGAGATTTCCTCGGTTTATTTGGGTTTTAGTGGCTTTGCATAATGTAAATAGGACCAAATAAACTGCAGGCTGGAGGAAAAAAACGGTAGATCATTACAAGAATATGAAGAACAGAGTGTAGCCTAATTTTGTAAATTTCTGATTATTACGGCCTTGACCGGTAGAATGTTTTTTTGAAGAACAAGAGCTTAACAGAGCGTTTTATGTCAAGAACCATCTAATTATATACTAGAAAACAATTGAATATTTGTACATGAGTTAAGATACGAGCAAATAAAGATTTACAATTTTGGAGAAAGGGACTTGAACATGTCTTCCCTTTCGCTTCTTTTCCGAATTCTTGAAATCTTCGTTTTGATGCTATTTGAAATCGAGAGTGTCAGAAGAATCTTGGTGGCGCCAGAAGCTTCCAAACACGAACTCTTTGTTCATAGACAGTTCTTGCAACAATCCTTCAATATCTTCAGTGCAATTAAATCTTGATGAGCTTTCCTCAAAGGCAAAGCCATTTCCATACCAATGATCCTCTTTGACAACATCCTCCTCCTTCATTGTTGGTTGCAAAGTTTCTCCACATCTTCTCTTCACAAACTTCTTCATCTTCTGGGCAAGTTTACGAGGGATCTTGAAGAAGGCAAAGACACTGACTTGTAACACAAGGCATTGGCAGCAGCATGACAGGATAACACAGTCTGCTGCAAACGCACCACAATCTTCTTCCATTGCTCTGATATGCACAAAACTACAAGTTCACAAAGATAATATATATATAGAATGATGTGTATATATCCACATGGGTTTTGAGACATATTCACCGGCATATTTAGGAATCCTGGACGTTAAAAAAACTGTAGCTGTCTAAATCCTTGTTCCCTCTGATACTATTCCCCAACATGAAGATGGTTCACAGAAGGGTAAATCAGTCTTTTCTCAGCTATATATATGGCAAATCATAGTCAATTGACCAGATGTATCATGTGACACACGCTATGAAAAGTTTGGTGATGACATAAATAAGCTTGTTGATTTATTATTAGCATAACATTGAGAGGACATGATAACAAGCAGTTACATCACAAATGCAAAATAGACGCAGAGGTGACTTCTCGTGTAAGAAAATGAAAACTCTTTTACGTACGACCGACATAATATTTACTCGTTGTCCTGTTCTCATCTGTTCCTCCATAGATTCGGACTAGACGAAGATAGGTCTGTTTTTCGGTAATTTCCAAAGCTTTAGTATGTATTTGACTCATTATCCTTTCCTGTAAATGTTATGTGACCTTGTTATGTGAAATTCGATATGGAAAGAAGCAAGAAATTCTGGCTTTTGTTGAGTAATGAGTATAATGTATTATGTACTTAACTCATTCGAGGTCTCGTTGTAAAAATAATATAGTTATAGTGTATTTCCTTTCCTCTTAAGATTGTATCTTGTATCACAAGTTTAGGAAAGATCTCCTGGAACGAGGCAGCATTCATTAATCCAGCAAGGAAGCTTATTGGGTTTGAATTTTTAGGACAATATCTGCTATTTGGAGAGTTGAAAGGTTTCTCCATCAAAAGCTCTCTCTGTTTCCCTTTGCAGGCTGTATAAAGTCATGAACCCTCTTGAATTCAGTAGCTCAAGGAAAAGGATGTTAGTGATAGTGCGGGATGAAGATGACAAACTCCTTTTACCTTGTAAAGGATGATGCTCTCTCCCGACTATAGAGACTCTGGTAGAAAATCTCTTTTGGAACTTAATTTCAACTTACTTTATCGCCAAGTCTCATGTTTGAAACACTATCCAAAAGTATGAAGAGGAAAACCCTGGACCATTAACCTAAATATAGTATAACTTTTGCTCTAAACTGACTTCTTGTTTTCCTTCAAACACATCCAGGGACTTCACATGATTTCATAGAGAGTAAAAACACACTTTGATTTGATAAAATGAAAACTCAATAGCAAAAATAATAATCCCAGTTTAACAAGTTAATATTGTCGACAAAAAATTTAAACAAACATTCATTTGTACTATCTCATAATATTCAATTATTCCACTTTATCTTAGTATAAATCCAAAGATTCCCACAAAAAAAGGATAATCAAGAACTTCTTATGCAGTGAAAACTACAAATAATCAGGGGTTTATTAGAGATGTCTTACAAAATTTGATTTAAATCTACCAAAACAAGAAATTACCGTAAATAAGGTGTTTTTTGTAGCAGAATTTCTTCATTCAAAATGGATGATACTCTTAACACAACAACTTTCTCAGTTTATGTATTGACTTGTTTAAAATGAAGTGAAAGATTATTTGAAATATTCCAAAGGCCACCATCATCATAATCAGTTCTATATGATTATCGAATTTGCACAAAGTTTGAATTGGAAGAATTACTGAAGAAGAATAGGGGGAGGGAGGGGGGAATAGAGATCTGATGATCACTTATATGAGTTTTTGTAAACTTTCTTGAAGAAAAAGAAAAGAAGTGTGTGGATAATTAGAATAAGAGAAAGAAACTTTGGAGAAAAATATTTGATGATCACTAATAAAGTATCTTTTGGTACTGTAAATATCTGATATAGGTTTCTGAAAACTGATCTTGATGATCAATGAGACAATGATATGATTTTTGTAAAGTTTATTTTCTATTTTAGGAATTTAGTATGGTTTCTAAAAACTAATAATTATTGATACGGCTATTTGTAAAATTTCGTTTCAATAATTTATGGAACAAAAGTGATTTGACCAACCGTTTTTAGTTACCATCTTTGCTGTACCAAACGGTTATTTAGTTACCATCTTTGCTGTACCAAAAATCAAATCCTTCAACATGATGAGTTTTTGAAGGGAAAGGTGTTGAATTGGGGGGTTGGGGAATATATTAATAAATAGAAAAAGCCTTAAATTCGGAAAAGTATGATACTGTTGATTGACATTGTTGTGTTTAGTGATTTTATCAATAGTTTTGGGCAATATGTAGCAGAGGATTCAAATTTGGAAAAAATCAAGAAAGTTTCTGCTTTGAGAGATCTTTCTCGGAAAAAATATCACTCTGTAGACTGTAATGAGTGTTTGTCTCTGATATTTACACGTTTTCATCTCTGCTATTGTAAATATTACGAGTGGAAAAATCTGTACTGTAATTTTGGCTGCCAAAAGCCATTCTTCTAAACAATCTGATTTCTGCAGACTGCTCAGCTGAGTTGATGATCTCGCTTTCGCCTACTCTCATCCCGTTTGTGAGGTCTTCCTCAGCTAGACTATCGAAAGCTCTAACAATCTGTCAAAAATTTTCAATCAAGACTCTGTGTATGTGATGAAACTCGATTCTTGAAAGAAGAAATAAAAGTCTTGAAGAAAATGTCTGTACCTGACTCATTCGAGGTCTCTTTGCAGCTGAGTGGCGAATACAAGCTGCAGCTGCTTCAATCATTCTAAACATTTCAGCGCCAACATAGTTTCCTCCTAGCTTTGGATCTGCTAAATCTTTAAACTCTTGGGTTTCTATGGCATGACTAAGCAAAGGACGGGCCTGAAACATTCAAACTCAAAGACGTTGAGTTGAAGAAAATAGTTCCATTGTCAGAAATTTAGATGTTTTTTTTCTGTAACGCCATACCCATTCAACAAGGCTCTCATCTCCCAAAGCTTGTGATGTATCCACGGGCTTACGTCCAGTGACTAACTCAAGTAGAACAACACCGAAGGAGAACACATCTGATTTCTCTGTTAATTTGCCACTTGATGCATACTCAGGAGCCAAGTAGCTGTAGCAAGTTACCAATTATTAGATTAGTTGCAGAACAAAAAATTGCTCCTGAGATATGGTATAAGAGACCTTCACCGAAACCTACCCGAATGTTCCCATAACCCGAGTTGTAATGTGTGTGTTACAGTCTAGAGCTAGCTTTGCGAGGCCAAAGTCACAAACCTACAGAGTCAGAGATTTATTCACACTATTAACAACTCATCATCTTGAATTCTTGATTATCAGATCAACATTTGCAAATTCAGAAAGAGCAAATGAATGTATACCAGAGCGTGAAAGTTATTCTCTAAAAGAATGTTGGATGATTTGATGTCCCTGTGTATGATACGTGGATGACCTGTCACATTTTACCATCAAGATCATTCAGATAATTTAGCAAGCAAGAACCACAAGTAACATCAGAGAGAATTTGATTCACAGAAACCTACAATCTTCATGGAGATAAGCTAAGCCACGAGCTGCACCAGCAGCGATTTTAACACGCGTTGCCCAGTCCAGACCCGGAGCTCGTGCAGCTAAAGACCACATGAAACATAGAGTAAGATAGTAATAAGCAAACAACGGTTTTGTCTTTGATGAATCTGCGAGTCTACAAAATATCTGCTTACCATGAAGGTGGAAGTAAAGGTTGTTGTTAGGGACATAGTCATAAATAAGCAATCTCCGGTTCTCGGAAATGCAGTACCCAACCAAAGAAAGCAGATGCCGGTGATGTACTCTGCTTATGGTCTCAACCTCGGCTTTGAACTCTCGGTCACCTTGTCCTCCACCTATCTTCAACTGTTTCACAGCCACCACTCTCCCATCTGGTAACAGCCCTTTATACACACGACCAAACCCACCTTCACCCAATAGATTCTCGTCCGAGAATCCATTTGTTGCCTTGACAAGTTCTTCGTATGAGAAGAGTTCCCTCGACTGACCAAAGCCACCAGGTTCTGACTGTGAGAAAAAGGTTCGGTTGCTAGAACGATTTCCCGCTTTCAAAAGCGCTGAATCTGGACAAGAGAGATATAGAACTCACTGATTAACAAAAATGCATAGCATATTCATAATTTGTGAACTCTTCTAACACAAAGTAATCTTAAACTCTACTCTCCTAGTTAAGAGTCAAATTACAGTATCATTCCTAATGAAACTAAAGAGATTAAGGTATACCTGATCTTGGGGAGGAAACCAAAGGAGATGGCATAACATAGCCACCTGGAATGGCAGAAAGCTTCTTTTTGCGTCTCTTCAAGCACCAGACCACAACTACAATAAGAGTAAGCAGCACAAGGACCACTCCGATACTTACACCCACGACAGCTGCTGTACTAATACCCGAACGGCTAGACGTCTCTGTCACAATAGGAGTAGGATTGTCTGAGCCTGGTACAGGTTTTTGAGGAGGAAAAGGCGGTGATGCAACTGGTGTTGAAGAAGAAGTAGAAGGTAAGGGAGCTGGGTGATTTTTGTCTGGTGGAGGAGGAGGAGGAGTTTTCTCAGGAGTTTCGGGATCCCGTGGAGGAGGAGGAGGAGGTGAGTGAGCAGGACGTTTCGAATCCGGAGGAGGAGGTGAGTGAGCAGGATGTTTCGAATCCGGAGGAGGAGGTGAGTGAGCAGGATGTTTAGAATCCGGAGGAGGAGGTTTCTTAGGAGGTTTCTTAGGAGGTTCTGAGTCATGTGGAGGAGGAGGCGGAGGAGGAGTTTTTGAACCTCGTGGAGGAGGGGGAGGAGGACTTTCTGATTCCCCTGGAGGAGAAGGAGGAGGACTTTCTGAATGCCCTGGAGGAGAAGGAGGAGGACTTCCTGATTCCCCTGGAGGAGAAGGACGAACTGATGGCGGAGGTGGAGATGAAGGTAACGGTGGGTCTAATGTAGGTGAAGGGGGTGGATTTCTTGGTGGGACTGATGAAGGCGATGAAGGAGGGTTTTCCGGTGGCGGAAACGATGGAGGTGGGGGAGGTGAAATGGCAGGCGGATCAAGTGGTGGTGGTGGAGGGTTTAATGGCGGGTCAGGTGGAGTAGGAGGAGGAGCCCCGGTTGGTGGAGGTGGTGAGGGAGAAGGTTGTGGTGGCGGGGATGACAATGGAGTAGTCGGAGGAGGAGGAGAAGATTGAGCTGGAGGGTTTGGGATCTCCGGTGAATTACCATCAGTGGGCTCCCTCGTCGGAGAAAGGGCGTTACCACCGGGAGACGACATCTCAGGTGGCGGCGACGCCATTGGTGGTGGCGGTGACACCTCAACCGTAGGAGGCTGTACCGGTGTCGCCATCTAAATCCAAGAGACCAAATTTAACATTTTTTTTCGCCGAAATTCCACAGAGTTTTGAGTATGACAGTAACCCTCGAAGCACCAAACTTCACCCAACACTGTTGCTATTTTATAGATTGGACCCCAAATTACTCGAAACAAAGCAGAGACCCCAGATGACCAATTATGCTTCCCAGATCATATAATTCAAGATATCATATATTCCTTGATTTGATGACAAATGCAAAACAACTTCAGATCTGTATAAAAGAAAAGCCTTTCCTTCAAACACCACAATTCACAAAAAAACAACTGCTAGTCAAAATCCAACTCTGTAGTTAGCCATTAAAGCTTTAGCTAATGACCAAGTAAGTGACTTGTCTCTCTCTCTCTCTCTCTCTCTCGCTTTTTTTTCTCACCAACTCGTTTTTTCTCACCTCATTGAGATTGCGTTTGCTGCGCAGCTAACAAGAAATGATGAATCAAAGGTATATTGTGGGAAAATAAGATAAATCAAGGATTTTCATATTTTCATATATTTCTTTGTGCATCATAAAGAAACGAATGCTTTACTTTACTGCAACGTCAAATCAACGATCAACACAAAAATCTTATTTTTTTATTTCTTACTTCAATACTTTGCAGAAAAAAAATAGCCAACAACACCTTACGATATGACAACCGTTGACGTTGACCAGCTAATATACTATCGTTTCACTATACTGTATTTTTTTTTATTCAAGTTCGCCAATACAGTATTTACATTTTTATAGAACTTCTTAATATATATTTACATAAAAAAATGTAAATAAATCAACGACAGTGCAAGTGAAAGACAATGTGGTATGGGTAAATAATTCACAATTGGGTATATCTCTAGACTCTAGTACATACGACTAGTGCTGAAATAATTATGTAAAATCCAGAAAACAATGGTTCACTCGTTGGTAGATATTAAATTCCATGAAAGGGACATCGACAACTTTTGGGACCATTGTCCAAATCAGTTACACGCCAATAAAAAAGAAGAAGAAGAAAAGGTAGCAATGTGGAACCCAATTATTTTTCACAATTTGGCTTTTATAGTCATTGTTTCTTCTTCTTTTCTCCTGACCACTTTTTTTTTTGGTAATGTAACTTGTCCACTCTCATTTTTACACATTCGGGTAAATTGTTATTCACTCTTGGAGCAACGTGGTAACAAAGCTAATGGAGAATCTTGCTGGCAAAAATTGTGTCGGTCGATCGAATAAAATACATTAATATATGTGCTTCATTTAACTTTGTATCTTACGCATTAGTCTCTCTATGTGAAAAGGGAACTGCAAAGCCTTCTTCGCCATCATTGTAGAAGAAGAAGAAGCAGAGAGGGAGGAAGCTAGAGAGAGAAAGAGAGTGTGTGTGCTCAATGCTTAACACATGGCAACATTTAGATCCTTACCAGAATCTGTAGCTGTTGACTCTCTCTCTTCAAATTTCATTACATATTAACAGTGACAATCACATCACATTATGCACACGCGTTTAAGTGGGGCCCCATAAGTGCCTTTGTTTGGAATTTTCACAAGAAGATTATGTGATGTGATTATTTGTCAATTGGGGATTGGGGTTTAGCGACTACATTAGGAACCTCGAATTAAGATTATATAATTAGAAACTCTGATTCATTTTTTCCTCAGAAACAAGTATATATCTGAATCCAGATTCATGTTTCACCAGAATGTCTACTTATCTAGCAACCAAAAGGGAAGTAAAAAAAAAAAAAACCGAGGATTTTGTGATTGTTGCACTTGCACAACAAAATTGAAAATTTCATCAGAAGCTTGTTGTACCTTTTGCTTCGTTTAGGAGTTACTCTGCAGATTCTACTGTTGACAGCTGAGGGAGATAGAAGCTAAGATGCAACTGGATTACACTATCTCTGTCTGTTTGTCATTTGACATTTTCTCCTCGCGTTGATCTCAGCCGCCCAGCTCTTTCCAATTTCCGTTTGAAACTTGCCTGCATTTGAAATCGAACCAAATGTGTTTAATGAAAACCGACTTTCCGTCCAAAACTGTAAACCGAAAAGAGCGTATGGGATGGGTTCTCTACCTGCTGTTGATATGAAAAACTCGTCGAGCACTTTCCCGTGTTCTGCCACAATGTTCAAACGTCGAGTCAGATCTATTGGGATGTAAGAAGAACCAAGCACAAGTGATTAGAAAGATAAAACTTTGACACTTACCTGATTCATATTCTAGTGCCTGGAGGATCATCTCAACCTTAGAGCCGCAATAAAGACAAGAGTCAGTTGTAACAATTAACAGCTAACAGGAATTAGAGCCATCGATGGTTGCAAACTCAAAACCCAGAATTACCTTATCAAAGTCTTTTACAAGATTTGCCTCTAAAGAAGCATTGTTCTCATATTCCAGCCAAAGTTCTGTGATCTCCTCAGCTGCACGGTTGACATTTGACTTATGAATGAATTAGTGTTTTAAAAACGAAGAGGACACTAGTAGATGACAAGAGAAGAGGCGTATATACCTCTCAGGCCTCCACCCAGAACTCTGCACATCTCCTTTAAAGCCGCTGTCTCCCTCCTATTCTTTTCTTCCTTAGGCACACCATCAGATGGGGTAATGTCTCCAACAATAGCTGTTCAGAAGCCCAGTAAGAGGTGAGGCTTTGTCACTTTGTAGCATTTAAGTTGCAGAAGAAGAGCATGAATAAATTGAGAGAAATAAACCAAAATGTAATCAGCTCTTGACACATGTTTAGTTCCGTCTCCATCGAAAATGACATTTGCACAAACGAATCCAAGTACATCTGTTATATATCCTACCCTACTCAGCCATTTAAATCTACACAAATTTATATCCTCCAAAGTCCAAACCACTATATATCTTCTGGAAGAAAAGTAGCTAGCTAGGAGAAAAAATCAACAAGGAAAAAGAAAGTGAAGTTTACATTGGAAAAGAAGGATCAAATGTGTATTTACCTTCAGCGATGTCATGCACAATTGCCATTTTAATACACCTGTTTAAGACGCAATGACAAAAAAGGAACATGGAGAAAGATCCAATCAGTTATAGCCATAAAACAGGGGAATTTATTTGTCTAGTAGTTGGACAACCCAAGTGCTAAATCTCACTTTAAAATCATTTGTTCACGGATGTTCTTCCTATCTTATCCTTCATCCAACTTTTCTAAAAAAATGAAGTAAAGACTAAAAAAGGGTTGTAAAGCAGAGCTTTTGTAATTCTGACTTGAACAATTTCACAAGACTAGGCTGCTCACAAATCTTAAGTGTAAACCAGAAACACCAGAATGCATTGTAACAATCTACAATAGCCTTTCTCTGTCATCTCACAAAACTCAAAACACTTGAGGCAAGCACTGACCTTTCTCTGTCAACTCCGGAAAGATCACCAGCAATAAGTGCCATTAGAGCCATACGGTACATGTGATCAGCAATTGATTCAGGTCCGTTTATCCCCTGATTAATCCACCCTTTCCTCTTTGTTGTCTACACCCAAAAAAAGACTTCGCTTATTCACAACGTTGACCATGGATATAATTACTATTTCAAAATTTCCGAAAGACACTCGCAAAGAATAAAAATACCGATAACACAGTTTTATCTCAGTCCATGCAGCGAGCCACCCAAAAGAAAAAATCGTAATTCCGATTTCAATCCACACACATACCTTGAGCCGATGGCACAGCGTTAGGAAATCGATCGAAGATGAAACAGAAGAGGCGGAAGAGACATGGTTTGTGGATTCCATAGAGCTAACACCGTCGGAAACGGGTTTCTGGCACCGAACGGCGACGATCGCCGAGCTCGGAGTGGGGTTTCCGAGGAAGAGGAATTTTTTAGAGGCGCAATGAAGCGAAGCGAGTGTCGATCGATTGAGAAAAGGCCGGTTCAGCGGCGGCGAGATACGTGTAGCTGGATTAATCACCGCCATAGATGGTGATAGATGATGTGATTCTATGAAAAAAGTAGAAAGTTTTCTTCAGTCTTTTTGCTTCTCCAATTGAGAGTGAAGAGACGAGAAGAAGCCGATTGTTCGGTGTCGGGTCGGGTTGGGCTTCGTTTACCCGTGTTGTGACGTCAGCAATCAAGATATTCCGGCCCAATGATTTTCACGGGCTCATAAGACTTTACAAAAATCAGTCATAACTGGTTTAACTTATCCGGTATATGCCAATTCTCGGTCAATCATTTCGGTTATCCATCTCAGTTCGCTATTACGATTTGAAGTCGAAGATACAAATTCGTATAAACATCAACTTACACTCCCTTTATTCTCTTTTAGCTAAGATGATGGATAATACTAATTTAGACTCAAGTATGTGCTTCATAAATGGATGTTTTGTAAAGTTCTATGCAATTGTGCGTGATACCTCTAAATATACCATTATATACTAAAACTCATTGCTTAGTTCTATGATAAATTCAGGCCTTAAACCTTTGTAGTTTTTGGTTTCTGTTTATCAAAAACTATTTTTTTTTAAAATAAGTTTTTAAACAAATAGATCAACCTTTTTTTTTATAATGTCAAGATGAATTCTGAGGGCTTTTTGTATAATCAAACATGAAACTGGAGGATATTCTTTCTTTGAAATTCCTTTAAATAAATACTATGAATATTTTATGTAAAATGACACTCTTACAAAAGGGATGCGACCACTTCTTTAATCCCCAAGAACCAATCAATTGACAAAAAAACAAACACTCAAAGAAACAATTTGTGGATTATGACGCCAACCCTAGCGGTTCAGTACCGTATGGATCACGTTTCTTTGCGCAAGTGTTAAGCCCTACAAATTTTGGAAAACAACTCAGGTGTTCATATCAAGTTGAAGATATTAGTATTATGTAACTGAGGATAGTAAACCAGACCTGGCAAAGATTGTCAAACAAAGGCCGATCTCCACTCGAAAACTTCAACAAAAAGTCAGCCAGGTAACTTGCAAGATTTATCTGTTTGTTGCAGAGAGAAAGAGACTAGGTTAAACCGATCAAAGATTTGGAGAAGTAGGAACAGATAACAAAGATATGTAGAGCACAAGAGGTCACCTCATTAAGGGGATCGGTAACATGTAAGTCATCATCACCATCCTCATCATCTTGGTTCTGTCGAATCAATGGTTAACACTGATAAGATAAGGTTTAATATGGTAAGTAGCTATATAAGTAAAAGAGAAAAGTGACCTCAAAAGTTCGAGCCATTGCTTCAAGTTGGTCATATGAGGGTTTGCTGGATTGAGAGGCACCAGTTGAATGTAGCATGTCTTTCTCACCTTCAACGTCTCCTTCATGGACTTCTTCCCACTCGCTATCCTGCTACTTCGAAATAAAGGAATTAGCCTCTTCAGTTCCACTCAACTCAAATACGGGAAAGGAAATTTTCTTTTTTTTGAAAAGGCTCAAGGAAGCATAATCACCTCATCTGCACAACCCATAACTTGCTCTTGAATTTCAATCAATGTATCAGCTAGTAAAGCCAGAATCTGCGAGAGCCAAGAATGTAACCGATTAAAGAACTGTAAAGGGCATCGAAATGAGTCAAGACAGAACTGTATATCCCCAAAGAATACGTATACTGACTTGCAGCTCGTACGTTGAGAACATGCACAATAAGGAATCAAACATAAACATACCTTCATGGGTAGAGGGATAATGGTCCATTGTTCAGGAGCAGATCTAGCTTTTGAGCGCGTCTTTATGCCACCATTGGACTATACAAAAAAAAAAGTTTCTGTTAGGCTTTGAGAGTAAATTAAATTTTAACTAAAAAAGATATAGAAAGGTACAGCATAAGACCTGAATCGGAGTGCCTGGGACATTGACCTTCGCGAATTCAGAATGTCGAGTGGACAGTAGCAAGGCCAGAGCTGAAGATGTGACTTTGATTTGATATGCCCCTTGTATCTCCCCTGTATATAGATGCCAACTAAGCATCAGTTGAAATGGCCAGCGAAACTCTTATTGTGATCCATCAGGTAGACCAATAGAATCATACAACTAGATAACACGAATAGAGAGACGATTGCCTTGTTGTTTAGTCCATTCTGTCATTACATAGGCAAAGGAATTTTCATTGCCACCAGCAGGTACGCTAATAAGCAGATTGATAAATTGATCCACGTTTGGGAAACTCATATGAACCTGCAAAAAAATAATGGAAAAAGATACTTCCGGTTACAGCATCTTACAAAGAAGAGAGAACCCATTAATCTGCTAAAACTATCCACTGAAAGGTGAAGAATACCAATCTGGCAAAAATCAGCAGCAACGAGCTTCTGAATCCCGAAATATCAGCAGACTGCATCCGTCTTACAAGAGCAGCAACCAGATCCTGGACATGGGGTGCCATCTCTGACGGAAGATGCAAGATGAGCTGCAGAACGTACTTCCCAGCAAATAGAGATCCAGAACATTCCAGATCAGGGTTGAGAAGCCTGCGCAAATGTTAAGATATCGATTTGCAAAGACAGATAGTACACTTAAACTATACCAATTGAAAACATTGAGGACCCACCAAACCAAGGTGCTCAAAACAATTCATCAAATGACTTCAAGAAGTGTAGATATCACCGAATTTATTCAGAACGGTTATCTAAAGAACAAAACAATTGCAGGTGATTCAGACTACATCTTTTACGGTGAATAGATTTATCCATGTATATGCAAAGTTCATCACTGATTTTCTTTTCACATGCGTAAGCGTTGCCAACATATTCATGCAAAAGATACTAACAAATGCAAAAAGAAAACACAAAACAGTATGCCTTCCGCTTTTGGTGGACGTAAAATCAACCAAACAAAAAGGTAAGTGAAGAATTGTACCTAGAAGCTGCATCAAGCAAACTTCTCATGGTTAAACCGGGGTTACCACTCCAAGAGAGCAACTCTTGTCTTCCACTAGATATAAAAGCCGCCAGACATTCTGTAGCATTCTGACCAATTAAAAGGCTAGGGATAAGTGGTTCTTTCAAGATAGATAACGATGAAGCAAACTAGACGTGGAAAATTTTATTACCTGTAATTCACTATGGTCCTCACTGTGGAGTATGATACGAATGACGGCATCAAAGCAAAAGTCATATATAGTTTTCACTATATCACCTGGGGCACCCTATATATGACTAGAAAAATAGTCAGCAAAACACGAAAAACTGTCCATTTAGCACACAGAATTATTCACGTACTATAAAAACCAGCCAGGATAACTTGCCTTAAGAAGCATAGTTAAAAGATCCAAGGATCCACTTGCTAGTCCTTCAGGCTGCTGATGTGGCTGATTATCACCAGATAGATGTCTTTCATTAGAAAACTAGGGAAGAGAAAATAGTACACAGAGAAAAAGAAAAAACAGTTAAGAAATCATGATTCTGAACAGCACCTTATTTAAAATTGGTCCTATGAATGGTAAAATCCTTGATGTCAGTGGATGAAGGCAGCCAGGCGAATTTTTTATTGCCTGTGTGATAGCCATAGGCTAGACATTAGTCGCAGACATAGTATTTTTACTGTTCACTTTCGAATCATATAAGCAGTGGTCAGAGATTCAACATAAACAAACTACGCATATTGCATTTCAAACAACGAGATTTACCTCCAGGACATCAATAATATCAATACTCATAAAGGGATCTGAAACATGTGCTACCCACACATTAAGAATCACTGGAGAAATAATAGACTCTATTGAAGCTGATGCTTCATGGCCTAGAAAATGATAAAGCAAGTAAGAAATAGGTGAGAAAACTATTACATGAACAGATTCCAAAAGTTATTTCCAAGATTAAATTATGTTTACTTACCAGCCTTGATTGCTTGTTGAAGAGTTTCAAGAACCAAAATCAAAGTTTCATCTGAAGCCTAAACAAAAAAATAAAGAAATTTCACGTGACACAAAAGAAAATTTTCTAATAGTTCATCAATAGAAATATTTACCTGTTGGAGAAGATCAGTGAGAGATGAAAATAAATTCATGATCTGAGGCAGAATAACTGTACGGTTCATATCGGGTAGGAGCTGCAAAAGTGCCCGACATGCGCCTACTTTTACAGGCGGAGGCCTGTTTATAATGGTATCTAATAAGTTAACATTTATCTCTGTCGATAAATATACTACCAACAGAAAGCAGAAGAGTAGGAAACATACACGTCCATGTTAATAGCTCTAACAGCAGCATTGAGGAAGTGCTCAAGAATTCCAGGGTTGATCTGATTAACGTGAAAGGATTCAATTCATATATCCCAGACAAAAGTTATATCGGGAGAAAAGAAAATAAGAAATTACCACAGAGGAGAACTTAGCAACTGCTGTAAATATGCGGGCATAAAGGAAAGGAATTTCATGATACCCTGTTAAATAAAGGTTCCAGTTATGTACCACAATTTGAATACCAAATAAGAAAAATATGTTGGAGCAGTAAATCTTATAATACCTACCAATTCCAGTATCTTCCATTATCAATTGCTCAACAAATTTAGCTAAATTGGCAGGGTCAGTTCTCAAGTCCTGAAAAGATTGTAATATTAAGGATAACATGTTTCCCACGACAGTAAATTTTTTGTATTTACATTTCCATGGAAAACACGAACCTCAGCTTCAACAAGTTGATCGGCAAGTGAAGTCAAAGCAAAGAGAGCAGCTTCTCTTATCTAACAGATGAAAAATATCAAAGTAAGGTGGTAAGTTAAAAAACAAACATGGACGGGGTAGAAACAGAAATATATATCCACAGAATTGGTGACAATGTTAGAAAAATCAGATAAGTAATGGCTTTCAAACCTTTCATGAAACTTAAGAACAAAGATAAATTATGTGCACTTACTCTCCACCAAGTCGGAGAACCAGCTGTCTTTTCACCTTGAGACTCGAGGAACCGTTTTCCAGCAGCGTCTACAACGGCATTGATCCCTTCCCTACCAAAAGTATTGACAACTTCCTCCAAGAAAAGTATTCCTGTGGTGCAGGAAGGACTTGTATAGTTACATATTCATAAATTTTGCATATGCATATATGCATATGACCTCCAAATCTTGTCTCTGATTAAACATAAGCATATCAATTTGACTTGAGAAGAGTGAGATACAGCTTACCCGATATACGACAACTGTAGCTACCCTCATCTTCATCAGCTACAAACTGGTTTACATCCATGGACCACGTATGCATCTGGAGAGAAGCTACATGTGAGATAAAGAATACAGAATGTCTTTTCTGGTAAAGTGAGATATCTTAAAATAAAACATATTGATTGGAAACAGATATTGCTTCTAATGAAATAAGAGATATACACAAAAAGATACAAAAGTTCTAGAGCTATGGTAAAAGGGATAAGCCTTCTGGTTGTCTTTTATTAGTCGAGATAACAATAGTTAAGTACGTTAAACAAAGGAAAAGAAGCTACCGCACAACAAAATAATTTACTTAGGCAGATATATATAGGCTGTCTAGCTTCGTAAAGCTACCCCGAGATAGATTCTGTTATAATCAGAGATTTAAAAGACCAAATAGAACCACTATATTCTATTATGTTGAGTAGGCAGAAGATGCATAATTCATCCTTACCTGTTGTTCTGTAACCTGCAGGAAAGCGACGGTCTGATATACCAATTCCCGGACATTGCTGGCAATGACCTGATATAAAAATATTTGGGTAAGAAACCAAAGCAGCATACGACCAAACTAAAGGAAAAACCTGAAACGGTTTCAGCCAAACCTTTGCCAGTCTTCTACTGCTAACAATGGTTGATAGAAACTCAAATAGCTGCACAAAGGAACCAGTGTCAATTAGGCCTCAAACTCATTAAAATACAACAATCTTTGAGCGAAATGCCCCAGCTCTAATCAAAAGTTTAACTTAGAAATTGAGACCTTGAAGGAAAACAGACCTTTATAAATGAAAATGGTAGGTTACCTGGATGACAAAAGTGTCAAGACTCTTTTCTTCGCCATCTGAATCATATCTTCCATCATATGAATCTTCAGCACCTTCAACTGACGATCGAAGATAGACTTGTAGAGATGACTCAAATGTGTGCCACAATGGCCTCATAATAGCTGCGAGAATATTATGTTTCAATAACGATATTTCAGATGCATATGTATGAATGAACAAGGGAAATGGGTCACACGAGAACATACCCATCAATTCAGTTTCGATGAGAAATGGGAAATTCTGTACAAACTGATTCAAGCACTTCAAAACCTAATCAAAACAGACAAAACCAATCACAAAGGCAGGCGCCTGTTAAAAAATTCCGGCCATTTCATGGGAACAAAATTACAACAAACATAAGATGAGTCGAACCTCCATTCTTAAATTCCAATCATCAGGATCCTCACGTTGCACAGGACGTTCTAATATAAGTGAAAACTGATTCATCCAAACCTCAAGTAGAGGAGTCACCAAAGTAGCAATTTCTGTCTGAATATAAACAATTAATATATGTGACACTGATAATAGAAGTAGCTGAAGCAAAACACATTTAAAATTTACGTATAGAAAGAGAATTATCAAAAAGAAAGTACCTTGTACACACCACTTATTGCTCCAAGAACAGATATACATGAATAAAGAATTGAAAGGGCTTTTCCTCGCATATACTTGTCATAGCTCTACATATACAGATGAAAAATAAGACAGAGGAGTGAGTATCATAAGAGCTTTCATCACTAAAGTTTACATTTACGAAAATTGACATGCCAAAAACGTGATTCAACACAAGTCTGATCGTATCAATATTGGGATACAAACCTGAGGAGAGGAAACGACTGCATGCAAACAAGGAAACAACACAGGTACCAGTGCAGGCACCTCTTTGTCATCCAAGTCACCAGAGAGAAGAGCCAAACACCTCAAAGCTCCATGAACTGTTGTATTTGGCAATAAAATTCAGCCTAAGGAAACCTCTTGAGTGATCTCATGAAAGAGTGCGGAAATGAGAGGTAACAAAGAATAATATGTCTCTAGAGGCAATAAAACCGAGCGCAAATACACCTCCATTAATGTTGTTTTGATCGCTAATCAACTTCAAGAGAAATGGCAATAGCTCAGGCCACTCTTCTGGCCAATCATATGCGGCAATTGACGATATGTCCATGCTAATGGCCGTACAGATTTTTCTATGAGAGTCATCAAGTGAGCCCAAAAGTAGTCCTCGAATAAGAGCCTAGTAACATAACGAAAAGTCTTTCAGAAACATATGCAAACTATCGCAGCAGGAAATCCAAACACTAAAACAGGAATAGTGAGAGTACCTTTTCGTCACTGGAGACAACAGGATGTTCAAAAGCCTCGTCGTCCTCTCGCCAATGTTTCTTAATGAACTGCTTTAACAAGACGGCAGCTAGGTAACAGTAGGTCAAGAACTCCACAATAATAACAAAGGGAAATCCAGAGAGACTGCTGGAGCTGTTTAGGGTAAAACAAATCTATGCTATGGAAAAAGGATATTTGGCGCAATCCCAATGAGAGGTCTTTGTTAGCAGCAACCCTGCATAATGCGCTGCCAAACCCTACAAGCACAAAAATCTAGAAAGTATGAAGAATTTCATCTTTTATTCATCAACCAGAACAAGAGGAGGACATGCTCAATTGTTCATCGTTCTCAATAAGAAACCCATAAAATGCTTTCAACTATCTGGGCATACCCGAACATTCATTTTCAACAGATTATCAAAGGGGGTTTATGTAATCAGTTGGCAAAATCTAACTAGCCGAAATCCAGTTTAAGAGAACCAAATCAACAAAAACACAAATGAGCAACGTTCCCGAAACTAGCCCAAACGATTGAGTCACTGACCTGGTTGAAGAGAGGCCTGAGTGAGTGAAGCTTCAGCGAAAGAACGAACGTCCTGGCTAGGGTCAAGACTTGCAGTCAAGCAGCCGAGCAGCCATTGCTGATCTTGGTCGACCGCCATGTTTCGATTCTATATGAACTTCAGAGAGGAATCGAGTGAGCAAGAGCAAAATCCCAGATAGGATCGAGCTTCGAAATTCTCTTGCTTCCCTCAATTTTCAGTTTCCCGCTCGCTCTGCTATAGGATGTTGGAGGAAAAGCAGAACGGAGTCACCTCTCCTGATTTTGATGTCGCAGCCTTTATAGAGGTGAAGAGGAAAGAAGAAGCAACCAAGACAAAATCGAAATGATGGAATATATTTATCCAAACCGGATCATACCGTCGATTTAAATTGGTATGGTCCGGTTTCGTTACGAACCGTTATCTCAAAGGATTTAAGATAGACGGAGAAGAAAGCTCGCCGTGGGAAAATATCTGTGAAAGAGGCGGATGCTTTCTTCGCCTCCATGAATCTCCTCAAAACGATTCATTACCAGTCCACCGTTACTCAATTTTACCGTTTTGCAACTACACAGTCCTTTGCTTCTTCCTCTTCTTCTTCTCTGTTGTCACTCTCTCTACAAAGACCCAGAATCTCTCTCGTTTCTACCTCCAACCGAAGCTGCTTCGCACTCTCGAGCGTCTCGAGCACCAGAGCTTCGATTTCAGGTAATCAAGAGGATGGTAAGAAAGAAGATGCTGAAAGAAACAGCTTCGTCTCGGTGGAGGAGGGAGATAAAGTGGTATACCAAAAGACACTAAGACTGGTGGAGTGCGCCATGTTCGCTGCTGTCACCGGACTCGTTTACTTTCTCAGCAATTCGCTCGCCATTGAGGTTTTTACCCGTTTCGAATTTTATTCAGTTGACGAAGAGAAGCCTGGTTGAGCTTTGTAGTTTTAGATATGCTCCTTGCCTTAGATTTTCTGTTCATATACAGTCGAATTCTGGGATTTTTAGTGAAAAAACCAATGATGTATAGTTAGATCGTGAGCTGAAGAATAGAAAACTCAGTTAGATGCTCTAGTTACCTATGAAATTGCATGTTTAGCCAATCCCCGTACGTTAATGTTCTGAGATAGCTTATATCTCAGAGGTTTTAGTTCATATATTCTCTAGCCTTAATGATTCTCGTTAGGGTATGGAGTGTTGAGGTTATGTGTAGCAATCTCCATAATAGAGGAAAGTTTGATGTTGCATGGAGATATTCTTTTTGTCAGAAGATATTGTGAAACGTTGTTAACTTTGGAAACAAAAGATGTGTTTGAATCATGGTTCTTTTATGTGTGCGATCGTTGCTGTGTTAAACATTTTCTTCATATCCCTTGTATACCGATTCTGTGTTACACTTTGAACGCAGAACTACTTTGGATGTTTCTTCTCGCTGCCAATAGTGATATCTTCGATAAGATGGAATATTGCAGGCGGCAGGAAGACAATGGTTTGTAAATAACATTCTTCTTTCACATGACTGAAATTTCAATATTTCCAAGCTTTTCTTTTTACTTTGTTGGACGTGTGTTTCAAGTCTTTGTGGTGTTTGTTTTGTTTATCAGGTTGCTACTGTCATGCTTTTGTTCATATTATCAGGTCCAGTCAAAGCATTAACGTACTTTGTAAGCCTCCTCTTTGCTAACTTGCCAAGTAGAATTTTGTCTTCTGATGCTTCAACCTGCTACTTCTTCTTATTTCGTTATTACTTCCCTTTTCAGAAAGATTGCATGACCAATGCTTTAACTTTAACTTGTAGCTTACTCATGGTCTTGTGGGACTCGCAATTGGTTCATTGTGGAGGTATGTGAATTCATATACTCGTCTCTATCTTGCACAGTTCTTAGTTCTCGACCACAACAAATACGCTAACTGATATACATGTTACTTACCTGTGTTTTACTCTTGATGAAAATGACTGAGGTTTTTGGAAGTAGATTACTTCAACTTAGTACTATCTCAGTTATTTATTATTCACAATGTTCTTTGGTTCTCAGAATGGGGGCAAGCTGGCGTCTCTCGATTTTCTTGTGCACAATGGTAAAATATCTGCTTCCTGCAGTTACACAGACCAGTTAAAATTTATCACTCCTTGTTAACTTGCATACTCGTGTTTTCTCCCATGCAGGTTCGAGCATTGGGTCTCATAGGATATGTTCTGACATCATCCTTCTTAATAAGAGAAAACATTCTTGCCGTGGTAAGCCTCTTTTCCCTAAAGACCATATCACTCTTTTCACCCAAAAAAACGCTTGTATATATAAATCTCCTGCTACACTGTTCTTGCAGATCACAATTAACATCCATGCCTCTCTCTCTTATGTTTTCACTGCCATGGGCCTGAACATAATGCCTTCAATGAGCCTCATTTATATAATATTCGGAACAGTGGTACGCAATCTCGTAAACACTCTTCTCTCTATGAAACCTAGAGAATAAAAGAGGCTGAGAAACTTTCCTTTGATTCTCAACAGCTGTTGCTAAACAGTGGATTCTTTGTCCTGTTGCTGCATCTCCTCTACTCAATCTTCCTCACAAGACTCGGAATGAAATCTTCCTTGAGATTACCGGCTTGGTTAGACAAAGCAATTTGATGGTATTCAGAATCTCTTCCTCTTTTTTTCAGCTCCATGAGATGCCCCACAAACATAGTTGGTGATATATGTAAGACTTGTGTAGGGCTGACATACAATACAAATCCAAACCCAAAAAAAAAAAGAAGTTTACAATCTGATCGGTACTGTAATTTTTCATATCTAACACACCGAAAACCGAACCAAACCATAATCATGAACTCCGTTGAATGTGAGTCGCCTAGGTCCACTCTTCAGGTCAATGGAGAAGACTGATCAAAGGAACGCATCACACATGTATGATCCCCATTGATAGCTGTAGCGTGTCTGTTAAAGAATGAACAAGTGTTGCAGCCAAGTACATTGTTCTCATTTCAATAACTCTTGCGTTTTCCTTAAATCAGTCTTTCTTTTGTTAATAAAGTTGCATTTTGCATTGGTATTCTTACTTTGTCTGTGTGTGCGAAAAAAAATAAGAGCCAAAAAAAAGACTGCTAAAGTTAAAAAAACTGACTTTTATTGAATGAAATTAATCGAGAATGTCTTCCAAACGACTAATTTAGGGGAAGAGAATTGGTGTCATAGTCTACGTAGAGAAACCGAGGAAGCTCACAAAACGCCTCCAGTGAGAAAAATACCCAAAAAAGGAAAAAGAGAGAAGATCCAGTTGCGGTTAGAGATGTTATTGCCGCTTGTTAATGTAGCTCTTGATCACTACAATCCCTACGCTGCAAAGAGCCAAAGTTAACACAAGAGGGAGGCTACTAGATTCCACATGGGACAAGAAGCTGCTTTTGCTTGATCGGCCTCTGCTACTGCTACTGCTATTGCTGCTTCCTGTTCTTGCTATGCGTGACCTTTCTGCTGAGCTTTCTCTCATCAGATTGCACAGATTATCCAACTGGTGCATCACTTGACGCTGTCCACGTGAGATGGTCGATATCTGGTTGTGCATCAGAAAGTTCGACTCAGCGTTTCAAAGCAATGTAATAGAATCCAAATTCAACAAACGAGAAAACGTGAGGTGTCTTACCTCTTCCATTAATGGTGAATCCTTGGCTAATTGGGAGGATGAAGACGAATGGGGCATTATGGAATTCGTCAAACAGCCGTTGTCCAGACCAGAAATGAAATACGAAGTTGGAGCTGAGCCATTGCAGACTTCGGCTTGGAGTGTCAAGCTCTGCTGTGTAGGAGAGCTTTTGTTGCAGCTCAGCTTTGAATTCAGCTCTTCGATCCGGTTTGTGAACTCATCCATTCGCTCATTGAGAGATGATATTTGCTCCGAAAGCTGAGTCATAAACCCCTAAAAAAATATATATCAAAAACCAGAAGAAATGCTCTGTTAAAGTTAAAACAACGAAGACGACTTTAAAGTTGCCAAGAAGGAATGAAAGAGAAGAAAATGTGAACCTCGTTCGCTGGTGACTCGTGGTTTCTTTCTTCGTACCTCCTATCGCTTGAAGAATAAGCAGCAAGCCTGGAAATATTCTTATCTCTTTGGGTTGAATACGAGTGTGACATGCCTCTGTATCATTAAATGGCATAGCTACTTAAGGACACATGGATTGGAAGTAACAAAGCTTTCTCATACACTCCTCAAAAGAAGTGTACCTTTTGAGGTTCTTGTTTCTCATGGCTACTCTATCTGCAGAAGCTCGCAAGAGTGCTTCCTTTGGGCTTGAACTAGACACCAAATCCTCATCTAAGCTAAGCTTGTTCTTCAAATCATCTGGTAAGGCCTGTATAATGGGACTTTTAATCAGGAACCCAAACGATGTGTGATAAAAAAAAAAAAAAAAAAAAAAAAAATTGATAGCTCAAAGAGTAAATCATACCATTACTTCATTTATCAGTTTCTCCAGTTGGATCTGTTCAATGTAGGTACGTGGAATGAACGATCCTTCCAATCCTAGCTGCTCTGCAATACTCTGTACAAGTTGCCTATCTTTACCTTGCACCTGGTTATAGCAAATTTAGATTTCTATTATTCGTTAATCATATTGTTTTGTTCTAGATAAACAAATTTGATACTAACTGGAAACAAGAATACCATCATAAAAGCCATATGGCAGAACTATATAAATTTCTTATGCAGTTAGAATGAGTTTAGATAGACAAACCTGTATGTAGTGACGATTCAGTTGCTCAAGCCAATCGATTTTCACAACCACCTTATCAGTAGCAAATACATGGCTGTTCCTTTTAAGTATGGTTGCTATTGTGTATCCCAATGCCATAAGCCCACCCAGTAAGCGAACGCTCACTTCAAAAGTAATCCTTGGGGATATGACAAAAGGAGTATCCGTAACCCATTCCTGGATATAAAAGACATAATAAGTATTCACCACATCGTTTTAAGCAATCTTAACATTACCGAATCAGAAGGTTGTCTGCTATTCAGAACCATATTTATGAAAACATGGAAAGAAAACTCTGAAGGGCCATACCTCAAACATGAGGCTGTACTTTCCATCTTTATTCCGCATCCTCAAATATGATTGGCACGCCTCTGGATCTTCACCTGGAGGAAGAAGATATATATCATAGGTCTCCTCCTTAGTCTCTGTATGTCCTTCAGAAAGGACCGCCTTGATCAGATCAACGGATACATCCTTTCTTGACTACAACAAATCAGAGGCAAAAGAACTTCACTTTCACAACAACGGAGATTACAGAGCATTTCTTATTATAACATGGACAGACAGATCAAGTCGGTTTACAAACCTTCAAGATGTATGTTGGGCTCTGAAAACCAGTGAAGGGGTTGAATTTATTAATGATTTTAATTTGAGCAGTCTGGAGATCTGGCTCTATGAAAGCTTTGTACATCGGGTACACCTACATAAACAGTATAGTTGTTACTTTTTAAACACTATACTTAACCAGTAAAATCCAAGAAGCAAAATGTAAAAGAACCGAGAACAAACTGTTTCAGATATCTGATGGATTATCTCCTCTGGCTGTTGGCCTGCACGTTGTATATCACGAAGAACCCGTTTAACGAGATCAAAGTGAACTCCACCAGTAACAGACACACGAAGATCCAATAAAGGTCGCAACTTTTCACTCAAAGCATAGATTCCTTCAATGATCACAATCCTTGAAGCTGGGACATCAAGAGTCCTAAACAAATTCAAAGCATGGCATTAAAAACCATTCTCTTCAGTGGAATAGTCCACAAAATGATTCTTTAAATCAGCAAATGCAAAAACGTGCAACCGAATCATCCATTACCTGTATCCAACACGAGAGCTGGACTTAAAATCATATATAGGAACCTCAACCTGTTTTCCTTCCTTCAAATCTTCAAGGTTCTTGAGCAATGTGTCATAGTCCGTTAACCGTGGATCTATATTTCCAAAAACAAAATTGTAATATCTCAATAGATACAAAGGACTTGGTTCCTATCAAGACTTCCATGGAGCAAATATCAAACATAAATAATACACTTACCGTCAAAGTTTCCATCAACAATTCGACTGGCGTCATTATAGTTGTCCATTGATATGACAGCAACACTTGGCAGAAAGTTGAGTATCTTCTCGGTAAATATCGTCTTTCCGGCACCAGAAGGACCAGCAACACCAACCAATACAATCCCATCGTTCTTCTGAGAAAGCAATTGGCACGCACGGATAACAGCAAAGAAGCCCTTCTCAAATGACAACCGGTCTTGAATTGGGAGTATTTCGTGCCGAACCGAGTCTCTTCTCTTAACCAATTGGACTTGATCCTTCAAAAGTCCATGCCTCTTCTGATGAAACTCGATCCCATTGGAGTTTTGACCCATCATGAACAATTACCGGAAAAATTCTAACCTGCAAAAAGAGCATATTTGCATTTGAGAAGCCAGAATTTATGCTCACATCATGGAAAAAACAAGCTTACAGAGCCAAACACACATCATAAGACTGGATTTTCACGGGACATTTTCAGGGGACAGTTCACATTTCCACTTAAACCCCATGAAATGAGTCAATCACACTAGACAAAAAACGTTTGTGTGACTGTGATAGTAGAAGAAACAATATAACAGATATCAAAATGCAGCGAGCTGAAGTCATACACGGAAATCAAACAAGCGAAAGCTAGAAACGAATCCAAAAACCCATCAAGAAGAAACGATCAAACTGTTCCATACTAACACTCATGAGCAGGGATCACAAGACGTGAAATCCAGATGTTGATTACAAACAGGAACCCAGATTGGCGAAAAGAGGTCGAACGGAAAAACCCATTAACCAAAATCGAAAACTTGAAGACGATTTGTGTGAGTTTGTGTGGCACTCACAAAGAAAAATCTCGGGTACTCGTGTGAATCGGGGTTCCTCAGTTTCGCAGAGCAGTCCCAATTGAATTGGACACAAAAATGAGGAATCAGGAAGGATTCGGATTTTTCTGAAAGCTTCTTTTTCGGGGCGAGCGATTTCTAGAGAATCTGGCGAAAAGATCTCGACCCACGAGGTAACATTGAAGAGAATGAATGAGAGCCAATTTAATACCTTTTGATTGTCTCTCCTCTCTTTTTTTTTTGTTTTTTCTCCCTTTTTTTCCGTTCTAGCTTTTTGTTTTTGTTAGCTTTTTAGGATAAACTTTAAAAATACACCTATCACTTGTTTAAAACTAAATAAAAATACACCGATCTTATAGTATTGAAAAAATATCAAGCATTATTAAATTTGGAGAATCAAAGAAATTAATTTTATTTATTTATAAAATATTTAATATTAATTTTATTGGATTAAAAACTAAACTACCTAACCGACTGTGCCGAATTGTTTTAAAAATAAAATGTAAGCTGAAAACAAAAAGTTGAAATGGAAGTGTTATTTGGGTGGGGTATTCACGTTCAGTTTATTACACTTCCTATAATTTTTACAATCCATTTATTTAATTGGATACAGTCGTTTTTTCTTTATCTTGTATTGTATAACTTTTTAAGTTGATGTATTTTCTGTTGTTTTATTCTAGATATCTCACATATTAATTGCAACAAAAGTAAGGTGTTAACTAGTTAAAATGCTATGTTAATATGTTTTAAAACGTATATAAATATTAAAATTCAGGATAATATTATATGATAAAGAAAGATATATCACCATCACCAAATTGTATTTTAAAAAACAGAGATATATATTCCCCACCAGTAAAAATATATTTTGATTTAAATGATGTATTTATTGTTAAAAACGTAGAAAGATATACATATTTAAGATAGCTTTATTTGTAGTTACTTCCTTTTAAAACAATTTGTAGTTTTGTACTCGTATGAGATTTTGGTGACTATTCTTATTTGCTCAAAATAGAAACCTATTTTTTATGGAATTTCTTTCGTTATTTTGGGGATAATCAATTGGTCAGTTTGGTACGTACTTACTACCACAATAATTGATACTTGTTCCAGCATTTATCAGTCATATCGGCTCTAACGGCCAAGGATCCTCCCAAGTTAGTAAAAATATATTCCACACAAAAAAGGGTTTTCTGAAATCTGAATCATAACTATAACTAATATTGAATTTAGGTATCAATGTGTGTATATATATATATATATATATCTTATTACCTATAAACTACATTAATTGGTACTAGTATTTTGTGGTTTTATATTAACAAAAAAAAGTAGTGGTTGCAGATAGTTGCAAATTTGAAGAGGATCACAGTAATTAATTCTAACATATGATGTTTTCTAATATTAGATAGAATTGACGTGTTTTGTTGCTACATATTTTTATGATATATTGTACCTATAAATTCTGGAGAAAATCGCATAAAAATAGCATCTTATGAAGTTAAATTTTGGTATCTTTCCCTGTATATGTAATAATTGAACTCAATACAATTTTAGAAGAAAATAGAAGAAACAAAAAAAAAAAAAAAAAAGCAAGAAGCAGGGAATAGTAGGCTTATGACTTATGAGCGAAGTGATGACAAAAGTGACGAGGATCCACATGTTGTGTGCAGTTTAGTTTCTCTGACTTCGTAATTCGTAGTTCGTACACTAACATTCACATGCACACACTCTTCACGACCCTTTAATTTATCACGAGTAGGTTTACTTGTTTTTCATGTGGGTCCTACTGCTCTAATTTATTAGTGGAAACCCGGTTTAGTCTACACGGTTAATGATCGCTCATTAATGTAGTAAATGTGCAATTTGTTTCTTGTGGACTCTGAAGATCAAAAAAAAAGGTGAGGCAAAAGGCAATAAAACAAAACAAAATAAATACTATAAAGTGAAACATATGATTAAAAAGGACAGACATAGATACATTTTACGACTACCCTTTCGGCATTTCTCTGATTATGAAGAAAAAAAAGAGCGGCTCATGCCTTTATAGGGGGCCTAAACATGTGTATATAAATTTATTCAACAATGATTGTTATATGAAAACTAAACAATAATCTCCAAGAAAAGACTATACATTATTTGTTTTTGAGAAAGTTATTTCAAATCCTAGAATCTCATTGTTTCCCAAGTTGTACAGTTTGTTTGTTGTGTTGTGTGTGTATATATTCCATCTGCGGTGCCAGCCGCAAGTCCAAGAAGTAGTTTGGGCTTAATTGGGCTTTCTTCTTAACCGGGTTCGGTTGGGTTTAGTTTTCAAATTATGGTTTGATTCATTCTCCTTTGTTAAAAATTCTGTTACAGTTTAGCTTAACATTTACGTCAAAAAGCCGAAGCTGATAGATAGAAACGAAACTGATAGTTGGTTGACTAGCAAGAAACAAAACGAAGACGAGGGACTGCCAAAAACAAAAACAACAAAATCTAAAAGAAAGTCAACTTTACTTTATTCACTTAGCAAAAGTATGTACGAAAATTCTTCTAAAGCACACAAAGAAACTTAATGTTTTGATAAACAAGTGACGTGACCAATTAGATAAAGGCTAAAAACATGAAAAAATATGATCCGACGTATGTGGAAAAACAGAAATTCTTATATGCATTTCTTGACCAACGTACCAGATCTCAAACGAAGCTGCTTCTATGCTGCCAGTTGGATCTCTCCCCGCAACACAGAGGTAAGACACCTCACGTTTTGGCTCATTCAGTATTATTATATAGCGATTCAATGCCTAATTACAAAAAAAAATAACAATTAACAAAAAAGGCAAAAACGTTTTTTCATGCGTAATCTCATGACTGTTACTTGGTTAGTAGCTCTGAATCGTTGCCAAATGGACGCTCACTGTTTAATCTGTAACAAGACAATCAATCTTGGTGTTCATCATCATCTTCTCCTTCAGAATCTACAAAGAAGAACTCAACAGATGGCTAAGAAATATCTAATAAATTCGTACTATATATAATATCACAAGAACATAATGAAGCACTGGTTGGTTTAGATATGAATTGATATAAAAATAACTAACCAGAACGGACGTCTCTAGAGATTTTGCCTTTGGCAAAAATTTGGCTGACGAGCACACGACATATCAAGACCCACCAGTAGATGTGAAGAATCTGTAAGCAATAGAGAAGTGTGTTGAAGACATAGTAAACCATCACTATAGGAGGTACTCCATTTTCCTTCAAATGCTTCTTGTCCCATTCCAATTTCACTTTTATTGATTCGTAGCTGCATAGGTCCATTTAGTACGTGTGGAAATCAACCAAAAAAAACATAAAGATCCATTTTACATAGCATTGTATATAAGTAAATATTAGGGTTTAAGGCCTTATGATATAGACCTGGTGCTCCATAGAATCCAGAGAGGGTAATAGATGAGTCGCAAAGCGGTCCACGACAAGAAGAACAGGACGAAAGAGGCGCTAGTCATTGCTTCGGCTCCGCTGTATTTGCACATCTTTCCTATCTCTAGAAACACGTCGCTGATTTCATGAAGAGACAATATTACAGAACCTAAACGTGCAAATCTAGTCATATAGCATATAAACAAAAAAGAGGAAGTTAAAGGTTATAAGAGTCACTCGTGGAGTAAGTAAATGTTGGTCTTTGATATCTTTTAGTCAGTAAGTAGGAGTAACCTGAAGATGTAAGACAAGATGATGAGGAAGGATGTTACAATGTGATGAACTAACATGACTTTGAAATCAGACCGTCTTGTTTCCCAAAAGAACAAAGCGAAAAATGAATATACATTCAACCCGCCGACAAACATATACATTCCCTTCATTTTCAACCTGTGAAAATGTCCCGTGATATACTCAGAAGAAGTTAATGTTTGCGGCATACGACAGCTTCTTGCGTTTCACGTAACATATATATTTAAGTTAAGCTTATTCTTGAATCTTACTTGATCTTTTGATCAGGCCATATCTGGTCTCCTGGTCCTAACCAGAAGCATCTTGTGTTTTTAAACCATGGCTCCTGATAAGTTACGTGGAGAGCAAGTGCTTCGGTGGAGAGAGAGCATAGACATTTCCAAGCTGATTCTTTGAATTTCACTATCTTCTTTCTTCTCTCGTTTGAATCGGCACAGTGTCCTCTAGGGAATATCACCCTTCTAGCGACTCTCTATGATGCAGGTGTGAAACTTTCAGATTACTTGTGTCTCAAGCCATGGTGATCAGTACTTAAAGACATAAAACAAACAGAAACTAGTGGTTTACTTACCTCGAATATGGATCTGTCGAGAAATAAGCGAAGAAAAAGAAAGAAAGGAGCAAAGAAGATGAGGATCCAAAAATCAGAAGAAGTTGGGTAAGATTCTTGATCCCAATCCAAATTCAAGAGTTTCAGATCCATCTAGTGGAGATCCTGCAAAAAAAGAGAGAAGAATCCACTAGACTCTATTCTGTAACATTATTATTATGTTTGATCACTTCTTGTTCTTCGTCTTCGTCGAAGTCAACTCAATGAGGGAATAAAGGAGAGAGTATCGCACTTAACTTTACTTTTGCAAGAGAAATAGATTAAGAAAGGCTATTACGTGATTCTCCAAGTCAGACATCACAAAAGAAGAGCAAAACCGGGATCAACTCTGTTTCCAACCATCATAAACCCAATAAACCGTTGAACCGACTTCGGTTTAACTCCACTCGCTTCAATTCTCTCAATTTGACTTCTTTATGCAATTCTTGGTACATGTCTCTGAGAGCTTATTTGTCCCGAGACTGATTATTTTATACAGAGTTGGTGAAATAAAACTGTTTTGTTTCTTGGATATTGGAAGTGAGTAATTAATAAATAAAAAAAGAAAGAAGAAAGGAAAGATTGAGTTGGTTGGTGAAAATGGGTACAGCTGTGAGAGAAGGTACAAATACGTAAACAAAGAATGTCGGATTGTGATTATTACAAACAAATTTACAAAAATGATTTCGTCATGAGGGAGCAGACAGCTTCTCTTTTCTCCTACTAAAACCTCTTTTTGAATGTTTTTACATTAAACCCACCAAGTTTGGTAATTTGTGACGTCACATTTAGAGCCATAGTAGAATATTCGTCAATCTAATTAAACTTTAATCTAGGATTAAGAGTTTGTAACTTCCTATAGATTTGTCTAGAGACTTATAATAAGAGTGGTTTTTGTTTGTAAAATGAATGATGTGGCTGAGGATAAAGAGCATATGTCAGAATAAGTTTAATTACCCTAATCGTGTTTAACTTTGAAAAACCATAATGATTAGGAAAAAGTTAAGAGTCTAGACACAGAAAAATCTAATGGAATGGTTAGATGTTTTAGTTTTATCCGATATGATATTGATAAATGACCATAAGAAAAATCAGTCAATTCAAATGAAAAAAAAAAAAAAAAAAAGTTGTCAAAGGAGAGATATATGAGTGAGGTAAGCTGATTTCTCTGTGTTTACATTTACGTGTCGAAATAACATTTTACAAAGATTCACATAAGTACGTAAATGCTCAAAACAGAGAAGATAACTTTATGTTTACGCTTAGCATTTGCGTTTTGTATAGAATATGATTAAGATAGAAATTACACATTAGATGTAATAATCATGTAAAAGCCAAAGTAAACAAACAACCAAAGTACAACAAGAAACAATTAATTTGAGTGAGAGGGGCAGGCATTATAAGATTTTGGTGCTAAAGGACACATGGCCTTCTTTAAGCCTTTTAGAAACCACCAAGATTTGTGATTTTATTCAACCAATCGTATTCATAAAAATTACCAACAACAAAATGAACCTTTTTACGGTCTTATAACAAAAGTTTATAAAACCGCAAACATTTTGTCACCAATTGGTTTAGGAGGCAACACAAGTCCCGTGCTGTTTTCTCACCGACTTGCCAACCAAAGTTATAAATTAGGTCAAGCCAGCGTCTGAAGATGCTTTCAAATCTGTGACTTATCAAAATCTAAAACCCACAAATAAATGAAACGGTGACAATAATAGTGACGTACAATGACATTCCATAGTCACACACACACACGTAGGGCAATCCATAGAAAGAGACCCACATGATAAAATCCAATGACTCCAACTCCATTTCTTAGCCATTAACGATTTGTACAAACTCTAATAAATCCTAACACACACATCTCTCCAAATTCGTGAGACCCACTTTAGTACCACCCCTTTCAGAATCGTTTTCTTTACTTAAATGAAATCAAAATGTCTTACCTTAATAATTATCTTTGTTTACATTACTCAAAGATGAGTCAAAAGTCAAAACAAACAACCCTTTTGTAACATTGACTCTCTTATACACACTTGAATTTGCTAGCTGTCTCCATTGAAGAACAACTTAGGGTGACGCCAGAGAAACAGGAAACGCAATGAAGACAGTTTATATTCAAACATTATACGTATTATGCTTTTATTTTCTGTCTTTAAATTTTTGTGTGTGTGACAGTTGTTATACTCGTTTTGTTTTGTCCTTATCCTAACGAAAAATAAAATGACAAAGAAAATCCAGTTGGGTTTTACCTTTGAATACAATTGAGAGAGGAAGAAAAGGCTGCAACAGTTTTTAAAGAGAGTAAGAGGATTGGAGGAGGAAGAAGAGTATTAAAGGAATGAGGAAGAGGAACAGCTCTTAACCTAATTAAGTAAATGCCTCTTTTATTCCATCTTGTTTGTTGAAGTGGGTCTCTTCTGATTTTCCAACTCAAAAGCTGATCTTTAATATTTAAGATAGCCTGTGATACATAAGAGAGAAAAGAAGAGAGAGAGAGTGCGTGTACAGAGAAGTTAAAACTTATCATAATCATATGATTATTATGAATATAAGAAGAGCAAAGAAAGGACAAGTTAAACTTATGAGCTTTGCTTACACATCACTAATGACCAGTAAAAGCTCAGAGAAGGATGATTCTTGTTTTGTGGGGTTTGATGTGTCCCTGACTCTAGACTAGATTACAGTTTGTTAGAGACCAAAATATTTGTTTAAGGAAAAGTTTAGATAATAACTACTATATATATTTAGTTAAATTATTGAAAAAGAAGAGCATATATAGGCTTTTAATTCTATAAGAGAGTGTACTTTATAATGAAGAAGGCACTAACCTTCCTTCCTTGATATATATCTGCAATGGCTTTGTCTGGTAGTGCTTCAATTGAGTGAAAACAATGGTGCTAGGGTTGCCATGTGGTGAAACTTACTCCTGCTCTTCAATTATATGAGGCTTCTTATAGGCTCCGGCTTTTCCTGATACTTCAAACCAAAAAACAAAAAAACAAAATTATATTTATTGATGATGGATGAGCAAAGCCTAAGAGAGACAGAGACACAGAGCCTATATCAGAGAGTAAACTGGTGAAGTGGATTCAGACAAAAAAAGGTACGTAAGGGGAAAAAAAAGTAAAGTAAGTAATCTTTTATTTTGTGTGTGTGCGTCTATGACTCTATGCTAATACTGCAACCTTGGTTTTGTTTTCTTCTTTGCGTTGCTCAAGGCCATGGAGTCTCCGAGGAACCATGGAGGCTCTGAGGAGGAGGAATACAGCAGTTGTGAGTCAGGGTGGACTATGTACATAGAAGACGCCTTCCATGGAAATGACCATTCTTCTATTGTTGTTGATGATGAGGATGATGATGGTGACATCGATGGTGATTCAAAGGCGAAAGAGGCTGATGATGGCGGTGACGAGGAGAGTGATGATTCGATGGCTTCTGATGCATCCTCGGGTCCTAGCAACCACCTTCCAAAGAAACATGCAGCTAAGAAGAATGGTTCTAAACAAGTCTCCCTTGAGAAACGCCAACACAGAGAGAAAGCAATAAGCAACGAAGGAGAAAAATCAGAGCTCAAAGCTAAGACAAGAACAAGTTCAGCTAGTCGTGTCCAGAGTAAAGGCAAGGTAGGCAAAACCAAATAATACTCTATGACGAATGAGAGAAGAAGATGTGAATCCAAATCCTGTAATGAAGAAGAGAGATGTTTCAGTCTCTCACCAATCCTGTTGTTTGCCTTTAATAAGCCATGTGTAGGTAGTTGCACATTGTTTTCTTTTTGTAGATGCTGTCCCAAATAACTTGTCTGCACGGTTCTCCGTTGGAATCCTGTTATATTACATGTACCCTGTTCTTCACTAATCAGAGCATATCCTGATCTGCATGTTCAACACATGAGCCATCAAGAGGATGATTCTGAGAAGAAAAACCAATATTTTGCTGATTAATCCTCAACAGTAACCAATTTAATTAGCAATCTTTAACGCACTGAAAAGCACAAATTATTTATGAAATACTAATCATATCTTTTTCCTAGAAAAAAGAAACGCTCATGGTAGAGGACAAAGCGGTTGATGACAAAACAGGAGTTTCTAAGGTTACCAGTATTGTTTCTATGATGTGTGGCCCAAGTAGCTAACAGCAGAGCTTTGCTTGCGAACAAAAAGTCCCCTGCTACTTTCAAGAGCTTCACATGATTCTTTTACAAAACAACAAATTGCAATCATTCAGAATCTGTCATTTTCTATTACTATAAACTGTTTCTAACCACTTCTTAGGAAACTACTTGCATATCAGGAAAGGGGTTATTAGAAAAGATCCGAAATGAAACTGTTCCACTGTAAACCATCTGTAACAGTGAATACTAGTATTACCCATCATAGAAACTTAAACAAACGTGGAACATTATCTATTGCGACAACAATAATAATTGCATTTATAATAGATCAAGAAACATCTATAGTAGTTCAAGAAACTATAGTTAGAGAAGTAACACAACCAAAAGGTAGAGACAAACGCTTACTAGAGCAATTCAAATGATAGATTTATCATCCCTTGATATGATCCTGGAAAATGAATAAGAAAGTAAATATATAATTTGAGCTCTAGATAATCATTGCAAAGAATTAAGCTTAATGAGGGCACAATTAATGGGAACAGAAAAGAACAAAGAGATTTTAGCTGGCAACTTTCCAGAAGAGGAAGACCCTCACGTTGATGTTATTCTCAGGTCGCTTTCGACTTTGTATAATCTCCAGTCCATCATAATGCACGTAGGAGCAATAAACAGATAGATGAAAATGAAAGATAGGCCGTCCCAACCTAATTATATGACCCACAAAACGTGAGATACATGAGAGAATGTTGCTTGGTAAAAGTATAAAACACTGAACTTGGTCTACCGATTTCACCTTCAGGAAGATTGAAGGACCATACTAGCTCAACGAGCAAAGGCGAAGAACCAAGCATTTGTGTCAACAATAGCATGTGCACGTTCCACTCCTAGTTGACAATGACACCATTGGACAACCAAAAGAGAACACAACAGTGTCTTGGTACAACAAGCAACTACCAATCAGTTATTGCCTTGCGAAACAGTACCTAGGCCTAACAGTATTATAACAAAACAAAACTTTTATTTTGGTCAATTATAAAACAAAACTTATAAAAAAAATGTATTAAAAGTCTTCAAAAAACTGAGTCAATAACTAATGATATTGAGGTTTCTTGGATCACAAGGGAAGCTATATGAAATCCAACCAGCACATCGAACTAAGAGCATGCCCAACTTCACCCAAACACAGAGTTACAATGATTCAGAAACAAATTCTTGAGGATAGAGACAATTTTAGTCCTAGCCTCTCTCTGTTGCATAAATATAGCTCTGACCACTTGAAAAGTTTAACAAAATTTTGAAAATCACCAAAGCATCATAAGACCTGGAAAGACAAAAAAAAAATGACAAACTATAAACCGTTTCATTTCTCCGTACCATTATGCAACCACCTTCAGCCTCAGAATCTCAATTGAAAAAACTTTATGCTCGCTATATTTATGGGATTCTCCAACAGAAAAAAGTTATTACAAAGGCACAAAAGATTTGAACGTTCATGAGTTAGAACATGATGTAATGCATCAGAGTCTGACTAGCAATTATGCCACTATATCTTTCTAGTTTTGGTCACTTGTAAATTGTTAAACGCAAAAACGGCCCAAGCATGCAAGAACAATCATGAAACTGCTTCTTCTCATCACCCAATGATCAACCATAGTAAGTAGTAATTATCATTCCAGAACAATCACAAAGAGCAAGAACACTGAAGCTGAACCCAAGAAAGATAAGTAATAAAGGATTTGTTATCTTCATTTCTGACTTCTTTTCAAGCCACTAACTATATCCCCCGCCAAACCAGTATCTCTTTGACTCTCAAAGACCCTAACGACAATGGTCTCCGACAACCACGAGTTTCTTCGTACTGCTTTTAATCCGATGTTATTTTTATTTACTCGAAACAGACAAAAAAGTAAAAGCAGAGAGTTTCTCAGTTATCCACAGCCACACACAACTCAACACTCTTTATCCCTTCAAATAATTTTTTTGTCTGGTTTCATGAAAACGAGCAAAAAAATCGATAATTTGACAAGAGTTAGTGGATACCATGCTTCTCGGCGGCACAATCTCCACTCCTCCGGCTTCTCTCCGGTTGAGGTCCACCTTAAACCCACAAAACGCAGCCGCACAGCCATCGCAAGCGGCGTTTCCCGCGGCGATGCAGCGACAGCCGCCGAGCTACTCGATCACCGACGAGGATCTCGAGTCGAGAGGCTTTCGTCTCCGTCGTACAGCGGAGGGACTGAACCTAGATCAGCTGAATTCGGTCTTCGTAGCGGTGGGGTTCCCACGGCGGGACACGGCGAAGATCGAGGTGGCGCTGCAGCACACTGACGCGATGCTGTGGGTGGAGTACGAGAAAACGCGGCGGCCGGTGGCGTTTGCAAGGGCGACGGGAGACGGCGTTTTCAACGCAATCATATGGGACGTGGTGGTTGATCCGTCGTTCCAGAGCTTAGGGCTCGGGAAGGCGGTGATGGAGCGGCTGATTGAGGATTTGCAGGTGAAAGGGATCTGTAACATTGCTCTGTATTCGGAGCCCCGAGTTCTCGGGTTTTACCGCCCGCTCGGGTTCGTCTCCGACCCGGATGGGATCCGAGGAATGGTTTTTATACGCAAACAGAGAAACAAGAGATGAGGAAACTTTTTTCTATTAAAATTCAAAATTATATAATCTTCTTTCGTAAATTCACAGATGATACAATGTCTCTGTAACTACACTTGTCATATAAGCTGAAAAAGCAGTGAGAAGCTTCGTTCTTCGTCTCCCTCAATCTTCAATTCTCTGTACTGAAGATGCAGAGAACTAAATAAAAGTTAGATACTTTGATACAATTATTAGTCCGATTGAAGATTTGCTTAAAGGAAATTCCGATTACTTGATTCGATGGTCAATTTGTAGCTTTAGCATGGTGGAAGAAGGCGACGGAGCAGAGTATGGAAGCGATGAGAGCGAAGAACCCTAATCCGACCATCAGAGAGATTCCGGCGACGATAAGATCCATCGCCGTCTGCACGCTTATCCCCATCATTCTCTCTCAGATTATTTCTCGTGATTTCTCAGCTACAATAAAATTTGGAAATCGTGGATAATTAGAAATGATTCGCAGAAGAAGTGAAACCTCGCTCGCTTTGACACGTTTACGACATGACCAGAGCTTATGACACTTAGCGCAATTTTAGAAACCCTCGTGTGATAATATATTACACAGACATATATATATATAGATACAGACACGTTGAGTATTGTTTTCGAAATGTACATAAAAATGCGACTTTCTCATGTTATCACTAAAGTAGACAGTTTTTCTACGACTGTTTCCTACTTCCTCGGAAAGTGCCTTCGAGTTCTGGGCATAATTTGAGGAAATTTTGGCAAGTTTCTGTCAGGGAACATGGAGGATGCAGCTGGAGGAGAAGTAGGCATTGGTGGATTAATGATTGGTCTGGGTTTGATTTCTTTGATCTCAACTACAACAGCATCTGCTGTCAGAAACGTTTTAGCCACTGACGCAGCGTGTTCCAGGCAACATCTCACAACCTGTGTTTCAGTTGTTAGACAAAAAAAGATACATGAGAAGCTGAAACAGATATCAAAGTGAGCTCAGTATAGTGAAATGACTTGAGTCTTGTGTGTTACCTTGGTTGGATCGATAATACCAGCCAACATCAGATCTTCGTATTGATTCTTTGCAGCATTGTATCCGTACATCATGTTATCGTTCAACAAGACCTGTAGATTTCAGAGTTAGCTGTTGTGGAAGTTAGGGATGGCTCTAGAGAGCTGACAATTATCAAATACCTTTTCTATGACGATATTGCCATTTGTGCCTGCGTTTTTGGCTATAAGTCTTATTGGGTAGCTTAATGCTTTCTTGAATATTTCAGCTCCAATCTGCATTTTATAATGTTGCAAAAAAAAAAGGTTAACAACTTCTGGGATGCTTAAGAAGTGGAATTAGCTCGATTGTGATGTTCCAGTTCCATAAACAAGTACCTTCTGTTCTGTGTTGTCGAGAGTCTCTTTGATTCTGTTCACTTTTGTAGCCAGTCGCAAGAGGGCGCAACCACCACCAACTACAATCCCTTCTTCAATTGCTGACTAAATTCTGAGTCATCATCAGGTTTCTTGGACTGACAATTTCCGAACCACAGAAATCGGTATGTTTTTTTGACTGGGAGTTACCTTGGTTGCATTCAGGGCATCTTCAACCTTTAGCTGTTTATCTTTCAACTCAACTTGCGTCTGTGCACCTACCTAAGGTCTCTGGAAGTTAGATTCAACATGAGATTGTTTTTTTTTTTTTTTTGTGGCAGCATTGCTTTACAAAGTTCACCTGGATAATAGCAATTCCACCGGATAATCTGGCTATTCTTTCATTGAGGATCTTCTTCTGAAATCTTTCCTCGGTGTTCTGAGTTACACATTATGATCAAATGAAAAAAAAAACATGAGCATCAAATATGGTGACTGTACATGTTCCTGTCAAAGAAGATCACTAGGCTAGTAAAGTGACAAGACATGGATAATAGAAGGACCTGGACGAGTTTTTTAATCTGAGAAACCCTTTCCTCAACTGCTTTCTGGGTGTTGCCATTAGTAACAATCAGTGTTGAGTCCTTAGTTACAAGAACCCTTTTTGCTGTTCCTAAGACCTCTTTTCCAGCCTTCTCTAAGCTCAGCCCCATCTCATCTCTGATCACAGTAGCTACACACAGAGAATAACCCAGTGATTATTCAGTACTAAGAACAAAAAAAAGCTGAAGCAAAAGTGTTATATGATATGCCCTTGTGAGAAGATGGAGCTTGACTACCTCCAGTTAAGATTGCAAGATCATCCAAGCAGTGGCTCTTGCGCTCACCAAAGGAGGGAGCTTTAATAGCCGCCGCCTTCAGGTTACCTTTCAGTTTGTTCCTGATCACCGGAGCAAGAGCGTCTTGCTCTATCTCCTCGGCAACTATAAGAACTGGATAGTCTTCTTTAACAGCAGAATCCAATATCTTGAACATATCCTTTGGATTTGTTATCTTCTTATCAACCAAGAGCAGCTACAATAAAAACATTTCTGGTATACTCTTAGCCACTGCAAACTTCCAAGATAATGTGAAAAAAAACAAAACAAATGAGAGTTCGTCTTGGTGCTGACCTTGCAATCATGGAATTCAACTTCTCTCTTCCTTCGATCAGTGACAAAGTAAGGAGATAAATAGCCACGATTAAACTGCATTCCTTCCACAACCTGAAGATTGTTCACGAGGTATTTGCCTTTTTCTATCGTTACTACACCAGACCTTCCGACATGTTGAAAAGCATCCGCAATCATGTTTCCCACTTCGTAGTCGTTTCCGGCACTAACCGCTGCAACATCAGCAAGCTCATGATCCTCAATCTGCAAACATCAGGTTCACAGGATTGCTCTATTCAAGGCTTTCTAATAACCCCATTCTCATGAGTACCCTCAGGGCTTAAGGAAATGGATCATTCACCTCTCTTGACATTGACTTGAGCTCTAAAACAAGAGCTTTTGCGGTTAACTCAATACCCCGGGCAACTTGAATGGGATTAGTTCCAGCAGAAACCACCTGAAGATAAGAAGGCATGTGCTCATTCACAAGCAAAACCGTATATGGTCGTGTGCATTATTACCTAATTGGTCAAAATTGGGGAATATGTACCTTAATACCTTCAGTGATAAGGCCATGAGCAAGCACTATAGATGTAGTAGAACCATCACCCGCAAGGTCATTAGTCTTAGCGCCTGCTTGTCTCACAAGCTTCACTCCAACATTCTCTAACGGGTCCTCCAATTCAATCTATAGCACACATTATATAGAATAAGAAATCTGGTTGTGGATTTGGCATTTCGTCGAACATCAGAAGCGCGCTCTAGCTATGAAAGGTTGAAAACAATTAGGAGATGAAGTAAACCTCTTTGAGAACAGTTTCACCGTCATTGACGATCCTAGGAGGTCCGTACTTGTTCTGCAACACCACGTTTCGTCCCTTTGGACCCAATGTCACGCCCAATAACTTCGCCACCATATCTGCACCTGCCTGCAACAAACTTCACCACCATTTTTCTCAATAAGAAAAACCAAAATTCTCACAAAATCCCTGAAATAGCAACTAAAAAAAAAAGCGCAAAAAGGAAAGAAAACCTGAAGCTTCTTGGTGACAGAGCCATCACGGTTAAAGTGAACCTCTTTTGCAGCGGCTCTTGCTCTCAGAGCGAAATTCGAAGACGAAAAGCGCGAAGAAGAAGAAGATGAAGAGGGGTTTTTGAGAAAAGTACGATCAACGAGAGGGAACGCACAGAGTGAGGAAGCCATTGCCGTTAAACGGAGCAAAGGACTACAAACAAAAAACTATCATCTTCAGTGAGTGTAAAAGATATAAGGTGGGAAAAACATCTCTCATATCTCTTCGTTTACATATATCGTTGGGCCGAGTTCCTTTACGTGTCAAATAATTTGGCCCGAGCCCAATACTAAGAGGGTAATGAATTTTTTTACTTCAACCTTTACAATCCGAAAAAAATGAGAAACTGTTTCACAGCGATACACTTCTGGATCATTTGGAAGATTTTCAAATGGTGGTGACTGTTGTCCATAATCCATTGATGGTACTAGAGTGTTCAATAAGATAGCCAAGGGATACATTTCTTCTGAAAATTGTGTACCTAGGTTTTTTAATTCCCTTGTCCCGGTTTGGTTAAGGTCGAATGTTGAGGCTGATGAAGCCATATTGCAACAAACAATGGGACTACATTCATCAGAGACACTGTCAAAGAACTGCATCTCATGAACCTTTTAAAGAGATTGAATGTAGCTCTACAGTAAATCGTACCAATTGATTTATCATATTCAAAGATCTGTGGGTTTCTTATCTCAATTTGAACATATTCAAAGAAAATGGTATACTCATTGCCTTTCTTCTACTGCTAGTTCTGTTGCTCATGCCTTAAGTCATGCTGTCAGATTTGGTTTGTCCAAAACTCATTTTGGTCCAATTCAATGAGGGCATTTCAATTTCTCAGTGGCTTTTCAATTCAACTTTGTACTGGAAACACGAACTTTTTGTTCATAAAAAATAGAATCAAAATGTTCTCCAAAAGTCAAGCCATATGAAAGCAAAATACTTCATATGGCAATGAACAAAAACTCATGGAAAAAAGTTCATATAGCACCATGCTCGTGTAGTCTGAAACATTAAATTAGTTTACACAGACTATGATTTTCTTAGGTGCAAAGCCACGTTACTAATTTTCAGTTTAGAAAAAAAAACAAAATTTTTACAACAAAGATTATCTTAGTTGCCTCAGATATACATCTGTTCTATCTCCCAAAACCCACAACAGAATCAATTATCTTTATATCAAACGTCCAAAAACACAGCAAAAAAGGGAGAAAACGGATTTGAAAGAGAAAGCAGGAGCAATTCAGAGAACTTTGAAGGTATATTATATATCCACATGAATTAGATTTCAGCGGCAAATATTTTCTCATCATCATGCTCTGCTTCTTTCTAATACCAGTGAAGAACAAAAACAAAAAGCACAATATCCGAATTTATATTGGCCAATACGCATATTTGAGAAGTTCAGCTATCGAACAGCCCTAGAGAGAAGGCGTAAGTGCCAATATATTGCACCAATTGAGTACCCTTTTCTCGATTTGTTCCTTGCATCTATATACTCAAAGATACAAGGGGCTATGCGGTGCTGATACTACCGCAAGAAAAATAAAAAGATGCAAATTTTCTTCACAAAACAGAGAATTGCAAAACCCATAAATCAGCAAACTCGATTGAAAGAAACAAAGAAGATATAGTCACTATCATCGATCAAAAAAACATTTTGGCTACAATCATACCAAAGGCACCTAAACGATAAACCATAAATCAGATGTATGTGATGAAAACTATTTAGTGTTAGATGAAATTCGCGGCTGTGTGAGATTAGGGGATTCGTGGAAGCATTTTATAAGAAGACAACAACCGGTTAGGTTAACAAGTAAGAACCGGGTCGGGTTTTTTTAAATCCACTCACAAAAATACTCGGCCCAAAACTAAAACCAATTGTAATCTTTGGTGAAGCCATTGTAATCTTTAAAAATATGGCAAACATAAATTCTTTACATGTATGTGTTTGATGCTCGACAGTGTGGATGCATATAGCTGAATTAATAATAATATTATAAAAAATATCTCCAAAAATATACATCGGAGGTATGAAAAATTCATGGATTCTGCCAAGTCAATATGTTTTGAAAAGTCGTAAATTATTTTGCCCATGTAAACAATAATGAATAAATAAAAAATCCATAAGCGTAAAATTATTTGTAACCATAACAGAGGATTTCATTCCAGTTATTCCATATTGTTTTGGGATGGAGAAGATTTTTTGAATCTACCGAGTACTAGTGTTAGGTTTTTGTAGAAGGTTTAAATAAACACTCTAAACTTATCATGTTTGATTCATTCCATACATATTTGTAGTTTCTTTCATGTTTTGATTTGACATACGTGTGATGTGTGCCCTTGTCTCTCTTTTGTTAGTCTGACCAACTACAGTACGTTTATTTCTTGAAGTTTATTTATGAATGTTTCTTAGAGAAATAGTGTTATATAGTTTAATGATCTAAGTTTGGTTCAAAATTTTGTCCATAGAAAAATTAAACAAGAATATGTACTGGGAAAATATGTATGCTATCATTTAAATCACAAGTAGAAGCATAGTTGAAGGATTCATGGCCTAAAATCTAGATTTAGAGACTTACTCTTTTAAAGCAAATTCTGAAAACCTTTAGGTCTATATAGGATATGTAGATGAAGAAAAAACTTTTATCAGAGTTGATTTAGGAATCATAACCTCTGGTCCTCTATGTATAAAAATAACTTTTCATAATTCGGCCGCTCATATAATTAGAAACTAACGAATGGTGTCCACGAATGAGTTTTTTCAGAGTACCACTCAGATTTTTTTATTGTATACAGATTGTGAAGTCAAAAGTGTCAATTCTTAGTAATTTTAGACTAAACTAGGTCAGCTATTATGTGGTAAATTTTAAACGTCACCAAAGATAATTTTTTTTCCTTTATATAATGTAAACAGTTTCTAACCATTTTATATTTTATGACAAAAAGAAAATAACTCTTATTTTGATATCAAAAAATAAGCTCTGCATGGGCATGGCTTCTTTAAGAGCCTATGTGTGTCTTTTGTTTTGTAGCTCTAGGAGATATCTCTGCGGTATCGCGAGATTTTACAATACATGATGGTTCTACACCTTCCTAGTAATACCTTAATTACTTTGGTTTCGTAACAACGTCTCTAATATTTTCACAGCATTGGGGTCGATTATTAAACCGAAAGTGTAAGTGCAACTGTAACACCACCTCTCCTCCGTATGAGATGACGTGTTAAACATTCAACTTCCCAACCAAATTACCACAACATTAACTCTAAATCAATACTCATTTCATAAATATAAATCTAAATAGTCTTGCAAATAACCAACTTAAATTCGAAATAAAACATAACCAAGTCTCAAAACCAACTGAAAACCATTTGAAACAGAAAGCTAAGTGTCTTAAGGACCCCAAGGACCGAACTAGAGAACCAGCTCGCCACCATCACACGTCAATCACCTCTGCTGCTCCTGCTCACCTACGTAAGGGGGAACGAGAAAGGAGGAGATGAGTAATTTAGATTACCCAGGAGAATACATACATATGGTCCACCACACGTATGATTACCCAACCTATCGCTAGCTAGAGCCAAACGAACAAGCGCAGTTTAACGATTTCTCTAACAATCAACAAACAAATATGCAATGAACAAAGCGAGCATACTGAACGCCTCTCGTTACAGTATCCCATGGATTAACCTCCACAAGTTTCGTATGTCTTACACCCTTGCTAGGGGACGCATCTCTGCAAGAGTCTAAGTCGCTGCACGACTGGCCCGTCGACCTGAGCACCACATGGCACTACGACAGGCACAACCTCTGTCGCAGGCGTCAATCATGCCAGCAGTGCCTCTCACTGCTGGGTCCTAATGCAGTTTGTGTTTTCACACACTATATGCAATGCAATGCAATTCACAATTCTCACAAGCAATATTCAACATCAAGCAACAATCAACCATATTAATCCATACCTAGATCTATATTCTGAAAGTAAATAACAACCTAGCAAACAGCACAGATCTACAAGTTACGACCTAGAGCGGAACTTGTAGGGAATTTAGAGGACTTGGAAGTCAGATCTAATCAGGAGAAGCTAGCTAACAATATCGAAGGGAAGACATGAACACATCCTCACATTTGCCTAATCGAATGAAAGCTAAAAAGGAAATCTAGGGTTTAAGGGATCTAACGACAGAAAGCAAAAGACTCAAGAAAACGGCGGCTAGGAACGGCGGAACGACGGCTTGCTCGGTTAGGGTTCCTAGGTTCTATCTCTGGGTGCTTTGGGAGTTGTGATGAAAAACCTAACTCTCTAACTCTATTTATATAGGGAAGACTCTAGGAAAACCCTAATATCCTTTTCTTTTGGGCTTCTGACATATGAACTTTTCATTTTCCTATTGGGTCTAGATCCAGGGCGTTACAGCAACTCTGACATCGAGGCCATTTACGTGACTAGTGATCTGGTTATAGTAAACATTGTACCATACAATAAATTAATGGCTCAATGTTTTCTCTAAATTAAAAAGATTTATTCACATAATGGTTTTGCTCGTTGTACCGACAAGAAGCTAGAAAACTCTATAAATCAATAGACAATTATAGTAGAAATATTATTTCATAAATGACATGGAGTTTACATTGACAACTTCAAAGTTTAAACCAAAACGTTTCATCTGTCATGTTCTTCCAATTGTTTGTATCAAAGGATAACTTATTATTCTATAAAATATGATTAAATATGAATTTTTGTATAAAACAGTTTTTAAATTTGCAAGCAAGTTGTTGTTGTTTAAGGCTATTACTTTGAGAGAAACGAACTAACGCATCTTAGAAGAGCAAGTAAAGCATATTTGGAACGTAAAGCAAATTAAAAGTTTTGCAATATCAGTTATAGAATATTTATATATATGTTTATGTATATATATGTTATGTTATGCCCCTATAAATAATCATGCGTCTATGTGATTTATAAATGCTGAATCATTAATTGTATAAGTTATCACATCTTGGTAATCAAATTTAGCTGAATTTCTTTTCTTCTAGTAACTATAAGAAAATATAGAAAAGTTCTTTGGCTTGTGCTCCTTGCATCTAGCGGTATAGTAAATGATAGTGACTTAGTGAGTTTAGATTGACAATTTCAAAGTCTACCCATCCGAATTTGGAATTTGGTAAGGGGTAGCTACCAAAGACATCTTCCTAGTTTTTACCTTAAACAAATACTCAAGTTCATTTGACTTATTAAACAATTTAACCCTATTGCATTAAGAAACATTCATAACCTTAGTAAACAATCATACCAATTGCAATGATGGCTGCTATATAAATCGCGCTTGATTGTTGTTGCAACATATTCAAAAATAAATTGGTTAAGAGAGTCTTAGACTAACAAAGAGTACACAAGTTTTGTCAACATGGCCAATCTTAATTGGTCATCTCCACTTATGTTGGTCTTAGCCTTGTATGCCATTGCTAGTCATACAAGGGCACAATACTCTCCACCATCACCAACACCATATGTTTATACCTTTCCACCGCTCCCACCATATGTTTACAACAGTCCCCCTCCGTCTCCATATGTCTACAGTTCCCCACCACCACCTCCATATGTTTACAAATCTCCACCACCACCGCCATATGTCTATAGTTCCCCACCACCACCGCCATATGTCTACAGTTCTCCACCACCACCTCCATATGTTTACAAATCTCCACCACCACCTCCTTACATCTATAGCTCTCCACCACCTCCTCCATACGTTTACAAGTCGCCACCTCCTCCTCCATATGTTTATAGTTCCCCACCACCACCGCCATATGTCTATAAATCTCCTCCACCACCTCCTTATGTCTATAGTTCTCCACCGCCTCCACCCTATGTTTACAAATCTCCTCCACCACCTCCATATGTCTACAGCTCTCCACCACCTCCGCCTTATGTTTACAAGTCTCCTCCCCCACCTCCATATGTCTATAGCTCTCCACCACCACCTCCTTATGTCTACAGCTCTCCACCACCACCTCCCTATGTTTACAAGTCGCCACCACCTCCACCATATGTTTATAGTTCCCCACCACCACCACCATATGTCTATAAATCTCCTCCACCACCTCCATATGTCTATAGCTCTCCACCACCTCCGCCTTATGTTTACAAGTCTCCTCCACCACCTCCATACGTCTATAGCTCTCCGCCACCACCTCCATATGTTTACAAGTCACCACCACCTCCTCCATACGTCTACAGCTCTCCACCACCACCACCATATGTTTACAAGTCGCCACCACCACCTCCTTACGTATATAGCTCTCCACCGCCTCCGCCATATGTTTACACTTCCCCACCACCACCGCCATATGTGTACAGTTCTCCACCACCACCTCCTTATGTATACAAGTCTCCCCCACCACCTCCATATATCTACAGTTCACCTCCGCCTCCTCCTTATGTTTACAAGTCTCCTCCACCACCTCCTTACGTCTATAGCTCTCCACCACCTCCTCCATATGTCTACAGTTCTCCACCACCACCACCATATGTTTACAAGTCTCCTCCATACGTCTATAATTCTCCACCACCCTATAGCTATAGCTATAGCTCACCCCCTCCACCACTATACTAACCATATATACATGATGAAGTGAGTTTGAAAAGAAGATCATGACCATGGCATCCCCGGTGAAGATTTATCTTTCGAGACTTCAGTATAGAAAATATACTTTCGTTTGTACTTAATATATTTCTGGTTGACTTCTGGTTGTTGTTTTTGATGTTGTTTTCCCTACAAAAAGATTGTCTTCAGTTTATAACTATTGAATAAAACTCAATTATTATTTTTAATGAATGCGGGTCATATGAAATATATCTGTAAGCAGTAGCTCAAATAACCGGCAGAGCTATGGAGAAAAGATTGATGTTTTGTGCTTGCTGAGTAGACTAAAAGCTTAGTAGTGTATCTATACGAAATAATTTGTTATCGTTCTGTACATAGTATATTGTAAAGGATGTGAGGATTGATTGATTCACATCAACAAGAATAAAAACCGAAAGCACAAGACATTTTCCATTTATATATTAAAATTGAATATGTGTATATATAAAAATTCATTACGATTCTGATACGATTGCTAAATGGGTTTAGTGGGCCTTTCACATAATTCTCTTATTTGTGTGTGAAACCCATTACAAAAGGGTATATGTAACACGAAAACGTAATGGTGATGTTTATCGAAAGATCAATCAAAAACCATATTTTCTATATTCTCTCTATCGTCTTCTTCCTCTTCTCTTCTCCACTTTCTTCTGATTCTCTCACTCATTTTTTCTGTTCTCATCTCCATTTCTTCCTTATCTTCCTTGATAGAATTCGGTTCCATCAATTGGTGCTTTCATTGAGAGTTTGTTTCGAGAGAAAATGACAGCAAAGGAGAAATTCGTCGAACATGTGGTGTGCGACCCAACTCAAAACGTGTCTCTCAATTCGTGTATCTATGCTTTGCATACCATTCAGAATTCTCATGACAGCAAAGAGACAGCAACGTTGATTCAACCATCCAATGAGGTTGAGCCATCCTTTTTGGAAATAGTGAAGAATCATTCTCTGGCAGCTAAGAATACCATGAAGTATCTCGGAGTTAGAAAGATCTCTGTCAAAAGATGTTATCATAAGACTCGGAAAAAGAAATCGACTAAGTACACATCACATCCTAAATTGGTGCAAGTTCTTAAGTGCTACGGTATGTTTCGCTGCTCAGGTTTTAGAGGTTGTTTAGAGTCGCAAGATAGAGAGAGCACCCTTCAGTCCATTTCCACGTTTCGCGCCTCAGTCTAAGCAAAGAAGATCCAGAGAAAAGGGTCTATCCACGTCGATTAAGTCGTCCCATGGTGCTGAGCGAGAATTTCTGGAAAAATGCAAAGATGAAACGGAAGAGAAGCATTAGCTTGTCTCTATGTGACTAAGCGTGTATGGGAGCCTGGCGGGTTATCTATTAAGGCAGCTATGTATGACTGGCCAGATGAGAATCAAGGTAACAGAGATATGTTGGAGATAGCTGGGGAGAATACAGAGACCTTATCTCTACTTGAAGTAGGTATGATGATCATGTCTCCACAGCTTAGTGGTACGTTAGTAATGTGCTTTAGTGGTAGTAAAGAAGCGTGGTTAGAAATAGGGCTCAGTGATTACAAGAAGCTGGCCGCTGGTCAGTGTTTCAATTGCTCAGTTGCGAACCTGAGAAAGAGGTTAAATGGGTCTGCGAAAGTGGTTCCTTATCTTCAGCAGTATGTGTGGGATCCAGGCCAAGTTATGATCTTGATGGAGCTCGAACAAGTCCGTAGAATCAAAGGAAATGGTCAAGGATATATGTTGTGTTCTGGTTCTGATATACAAACACTGCTTGTTGAACACTGTTTAGAGGTGCATGAGTTTATTAAAATTCAAGGAAGTGCTGAAGATACTATAGCTGTGGTTATTGATCCGGGTGGTGTTTTGCAAGAGAGTGGTAGTATTCACGGAAGTGTTTATGCTACTATAGCTGTAGCTTTTGATTTGAGAGGGGTCCCACATGAGATGATAATTGACGAGGTGTTGAGGTTATTGAAATGTTTTGGTGCTCATAATAGAAGCTTGGAGACAGAAGAGAAACAGATATTGCGTGTTATACATCAGCGTCTAGAGCTTCAGAAGTTGTCATGGTCTGAGAAACTTTATGGAACGAGAGATTTGCTACAATATTTAGAGAGTGAGAATCAAAGAGAAACTTGCAAATCACCCTCGAGCTATGGTGCTGGTTGGGGTAAGATGATTGGGTGGATACATGTTCACGTTGGTGAGAACCGGAGCCAAGAAAATGCTACGCTAGAAGTGTTAGAACAGATTCACAATTCTTCACGAGAGTTTAAGCTTGCTTCAGGTTGTGTCTTGATCTTAGGAATGCATAGCCTCCAAGTGGAGCTGTTTTTGTTGACCATTACCTTCATCCACCTTGAGGACAAGGTGTATTTTGCAGGGGCGAGTAAAGGTATAAGTAGAAGATGGGTTGGTGGAGCAGTCACGAAGAAGCTAGGAAATGTCAGAAATGAATTCATGAAGGTTAAAACTAGTTTCTCAGGAGATCTTAGGGTCACAGTGACCACGTTTATGAAGATAAACAAAGTGGGTAAAGCTGATGGGGATATTAGTGATGATAAATAGGATCATGTCAACTCCATTAGCGAATGTGAGCTTCTGTGTTCTGTTAAAGCTACTAAATTGCTACAAGCGGTCAATCCAGAGACAACAAAGGTGAAACATAACTTGGAAGGTGGTGATGATGCCTTCAAAAGAGCTAATGTTGTCAACTCCGCGGAGGAGCAAAGTGAGAACCCTTCGGCTTCAGTCCTTACTTATGGAATGTTCTCCTCTCCGAGACCACCAGAAATATTATTTTGCAAAGTGGGTTTCTGGTTTTGGTATTCCGGTAGATCGTTGGTGGAGTGTGGCCTTAGGGACAAGAAGAAGAGGAAGCTGCACTGTGAGAGTAAGGATTATGAGAGGGAGTTGATGTTTGGGGAGTTTCATTGCTACTTGGTGTTTTATTATGACAGGACAATTCTTCCAAAGCTGTCGAATTCTGAATCAGGTATTCCGGAAGTTATACTCAAGAAGCTAGGCCGGTCAGAAAATGCGTTGGGACCTTCTGTGGAAGTTGCTAGAAGAATCAGGCTTTCCGTGACAAACAAGAGTAAATTGGAGGAACTTTGTGCTGAGTTTCGCACTTTTGGTGTGTTTCATTTGCAAAGGCCACCAGAGTGTCTGCAGGAATGTGCAGTGAAAAGAATTGGAGTGCTTTGGTTTTCGGACTTCCTCGGACAGAAGAACAGAGAGGAGATCGTGAGCATCATAAGAGAGATGTTCAAGGAATCAAGGTAACAGATTCATCACTCTTCACTTCGGGAACCTTTTGTCCATAACTCTCCTCCTTGAAGGTTTCATGCGTCACAGCTGCAGTCATTATGTGTTCCAGAATGGCGGTCATCGTTTCAGCCTTCTACCTTGAGGACAAGGTAGCTCTTCAACGGGAGAGTATTGATATGATTGCTAAATGGGCTTAGTGGACCTTTCACGTAATTCTCTTATTTGTGTGTGAAACCCATTACAAAAGGGTATATGTAACACGAAAACGTAATGGTGATGTTTATCGAAAGATCAATCAAAAACCATATTTTCTATCTTCTCCCTATCGTCTTCTTCCTCTTCTCTTCTCCACTTTCTTCTGATTCTCTCGCTCATTTCTTCTGTTCTCATCTCCATTTCTTCCTTATCTTCCTTGATAGAATTCGGTTCTATCAGATTCATAGTTTTAAGCATCGAATGGTGATGGTGCTGAGTGGGGGCAGAAGGAATGCGAGACGTATGTATATATGTACAGATTTCTAATTTTGTTAGTATTTAGTGTCTTAAGACATCAGTATCGTTAACACTAATTTGATTACCGTTAGTATTGGACAGCATTCTATGATAATAACTTTGAACAACCAATTTATTTCCAAAACTATGTTTTTTTGTATCTAACAAATACTGTAGTTCTCAAACTATTCGTTGTGGATTCGGGTGAATTCGGATGAACTCTTAATTCAAACCTATGTAAAAGAAAGAAGAAATGACATTGAGGTGAATTTCCTCTTGTCTAGGGGAAATAGTGGTAGTAATTTTGAATTTCTAACCGAAATATATCAATCTTCAGTGTTTATAAAGTATATCTTGTTCTCTCCCATATTGATGCAAATGTTACTATATATATTAAAAATTATCGTTATAAAGATCAATGCAAACACAAATATTTAAACGATATTTCCACGTTGCGCTCTTTCTCCCTCTGGCTTACTCTTTTATTGCAGCAGAAACAAAAGAAGAGAAAAGGAGCATTGTCTGAAATCTGAACGAAGGACCCATTTCGGAAAAGCATCAGTTTGAAAAATTCGAAATTGAGGAAAAAGATTTGAAATTGGCACGGAATCTGAAATGGGTATCTCTTTCTCTTTCTTCTGACGCTTTCACTTGGAATAATGATACTCCTTTTGAAACAATGACTAGGTTTTTCTTTTTTTTTTTATCTTTCTCTGAATCGAGTTCCTACTTTTTAAAGCATGCTCCTTTTTCTTCCGTTGACTGTTTATACTCCCCTTTCTTCTTAACTTTCTCTTGTTCGCTCGTGTGTTCAATCTCTCAGCTCTTGTTGTGTAGAAGAAGATGGGTTTCGTATGATTTCAGTTCCACCAAATCTTGGGGGCTTAGCTTAGGCTCCTTAGAAGATCAGTTTTAAAAGCCATGGACATGAGTGACAGAGACGAGTTTGCCGCAGAGAAGAAGAGCAATCGTGATAATGGTGTGCAAGACTTGGATTCGGTTGATACGCCTGCGGATTGGAGAATCTCTGGCTCTAATCCACCAGTTTCGTATCATCTCGAGAATCCGATCTCGATATCTCACTCATCTTGCTCGGAATCATTCAGACAAAGTCTTTGGCATGAGGGAGGTTTCAATGTCCACACCGATGCAGGCGCCTCCAATGCAATGTCTTCCTTTGGAAGTAATAATGATATTGAGAGACCTCTTGAAATGGGTTGGAGCATGGCTGATTCGGGATTCATAGAGCGTGCTGCGAAGTTTTCGTTATTCGGATGTGGGAGTTTTAGTGAAATGATGACGAATCAACAACAGTCTCTTGGAGTTTCAGAATCAGCTGGCTTGTTTCTTCAACATACAGAAACTGCAAGTGGGTCTCTTAAGGTGGTGAAAGACAGATGTAATGTATCAGATGATTCTCAGTCTAGTGGAGGCAAACGTGGGGAAACATCTTCCAAGGGAGATGACAGTAAGAAGAGGAAAAGAGTTGGGAAGGTGAAAGAGATTTACTGTAACTCTTTTTGTGTTTTTTTTTTGTTCTTCAGCCTTCTGTAATCTGATTATATCTCTGTTTGGTAGGATTGTGAACCTGATCAATCACATAGAGCTCAGGGGTCTGGTGAGGAACAAGAAGATAAGAAGCAGGAGGATGAGCAAAGCCCGAATTCAAATGGTAACAAGACTAATAGTGGGAAGCAAGCTTCTGATCCTTTAAAGGATGGGTATCTCCACATGAGGGCACGAAGAGGCCAGGCTACAAATAGCCACAGTCTTGCAGAAAGAGTATGAACTATAAGTTGAATAGAAGCAAATATCTTCTGTTCTCGTTTAGGGTGTGGTATTGATTTGGTTAAGCTTAATGATTTATAGGTAAGGAGAGAAAAAATCAGCGAAAGGATGAAGTTCTTGCAAGATCTTGTACCGGGTTGCGACAAGGTAAAGTCCTCTTCTTTTTAAGCCGTTGATGTCTACTCAAAAGGAAAGCCCTTTTTCATATAAATGGGGAACTGGATTTGCTGTGTAGGTGACTGGAAAAGCAGTTATGCTGGACGAAATCATTAACTATGTGCAATCACTTCAATGCCAGATCGAGGTTTATCTTTGTATCATGCTTTTTGTTCTTGTTTAGTTCTTGACACATCACTTGACTAGTAGTCTCACTTCTTCATTTGATTCGCAGTTTTTATCTATGAAACTTTCGACTGTGAATCCTGTACTCGACTTTAACCTCGAAAGCCTCCTTGCCAAAGATGTATGATATTTTGGGAACCGACTTCTCTTTTTTTTTTTAAATCATTTGAAGTAGTTTGCTTTCATATGCTGTTGGTTTCTTTTTACTCATGCAGGCCCTTCAATCATCTGCACAAACATTTCCTCAAAGCATGTCTATGCTTTATCCTCCTCTATCGTATCTCTCTCAAACAGGAATCATGCAACCCAACTTTTCCTCAGTGTGTCCCTTGAATGGAGGATTGAAACGGCAGGTATATATAGTATCTCTTGTTGCAGAATTATTTTTTTCTCTTGCATTCGTCTGATCCTGTTGGTGAGTATTGAACAGGAAACACATGGATACGAAAGTGATCGCCACAATATTGTACAGATGAACCATGGAACTGGCACTGCACCTGATCATGAAGACGCAACAGGTGAATGTAAAAGCCTGATACTTTTCTTATCTGCAGTTACTCAATTACTTAAAAACCCACTCAAGCTTTTTCATGTCTATCATTGTCTTACAGCCAACACGAAGGTGAAGCCGTAGATGTTTCTTCTTCACTTTGTACTCTAGCTGTAATAACATGAGCTGTGATCGAGGAATTTTCATTTAACTTTGCACAGAAGAGTGGAAATGAGACAGAGGAGAAAGCAGATCTTGTCTTTGTAATCTGTACAGCTGGGGAGAAAGAGTCAAGAGTAAGAAGCAACAACATTTTGTGATGGAGAGAAATAGATGTTGCCAAGGGTCACTGCCACTTATTGTCTTCTTCTTCTTTTGTGTACATATAAATCGATGTAGGGAAGACAAATGTTGATGTATAATACTAATGTGCGGTGTTTGGAAATACATTTATATATGCCGCGATGCGATTTGTTCGTTTCCATTCTCTTTCTTGCTTTTGTAAGACATCTCAACCTTTGCAACAGCGATGTACGTCGGAGATAATGAAAGGCAGGCCTCTCTCGTACCATTGAAAGTTCTCTTGGCAACATCTCACAATCTTCATACGGATCAAGATTTGCTATGTACTTAGGCACCTATTCAGACAAAGGGATTGATGCCTTGGGAAAACAAAGACTGTATCAATCGGAATCAGCTCTACTTCAACCAAATCTTACCAACACCATTCAAGATTCTAATGACAAGATCCCAGCTTGTTAGATGTGTGCTATATGCTCACTAACATCAAAATCATGAATTTGAATAGAAGCAATCACTGACGTTAAAGATTGAGCGAGTAACGTTGACAACAGATGTGTGCAAAATGAGCCTTGTCAAGATAACTTAACTTCGCTGTTTGTGAATATGTGAAGAAAGGCCAAATAACATAGACAAATGATATGAAACAAAGCTCTATTCTTTTCCACTTTTTTTCCCCCAATCTACAAGTTATTTATATAACAAGGAGGTGTACACTAAAAGCAGAAACCAACGAGGCCCTGAAGGTTTAAGAAATTTTTAAAAAATTGAAAAAAAAGACACATGCTAAATTCTCTTCATCTCTCGAGTCTCCTCCACACTAAAAAGCTGAAATCAACCAATATTTACACTACTAAAGCAATTCCCATTCATACCTACGCCTTTTCACGTGTCTAAGCATGAGGTCCTTAGAAACACGAACCTTCCTTCCTCTTCTTCCTCTCCAGTCTCTGAAATCTCAGAACTGGCACGAAGTTCCCAGCCTCTGCCTCAGATTCTGTCCTAAAGTTATCGCCTTGCGCTTTGCAAATGCCGGATAAAGTAGCTCTTGATACTTATCCAGGAAAGTCGTCCACTCCTCTTCACTCATATCCGAGAGCTTTACAAAGCTTGTGCTTGATGGGATCTGTTCTTCTGCACTCCTGTGCCCAGATGATGCATATGCGCTCTCCGCTCTTGTTCCTGGGTGTTTCTGGTACTTCTGACTCTTCTCACCAAGAAGAGTGGTTTTGAGAGACATTGAAAGCTTGGTAATCCCCGCCATTCTCTCTGGATTAGCACTCTCATTCTCTTCCTCCTCATTGTCTTCTTCTTCTTCTTCTTCTTCCTCCGTTGTTTCTTCGACCTTTGACAAAAGACTACGAGCGTTTCCAAGTGGAAATGCTGGTTTATCGAGCATCGCTTCCTCACAGTCTAAATCGAACTGGAATTCAACATCACCGCCCAAGTCTGATCTTGGAGACTCAGCTTCCTTCTCTCCTATCAAACTCCTAGCCTCAAGACAAACCACTTCAATCTCACTCGGTTCCTCATCTCCAGGACGGACCTCTCGAGTCATCATCTCACCGATTTCTGCCAAGCTCAGGCCATATGCAGCAGCTTCCTTGAGTAAAATCGTGCAGAGAACTAGAACACGGAGACTGGCCTCTCGCACCATTGGAAGCTCCCTTCGCAGCATCTCACAATCTTCAAAAGGATCCAGATTTGCTATGTATTTCAGCTCGTCTTCAGAGAATGGGATCGATGCTTGTGGCCAATGAATCCACTCGAAGTAAGGGTCCTCCAGAGTTTCTGGCAAGCAAAGACCGTGATCGATTGGAATGAGCTCCACTTGGCCAAACATTCCAACGCCATCCAGTTTCCTCACGAGAAGGTTCCCTGAGTGCCTGTCTGTATTCAAGATTCTGACGTCAAGAATCCCTATACGATGCACAGCTGAAACAGGGAAGTTTGATGTTCCGTGCTCGCTAGCATCATAATCATGAGGTACGAACTGCTGCAAGGAAGCAATCTTGCTCACCAACATCTTCTCCATTGGCTTGCTCGCCTTCACTCCGTCGTTGACATTAAAGATCGAGTGAGTAATCTTCACAAGAGCAGTGGGTGGAACATTTGCAAAACTATCCTTGTCAAGGAGATAAGCCGCGACTTCTCTGTAGCCCGTTTCCCCAACCCGCACAGAACGTTTCAGCCCAGGTTGTCCAAGCGCCTTACCAACAAAGCCTTTCGGGTTGTTGGGAGCAAAAGGCTCTTCATCAGTTGGTTTAACAATGGCAACACTCTCGCCACGGCTGTTCTTAAAGAAGTAAGCACCTCCAAGCCCACTGTGGACAGCAACTGGATCTATTCCCTTCTTCACTGCCTTTTTAATATCCTTCGCCATTTGCCTCACAAACGAGGAACAAACCGAGTTCCCAAGAATTTCAATAGAACTGCTCTCATCTCTATGCTGCTGAAGATCAGCTCTCATTGGAGAAAGGCATGGAGTCGATGAACTCCTGTGAAAATTGTTACGAGTGAGAAGGAGAGGAGAATCGTTCCTTACAGCTGTGAGATCATTCTGAAGCACCAAATCCCCAAAGGTCAAGGAACTTTCCTCGGTGGGGAAATTAAGAGCAACCTGCAGTTTCCTTTTCACTGTGTGCGCGTTATCACTACGATCCAGCTCCATCCCCAGTACACAACCAGTCTCTGTCTGGACAAAAACACGCCTACGACCCACAGGCGACTTCATCCCTACCTTGTTAATCTCACGGAACTCCCCACTCAAGGGGCTCTTTAAAAGCGCCACAGCCATTTGTGTCTGAACAGGACTGTCAAGCTTACGTGACATGAGTGTGGAGATCAAGTCAGAAAAAAAGTCACAGCCTTTTGTGACTAACAACAGTCGAAGATCGCTGCAGAAGATACTACCTCCTTCCGGGACAGGTGACTAGATCCAAGACCAGAAGTTGAAACCAACGAGTTTTCTCTAAGCAGTACAACCAAACCAATCCTCGAAACTAAATAATGAACTAGACTCCACGACGAGCTTCCATGGTTAAAGCCCAGATGGAACGAATATAACAATCTGCAAAGATAGAAATTGAGTCGAGAGTGAGTGAAACACACACAAAAATCAGAACTTTCATCTCAGAATAGATCACCGAATAATAAGTAAAGGAGCATGTTACGAATTAGAACACGTTATCAGGAATTTCAATAACAAATCGTTTTCATTGACATATACTAAAACTAGCAAATGGAAAAGTAACAGAAACATTTGAATGTGTATCTTCAAAGAAACACTAATTCCAGAAATTTGCAAAAGAACCGTATTAGAAAACACCGAGTAGTGAAGAATGTCATCGAAGCCGTGTGTGCAAGAACATAATAGAGAAATCTAACATCCGAGATTCATGTAATTGACTTTGCTTGCTCTAGTTTATAATTAACATTGAGCTAAAAAGAAAACCTAACCGAAATCGATTTGAGAGATTTGAAGAATTAATTCAAATCTCAGACTCATAAATTAAATCAGAAACAGACAACAAAACGAAAAAAAAAAATTCAACGAAGAACGATTTGAAAACGCGTCGAGTATCCATTTTTTTTTCCTCAAGCGAACGACACAATATACATAAAATATTGAAGCGAGAGAAGACTCTCACCAGACTCGACGACAAGCGAAAATGACGCGCCGGCGAGGAAATTAGATGCGGAGAGGCGGCAAGAGAAGAACGATATCGGGATAATGAGCTAGATGAAACAGCCAACGGAGACAAGGAGCTCGAAAAGCGAATCCAGCAGAGAGAAAAAGCCAACTCGTTCCGACTTCCGAGTCGACTCAGGTAGGTCTCTCTTCGCTTGAAGCTGTTTTTTTTTTCTCTGTTCCTATCTCTTTCGCTTGTGCATTGGCTTAAATCTCTCTCTCATCACTTACACAGACATTTAACCCCTACCACCGCTTAACCCAAGGGTCAGAAACTAACCATGGTTAAAAAGGCTTGAAAAGGCCCAGGAGAAAATATTTAAAATCGAAAATAAAATTAATAATCAGCTAAGTATAGACTTGCGTTATTTCTCTCTGTTTAAATACGAAGGATCTAGAACGGAAGATTACAGCCGTCGATTTAACGGAAATAATGTTGGCGAAATGAGGAACGTAGGATGGAGCACCGGCCTATTGAGGGGACTTAAGAAACGGAAGATGATGACGTGGACATTCACGATTAGAGCTCTGACGTGGCAGTGGTCAAACATCTCAATCAGGGAATTATCAAAATTACCCTTTTGACCGGACCAATTAGTTTCCCAAAATTGGAAATACAACCATGATACAAGTGTGCGTGATGGAAACCGACATCTCTCAAGATTATTGACGTATTCTCCAAGTGATTTTGATGTGTGTTTACAAATAATATCATCAAGATAGTTAAAACAAGATCATAATCACAATCTTTGTCACTTTAAAGTTAGAAACACAATTATCTAATACTTCATGATTAGATTAGACAGCTGTATTAGAGCAATATTAATCATAATCGTTGAACATAAAATTTATATTTGATATCCGCATTTTAAAACAATGTTGCTGTGCAATTCAAAATATGTATTCGACCTAGTTTACTGAAACCACTATACGAACAAGTGGTTCGACATGGGTCTACTGAAAGTGCTACAAGGTTCGACTAGGTCCATATATATACCATGTGACTTTTTTTTAGTTTGTTGCATGGTGTTTAAAGACCTCTAATGTTAAATTGTTACGTAGGGTTTTAAAAATCGTACAAACTGTTTGATAATCTATAAATAAAGCACCGACGAAAAAATTATATGGTCGGAGATAAACAACAACGTACACACATTGTGTATTGATCATGTGCTTGCCTCAATTTCATTACTTAAGTTGAATCACTATTACATCTTGGGACATTTGTAGCTTGTGAACATATATTATCCATTTATCCCAAATTAATATATTCAGTTTCTTTTTAAAAAATGCAATGGAATGCATAGACCCTCGTTTTGGGATCAAAACTCCGTAAATTTCAAAACCTACCTAAATTTACGAGGACAGTGAAGCAGTGTTTATATTGAGTTATCTCATATTTTATCTTTAATTATGGGTCATTTAAACTTTTGGTACGTCTTGATATGGTCAATTTGTTGCGGAAAATAGCTAAATACTATTTCCCGCATATTAGTTAGTATGTTGACCATAATATTTGTTTGCAAAGCAATTTCGCAAAAGGGATCAAAATAGAGTTGTCTGGTCAAAATCCCCATTGTTATCGGGAGTCTTTACAAAGAATATAACCCGGATTGTCTGTAGACATCTATTGGATCACGAGTTGGATCTTAGGTTTTCAAACTGCACGGAGATAGGTTGTCTCGGATATGGATAGTGGACTCGTATATGTCAAATGAACATGTCATTCATAAACATGCAATATAATGATATGTGGTTGATTTATGCATCCATATATATCTTGTAGACGTCATACGGTGCATGCATGCTTTGTACTTTTTGTCTCCTACAAGATAATCTTCGTAGGTAAGCTGATCAGTTTCTCATTTTACTTTTCGCATAATATACGAGTTAAATAGAGTTTCGATTAGAAATCTCATGAAACAAAAAAGTAACAAATAGATTATATTAGCGGATAGATTTGCGAGAAATATAAATGCATGTGCAGAAGGATTTAAACAGCACATTTGCAATATATTGACATTGAAGGTTCTGTGAAATCGATCGTTTCTATAGCCGTATATAATAAATTTTGCAACAAAACTTTCTCCAGTCGTCACAATTTGTACTCTCAACTCTTTATACCCAATGTATGCGGTTTTATCATAAAAGGTAAAAAAAAATGATAATATTTAGATTTCCTACAAATAGTTATTGTTTAAAAAGAATCTTTCAGTCATTTCAATTAGTAATATATATCTGCTTAGTAGTAGAATAAGAGGTCATTTTTATGTCACGATCATTCAAACCCCTTTTTACAAAAACATTCAAATTTCGTGAAGAATTAATATCAAGTGTCACCCTATTAAACATATTTATATATCATAATATAGATGAGTCATTGGCAAAACATTATCCGATATTAAATACCCCAACGATAAATATGATACACAGAATATTTTAAACTACTTGACTTGTTGTGTTACGTATTCTACCTTGTATCCTACATTGTATACTACCTTGTATCATCTTGTATCATTCCTTGTTTAAAAAAAAATTCTAGATAGAAAAAATATATATTTAAAACTACAAATGTTATTGTAAATGATCATGTTTAAGCACGATGTAGTACAGCGGTCAACGACCCGGATAGATTTTTTCCGACATAAGCAAATCCATCAAATGTTTGTTTATTCGTCTGCAGGCATACTAAAGTATTATTTTGAATATTGAGTCTGCCTTTTATTATAAGTTTTTGAATCTGCCATATAATATGAGTCTAAAGAAGCCAAGTTGTCTTTCATAACTGTTGTTTTCGCCCATAGAATTTCACAATTTGATCTCCAAAAGAAGCCAATTTGAGTTATTATTTCGTAAGAAATATTAACATTATGGTTGATGAAAATGTAATTTGAGTTATAAAATAAACCTCCTTTTATTTAACTTCGGTCGCTTTGTACAATTAGCCTGCTTCAGATTCAATCAAATTGTTATGGATATATATCATAATAAATGGAGTAATATATACATATATATCATTGTAGTTCTAATATTACAAAGTAATCCAACTCAAAAGATTATAGTCGTATCACAACCGCAATTACCAGTTATGCTATATACATTAAAACCAGTTATGCTGTATACATTAAACGGGCCTTTCGAATTTTAATATTGTGATCTCTAAACAAAAGCAAATTTATCTCCCTGACAAATATATTGTATATAATGAACAACGATTAATACAATAATGACAGTGTAGAAGAATCATGGTGTGCCACAAGTTAACGAATTCTCACGAGGTGGTCTAACTATAATATTTGTAAGTTAAAGTGTTATAAAAATATTTTTTTTAAGTATGCCATAACCTTTATTTAATGAATTTTTAGGATTGTTTGTCATATGATCAAGGCCGGCTACGTAAAACTATTAAGTATTATGTCATGTTCATTACTTCTTTGTAGTATAAAATATATAGACACGCGTGCATATATGATATGTAATTGTCAAAAACTATTCTTGTAGAAAAGAGTTGGTTATTATACATAATTAACAATATGGATTGTGAGTCGGATCTGAAAGCATTCTTCCCTTTTATTTATTAATATGCCGAGTATGTAAAATTTCATTAATAATGAGACTGTTTGTAAAAATTACAAAAGGTGCTTAAGAACCGATTTTTCTTTGCCAAAAAAGAACGGCTCTGAAAAGCATATGTGTCGCTGCATTTATTCCTGCAATCTTTGTGAAATATGGAATACAGACGAATAAAAATCGAATGTGACAGCAAACTGTTATGGATAGGCGGCCAAAAATGAAGAAAAGTAGTGCTCCAAAACTACATTATACTTTTAATACCAGTGAAAAAAATTGACGATTATTATTATGATAAACATGATTAACATTATAACTTCGCTTCTTTTTGCAAACATACAAAATTATAATTGATATTAGTATTTACTTACTATTCAGTAAAGGGAAATAAAACTAAAGTACTAGAATTAATTCATTTCACCAATAGAAGAAGACAAAAAGGTCGTGCAGGCGACTAAATTCAGAGGACTGGTGGTGAACGTAGGAGCGGATCTATCACAGTACTCTCTCAGGTAAAGAGAGAGTCAGAGAGTGTATGTGCACCCATAATAAACTTTAAAACCTTAATATAATTTTATCTATTTATTTTATAATTTGTAACTTTGCACCTGTTAAATATTAAACAAAACTAAAAAAACCTAAATCATTTAACAGGAATTTTTTTTTAACTGAGCCACTTTAACAAGATAAATATAGTTTAAATTCTAAAACACACTTAAGTTTTCTAGATTTATTTTGTTTAATCCATAATTAATAAACTTTTTACTAAGACTTTAACAAAACAATTAAAATAAACGTTTTTCTTATTTTTATAGGATGTACTTACAATTTTTAGTAAGACATTATTTTAATATTTAATGAAAATAAACTTTCTGGGTATACGTGAAGGTGACTCAGTGGCTAGTTGGGAGCTAAACGACGATCTTATCCCCTCACGTGCCATCATACCTCTCGTGCCCAAGCTCCAGTTCCGCAGACTTTTATATTACTTTACTAGCTATACCTTTCTGTTTAACCAATGTTAGTAACCATACTTCAAACTAAAATCGTGATAAGACTAGAGTGACAACATGTGGTTAGGAATGTTATGGTAGTTGAATTTATAAGCCATGAATTTTTGGGCTCTGTCCCTCTCTACATTGTCTTTTTCTTATTAATTGATGTCTAACTAGTTGAATATTATGGTGCTAATACGGCTATACCGTTCCATCACGAATAGAAACATGCAGCAGCAACGGCTATATCTAGGGTATGAGTAAATTGGTTAAATGGCATAAAATTCAGGAGAAGTTAGGTAAATATTAACTGGATGAGGACATATTAAACAAATGAAAAATGTATCTTTTATCAATACTTTTATTAATATATAAACCGGTTAAAATCTTTTAACCAAAAATATAGAATTTTGCATATTATATAGATATCATTAAGCATTTCATGTTAATATGTTCATATTTGTATCAGCAATACACGAAATAAACGAAATAGAAAAAACAACCTATTAATTTTCATTTTTGTTTTCAAATGTATGAGAGAATGTATTGAAAAAAATATATATGTCTAATATACTTTAATTTGATTAGTATGTATTGAAATAGTTTTTATTGTCTGACTTCTTAAATAGATGTTCTAATAAAACTAAACCTTAATTTTGAAATCTTAAATATTATTTTTTATTTATTAAATTAAACGCCTGCATAAGAATGTGTTATTAAAAGCTTTAATCGTTCTCTCTTTTTTTTTTCTTTACAGATTTTAATCGTTCTATAACAATAAACCAAAGATAACTGATCCAAAATTATTCATAAATACTTTTTTGATATTGAGTATAAATATTAGAAAAATATTGCACATCAGTTTTTTTTTTATTTAGTATTCGACTTATGTTATGAAGCCAGGTTATATATATTTATTAGACATAATTGTATTGCAATGACGTTGGCGAAAATAAAATGACTTGAGAATTCAATCAAACTATTTGTCATTTTGTAATGATACATGCTCAATATAAACCTGTATATACACTTATATAAAGACGAATAAACTGTATTTTTCGATTAAAAAAATGTAATGAATACTTGAGATATCATATTGTCTTTATTGATTATGTGTCAGCATTGTTATGTAAAGGTACCCCTAGTTTCGTGATGAAACCATGTGGAATATTTTTTCCGGAATTTAGACGGATACCATTTTCTCTTTTCTACTTTTCTTCTGTATATTGTGCTGATATATTAAAACAATTAACAATCAAATTGTTTCTACAAATCAAATAAAAAATAATAATATAGGAGCGATAACGAGAATTGGTCGTTTCTTATTGCCTGACAGAATTTTCTCTATGGGCGGGACTATCCGTTTACTGACTACTGCCTCTTGTTTCTGGTTACACACGTACGCACTGAACAATAAATCAGTTCTCGAAATATTTCTTTGACAATATAAATTTAGACTATAACGACATCAACTCATTTAAAATCACCAATACATCGGAATTTTTTTATTTTATTTTATTATAAACTATAGACGTCACAAATTTTCAATCGTCAAAACACATACAAATCATTTATTATTGAGGACTATACGTTCTCTATAGACATCAGAACGTAGCAATTCGTGCTTGATGACATACCAACTAGTACAATCAATAAACTTTTATGTTCAACATCCTCTTCCGAGTAGGCCAAATGGGCTTTGTTCAAGTTGGGTTCTATCATGGCCTTAATAAGTGGCAAATTTGTAAAACATGTGTGGGGTAATTGCTCTTTTACATTTATTTAGTAGAAAAGAGTTTATTAAAAAAAAAAACATTTTCTTCAAAAAAGAAACATGGAAAAAAATCATGATGTTACAATATTCAGATGTTACCTATATGATAGGTTTTTTTCTCTCGTTCTTTCTCCATCCTCAAAGATTACATTATTTGCTCCCCGAAACACATGAATTTTTGAATGGGGAAAAAGCTTGCTATTAATACGATAAAAGAACATGCATGGGACATGCCAAAATATAATAACTATGGTAAAATGGACTCACCGGTGCTTATAGATAGATATCTATAATCTATGGGTAAAAATTGATGTTATTATATGTAGAGGACATATTATTTTATATCGCTTAAAATATGGAGAATCTATTCATGTGGCGAAGCAGCCAACGTTGCAGTTGTAAATGGGTTCAAGAGTGAGATCGAGATTGTTCCTCCTCGCCGCCATTGGATCTTCTCCATGGTACTGACCACTGTAATCGCAATCAAATAGCAAAATAATATATATAAGACAGCAATATTCATAGAACCATACCATTCCATCTCATTATTGCATATGTTTCGGTGTAGTTTTAAAACCATCAACCGATTTTAGTCCACATTATTTAACACAATTACACAAACCCTAAATATGAGATGCATACAAAATGTCATCGCCCATTTTGACTATACTAAATTAAGATTATTAAAATGAACTTAATAAAAAAAAAACAATGAAATACTTTGCGCATACTACCGTTACCCAATATTTAGGAAAGGAGATGTCTGATGAGTGATCATGTAAGGATGTAACTGCAGTTGCAGTTGCGTCTGTGGCGGTACTTCGTGGTTGCGGTGCTGCTGCGTCCTTAGGATACTTTCCCTCTCCTTTATCTACCGATTTAACACCCAAAAAAACGTTATCAGTACTTTATCATATATGTATCGTGCTATCATCAATGTTTATAGACTTTATACCGTATGTCAAAAGCAACCAATTATAATATTATATATAACTCCACACATATGTAGGCATCGTTTTGGATTCCCATTTGCGAGTTGCACTTGCTCAAGGAAATTCTAGTTCATATATGTACATATATACACAAACATTTGCAGATTTAATTGGTAGTTTGTAATTTGTTTGGAAATAACATATTACAACAAAAAGTAATAATTGAGATCCCAACTTAACATTTTTTCATAGCTAAATAGTGTCGTAATGCGCTTTGTTATATCACAATACAGCTCAAAAGAAGATGCATGTCCTAGTTCACACAGAACTCCTAGATGTGTCTGTTACATCTAGACTATGATTATGAGAAGACAGTTCAAGTTCAAATCTGGGAGACAACCTTAATACTAAACGGACAAAGCCCACCTATACGTGCATCTAGGCTCAATGATTATACCAATCAAAAGATACTATTAATTCCTCTTTTTTCAAAAAGAGTTGGTGCCGAAAGTGGAGAGATGGTAGCTTAATGTAGAGGTTGAAGTGGAGTAGAACAGTGTAATTCTAAATAGTAAAATAGCTGTGAAACAGTAAGAAATGCAAAAAACAATGATCACCTGTTCGGTAAGCATGCTGTTTTCTTCCTGTATCTCCTTCTCCTGTCATTTCCACAAAAATGAAACTTGTATTGTTAGCTTTTCTCTACACGCTCTTTCTACATCTACTGTATATGTATTCATATACACATCTAGAACACTAGTGAATTTTTTTCATACCCTCTTCTCTTTTAATTATATTAATCTAAACTGTATAACAGATGTATTGTATTTTAAAATTAAACATTTAAAGTCTAACGTTAGTTACACACACATACACACGACTTGAGAGATTAGATGGTTCTAACGTACCTTTCTTTGAAGGTTGTTGAGGGACTCGTACATGAGTTGGTTCTGCATACAAAGAATCTCAAATATATAATTAATTCATATATAAGATAATCTATACAATAGTTGACTACATATACTCAAAGATATGTTTAGAGAATGTGTCTGTGTTTATACATACTTTCCTAGAGCGAATATTCTTAAGAGCAGTTTCAAGCTGCTGCTCCAGAGTCTGGAGCTCCTTCAGTCTCATTGATTCTAAATCTTCTCCCAGATAATGCCTGTGATCAGTTCATACCATCCTCTCTTCTGTTAATTGTCAGTGTTTCAACAAAGAAATTAAATATCATATATACATGTACATTGGTAAATGTACATACCTTTGGTTCCTCTCCAAAAGTTCAATCTTAGCCTTAAGCCTACTATACTCCATTGACCAGCTAGTCTGTGCCTCCACAATTAATTTTCAATACGTAACCCAATAAATAAGCTTATTTGTTATGTTATTCAGTTAAAACGCATGCAAGATCCAACATATACATAGGGGTGTTTGATAGAGATCAAACATACATTGACATGGGAGTCGGGAGCTTTCAGCTGTCTCTCGGCGTAAGAGTACCTCTCATAGCGTTCTAGTACCTTCTCCATGCTATACATGAATAAGCTTAGGGTTAGTTTATAGATTCACTAATTACCCCACAAAGTTTCAATATTAAGTTTAGTATATGCGCAAACCACCAATTTTCTCTATACTCAGATATCTTCTCAACTTAGCGCAAGAGTCCCACTTGTTTTAGATGTAACTATTCGCCCATAATATCAAAAACATATAGCATCCAAGTTTTTAGGGTTACCTAATTGATTAGTTGTGCAGCTAAACATTAATTGTTAATTTGTTATCATGGAAGAGCGATGATCCTTGTGAGCCTTAACCCTAGAAACAGTGAAACACTGTCTACAATTATTCTATAGTAAAACTGTTGAATCACTAACCCACACATTTAAGACGTATTTAAGAAAATTCCCCAGTTTCCAAATTCTTCAATAAATTTGTTATTAGATAGCCTTAAAGGAACGCCATGTACGAAATGACAGTAATATAATTAATAAAAATATAAAATAATTGTCGATATTAATTTCATTTTTAATAACAAAAAGTAAAAACAGTTGTTGAAGCTACGATTGACCATCGGTACGGAGAACCTGGTAGAAAAAAATGATATATTTGACATTGATCCCAGAGGTCAAAGACTCCCTATACTTAGATGTCACATCCTTAGTTTCTCAATACCTATAAACCATTTGAAAAAATGGAAAAATATCCTTTATAAACTTAAAATTATTGTTTAAATACAATATTTTATATTTACGTGCATTAAACAGACATCAGTTATGCATATTTATGTTCATATACTACGCTGTTGAAACCAAAATTTGATAGCTTTCCTAATTTTTTTGTTCGTTTGTCAAAGTAGCTTTCCTAAAAATTAGGGGAAAAAACCCTAGTCAAGAACATACAGTATATATTAATCACTGTGGTCCTTTCTACAACCAGACTACTAAACCGTCGACTTGAATCCAAATCTACATATCCTGATTCAAGAAGTACTGACGATTTCTTATGAATCCATGTCACTTCACCTTATTAAGCCCTAAAATTTGCATTTTTATTATGATAAAGATTTACATTTTTTCGAACCCTGGTTTGACATTAATCAACACAATCAGAAGATCGTAGATCTAAAATACAAAATCTGTGACAAAATTTTCATAAAGGCAGATATAATAAGTAGAGCAAAAACTACTACTTAGGGCAAAAAAGGCACAGTAGAAGAAAAAAATAGAAAGGAATTATGTAATTACCAAGATTCAGAGGAGTACTCGAACAATTTCCCCTTATGGGAGAAGACAATAAGGGAAACCTCGGCATCACAAAGAACCGAGATCTCATGGGCTTTCTTCAAAAGACCAGCTCTTCTTTTCGAGAATGTCACTTGTCTGTTGATCTTGTTCTCTATCCTCTTCATTTCAACCCTACCTCTTCCCATTTCTCGCAAAATTAATATTTTTTTATAAAAAAGTTCCAAAAAGAGAAGCAAACAAACAAACAAGTCCCAAGAAGAAATTTTCCCAAATAAAAACTATAATAGAGAAATGACGACGAGATTGATCTAATTGGGAAACTTTTTCTTCTTTCCTTTCTAATGTGAAAGAGCTGTCTTTATTTAAAGAGGAGATATTTTGGAAATAGCGGTTTTAAGAAAAGCTAAAAAATGGTTTTGGCAAGGCAAAAAAAAACCCGAGTAGTTTTGTATGATGTGCTGTCGACTTCTCATTGGTCTGAATGGACTTCTATTGCCTAATGTCGAGTCTAAGTTTTCTCGTATATTATTATTTTGTTTAGTTTATACGAGTGAACATAAATTAAATAACAGTAATTGGGGAATATCGACGTCTCGTGACGTAAAAATTGGTAAGCTAGACAAGTGAAACATGCACAGACCACAGAGCTTTCGCAAGTTTCGCATTCGCTTTGCATTGACGGCGGAGATTCTCTGTGGATTTCTCAGATTTTAAACATTTTATTTGCTGACGTTATTAATTTATATTGGTTTCTTCTTTAAAAAGTTGCCATGTAAGTAGGTAGTTATAGAGGTTTAATTGCTCGGCGGTAACAGTGAAATACACATAGATGTTTCTTGGAACAGCAATTGACAATTGTGTATTCTTCTGAGTCCATAGATTTTTCACGTGGGATTTAACAACTTGATGTTCTATTATTATTATTATTAAGAGACATGGAAGCATCAGAAGAAAATTAAATTATAAATTTGGGTAAATTTATAAGTCAAATCGTACAAAAAGACGAATTTCTATATTCCTAGTAATTAAGTCCGAACCAATTTTAGATTGTTCATCATGATTTGAACAAACCAAAATGATAACTTATTCATAGTTTACGCATGGAGTACGTAGACCCAAAGGGATGAAGGATCAGAATGAGAATATATATCAAAACATTACCCATTAATTATTTATAACAAATTAACAATACTTATGGAGATAAGAAGCAAGCAACTAAAGCAATTAAAAGTACCAAAACAGAACATTTTAGAGCAAAACTAAAAGAATATAAACCTCGTGCTCTTGGCGACAGCATCCGATGAACTCCACTATCGACATCTTTCTTACATATTCAGTACCTTCTTTGTCCATTATAACATACAGTATCTTATGTACTTTCGAGTTTATTTTATTACTTGCCATAAATTAATTATAATGTGATGCTATCTAACGATGGTCAATCTTCATATATTCACCTTATCGTCTTCTTTTTGGATATTACTATCATCATATCGACTTTGATCGCTGGAAGACTTGAACCAATGATTTCAAATTTATATACACAAACAAATCATTGTCAGGATTTTTGTTTTGTTTGACAGTTTCACATTTTTGGCTGTTTTTTGGAATTTAATGTTTTGATAAAAAAACAATATTAGAGCAGGTTCAATGGTGGCTTCTTGACAAGTATTTTAACTTTAAAATATATTAAAAAAAAAAGTAAGAAATCTGAAAAGAAACAGGTCTTGTAACTCTCATTTAAGAGTTGAATCTAAGATTATTCTAGACATGTGTCATCATATAATTGATTTGTTTTCTTTTATATTTAAAATTTATTTATATCATTATATTATATTAATATTTTATAATTAAGAAATGTATTTTAATGTTTCTTGGGTTGCACATGATCTTAACGATCTAGATATTTGAAATGAAATTTGTTGAATATGATTGGGTAAATATTGCGGTTTTTAACGAAAAAATTGTGAATTTTCTATTATAAAAGAAAATTAATGATTCGCTTTTCGTTTTTGGTAAAAAATGGAGAAATCAAATATTGTGAAAACTATACAATTGTGTTTGAAACATAATGGAACTACATTCTAGTTATTATATGAGAGCCTCGCGATTATTAAATACTATATGCCATGATAGAGTTGTATACTTGTATATAAAACTACAAAGAAAATATCATAATCCACGACAAAAATAAAAAATAAAAAAATATGATAACACCCCCAAGTTATGAACAATTCAAAAAGAATTAGTAATTCGTATTTAGTGATTTTTTCTCTCTTTTTTAAAAAATATATTTTCCAAGAAATAGGAGTCATTATTTACCTTTTGATCTTCCGAAGAAATTGGATCAAAGAATGAGGCAGAGAGATCAAAATGGAATATACAAAAAAAATTATGAGCACATCCAGCATAAATGATCCTACAAAGAATAGATACATCGTCGAGCTACGTAAGAAAGAAGAACAATCATCGTCGTAGTGATTCAAAAGTACGTAAACTGGAGAAATGGCGAACACAGAGGCAGAAACTGTGACCAACAAGCAAATCATATTCCCAGATTACGTGATCGGATTCCCGAAGGAATCAGATCTAAAAGTCACCACAACCACCATCAAGCTAAGGCTTCCGGCTGGATCCACATCAGTTCTGGTGAAGAATCTTTACTTGTCTTGCGATCCTTACATGCGCATTTGCATGGGAAAGCCCGATCCCTTGACTAATTCCCTTGTTCCACCGTACAATCCCGGCGAGGTATACGAACGACGACAATGATATATATTTCTATAAAAATTGGAAATCTCCAACGAAATTTGAATCTAATTATTTTTCTACGTTTGTTTTATTGCATTGGTTACCTCTTAAATGTGTCCGAACCAATGATTGATTTGAAAATTTCTATCTAATTAGTTTTAGTAATATTGTTGTTGTATATTTATATTCGTGACAGCCATAGTCTTTTTAAGAATGTTGCTACTCTTATTGATAAAACATATTGAAGAACCCGAAAAGGGATTCTAATTTGAATCAAATATGTATACGTTAGCCCAGTTCAGTAACGTTAAAGATAATGTTTATGCATGATGAAATTATGTCTAGTAGAAATGAAAATCCCTTTTATGGGTGAGTTTTTTTTTTTCTTTTTCTCTTCATGGTGTTAATGATAATTGCAATGTGTTGTGTGCAGCCAATCATTGGGATTGGAGTGTCTAGAGTGATAGATTCAGGGCATCCAGATTACAAAAAGGGAGACTTACTCTGGGGACTAGTTGGATGGGAGGAGTATAGTGTTATTACTCTATCTCTTTACTCACACTTCAAGATCCACCACACCGATGTTCCATTATCTTACTACACTGGACTTCTCGGTATAAATCTCATCCCATTATTGGTTTGATTGTGGCCAGTGGCGGAGCCGGCCACAAATTTTACCAGGATCAATCATATATACCTAGAATATTACAGGGGTTAAATAGCCAATTTTATAACATTTCACCAAATTATCTGCCTCCGTCACTGATTGTGGCAAAACATGGCCATGTGATGCTTAATTTGTTTATTTTGGTTTGATACTGGAAAAACGTAGATCATTGTGGGCTGATTTTGGAGTGTGTGCTTTATCACGAGTTAGTGAAGTAATTTCTTCTAACAGTCATGTAAAAATTTGGCTGGATATGGTTAACAAATTAATAACATTTTGCTCAAAACGTAGGAGAGATGCATTGTTGATGTACTTGAGTTTTTTTTTTTTTCCAATATCCTTAAGCAAAAATATCATTTTTTTAACCGTTGAACGAAGACGTCAAACACACACACACACAAATTTTCTTCCCTTTGAGTTTAATAATTTACAAAAATATTATAAAAAGTTTATTTTCTAATTCTTTTTTTTGACTGTTTTCCTAATTTACAGGTATGCCTGGTATGACTGCTTATGCTGGATTTTACGAAATTTGTACTCCTATACCGGGAGAGACTGTCTTCGTGTCAGCTGCATCCGGTGCAGTTGGTCAGCTTGTGGGACAGTTTGCAAAGATGATGGGTTGTTATGTCATTGGAAGCGCCGGCACTAAAGAAAAGGTACGCATTAGTAAACTCTATACGTTATATTACTTATCAAACAGTAACGAATACATGATATCAAGAAACTGATTTGCTCACTATCATTCTTTATAAAACTTTATATCTAAGGTTGAACTTCTCAAGACAAAGTTTGGGTTTGATGGTGCTTTCAATTACAAGGAAGAGCGGGACCTTACTGCTACCCTAGCGAGGTCAGCAAATACATATTTAGTTTATAAGAAAGAAAGAAAAAGAACCATATATATAGAGTCTAATCTAAAAAGAAACAATTGATTAGGTATTTCCCGGAAGGAATAGACATATATTTTGAGAACGTGGGAGGCGAAATGTTGGATGCAGTGCTGACAAACATGAGTTTGCATGGTCGTATCGCAGTATGTGGAATGATCTCTCAGTACAATTTAGAGGACCAAGAAGGCGTACACAATCTCCCAAACATTCTTTACAAGAGGATTCAGGTTCAAGGGTTTGGAGTCTCTGATTTCTACGACAAATATCCTAAGTTCTTGGACTTTGTGCTTCCTTGCATAAGACAAGGTAAGATCACTTACCTTGAGGACATTGTCGAAGGACTCGAGAGCGGGCCTTCTGCTCTTTTAGGTCTTTTCCACGGTAAGAACGTCGGTAAAAAACTCTTTATTGTTGCTCGCGAGTGACAATAACACGTTGAGAGTGATCTATATATCCTTCGAATTCGTTTTAATGCTTTGATAATTAGTTTTTTTACGGACAAGTAACTTTCTCGACACAAGGAACAAATAGTATTATCACTACCTCCATTTCAAATGAAATGTTATTAAAAAACATTTTTTGTTTTATCAAATGAGTGTAAATTTTTCCAATTCTGTAAATTTATCTTGTTTATATTCATGATTAAATTAATAAAAGGATAAAGATCCTTAGACCATCTCCAATGTGTTCCTCTATTTTTTCCTCTAAAATAGAGAAACTCTAAAATAGAGGTGCACTTCTCTCCAATGTGTTCCTCTATTTTTTCCTCTAAAAAGGAATATTTTAAGAATATTCTCTTTATAATTTATTATTAACACATTCTTTTCATAAAATTCACAAATTAACCTCATTTATATTATTGTTTACAAAAATTTCCATAAATAATAAAAATATATTAAATTAAACATTTTTTCATAAAACAAAATTCAAAATGACTATAGTATTTGTAATTTTCCATAATTTTCAAAACATTTATTAAATCACTATAGTATTTATCATTTTCTATAATTTTTTGTATTTTTAAAAAATTATTGTAATTTATCATTTTATTTATAATTTAGTTTGAAATAAATGAGAATTTTCCAATTTAGTTATATTATATGTTCACAAAATTTTCTCAAACCATAACAAAAATTATTAAATTTATTTATCTATTGGGTTTTTGTATTTAATAATATACAAAACTGTATAATGTAACTTTATTGACGTATTACTGTACATGTGTATACTATATTGCTATTCATGTTCATTTTTTATTGTGGATTAACCACTTTCATTTATAAATTATATAGTGAATTAAAGTAAATACTGTTTTCTGTTTTTCTATAATAGTTATTGTCTGAAATGATGTTAATTTTATTAAATTTTATTAAAGTTATTTAACATTTTATAATTTAATTAAATTTATATGTTAGATATATGGCTATTTATTGGATATATACAAACTAGATTATGCAAATATTTAATTTAACTTTTTATTTGTTATATAAATAAAAATAAAAAGATGTAAAATTTAAAGGACCAATTTATAAATAAAAAAGTGCATCTCTATTATAGAGGAACAAATAGAGTTCCTCCAAATATAGAGGGAAAAATAGCAATTTCTATTTTAGAAGCAAAAATAAAGGTGGATTGGAGAGAATTTTCTTTTAAACTCTATTTTTTCTTCTAAAATAGAGGTAGATTGGAGATGTCTTACCCAAATGATTTTCATTTCGAGGCTGATTTGTGTGTTTATTTTCAAATTTTCACCATTCAAAAATTTAGTGTAACCTTTTGTTTTTGAATAACTTTTAACATTCTCTTGAAAATAGATTAATGAATTTTCAATAGTGATTATTAGCCTTTTAAAGTTTATATAGGCCCAAAGCCCAATAAGAGTGTTTTCAAAATGCTGTTTAAGCTTCGGCCTTCAAGTTTGATAGTTATATGGTCCTTATGGAGGGAAAATCATTTATTTCCCGCGACTCAATAAAGCATAATCCCTCTCTCTCTCTCCCTCGCATTTCGTCCGCCTGTCTCCGATCTCCGGCGTCGCGAAATCTTCTCCAGTGCTGCGATCTCGTGTTTCGGACTTTCAATGGCGAGTCCAAGTTCCGTCTCTGAAGATAGAAAATCGGATGGCCTCGAAATCGTCTCCGTCGGAGCTCTCTATAGAGGCTCCTGGGACAAGAAGTACTGGAGCTCATCTAGGGTTGGCTTTTCTTCTTCTACGTCTCTCTTCGTATCTCTATATATCACTTGTTTTCTTTCAATTTCTGCGTTACTTAACTAATTCCATAGAGGAGAAGAAAATATGTAATCCGATTGACTTCAATTCCTGCGATTTAGTCCATGTTGAGAGTTTTCGATGGGCATGATATGTTTGTGATGCAATGAATCGCGATAGATATTGATCGTACATTTTTCATTCTCAGGATCGATCAACAGTAGATTGAACTTATGGTCTCTGATTTTGAACAATTTTGATCCAAGTCTAAGTCCAGTGATACATCATAGGATAGAGGCTAGATCCTTAAGATTGAACTTGTAATTTGAGTGTTATCGGTAACAACACATGTAGATTTTGAAGTACAACTTATGCATATTGGTTTTATGCAGAATATCTGTTTACTTAGTTTCTTTTTTTGTTTTTCATCAGGGAAAGGATCGTTTCCCTTATCCTGTGGGCTACAAAGCTGTTCGAGCTCACAATGGGAACATATATTATATGGAGATTGAAGAAGGTGCCAAAGGACCTTTATTCCTGGTGCGCTGCTGATTCCATACACAAATTTAGAAGGTTCTGTATACATTTCTTGGAATGCTGATAAGTCTTACTCTAATAATGCAGATTAGATATTTGGCTGAATCATGGACGGGTCAGACTCCAGATATTGCATGGGGAAAGTTTCAGAAGGCGGGCATCTCTCACTTGAAAGTATGGCATGGAAAACGATTTACATGTAAGATGGACGGCATGGAGGTACACCTCACTTACTTTTATAACCAAGTCTAGTATACTAATCCTGCATGTCGCAAGTCTTGAAACATTATAGTATGCGTAGCGCCCTTTTAAACGGATTAAGAAGAAGTCTATATGTGCCTATGTGGGGATCTGTAAGCTGTGATCATACCTTTTAAGCAGCCTGCCGTTTGTCACTTTAGGCTTCCTCTGTTATCCTGAGTTTCTGACTAATCAATTCTGAGTTAATACATAGGAAAAGCCATAATACTTGGGATATACCCGCTAGACAACTCGAGCCTACTACTTTAGCTTAGAATTCTTCAAATGTTCTGCTTTCCAAGTATTTCTTGGGAGTTGGTCACTAATAGTGTCACCTGGCTTGTAGTTATTCTGATTCTACCACTGTGATTTTTTTTTCTTTGGCTACAGTTTTTTGGCTTCAAAAATCCTCTGGTTCAGAGATTGCTCCGGGAACTTGTGACAAATTCCCACGGAATGGTAGAATCTAGCTCCAGCAGTAGGGCCTCTCAAATCCGGGTCGATGATGAACGACCAGTTATGTGTGAAAATCCAAATTTAATATGTTATCTGGACATGCCAGTGGCTAGAAAGAAACGAAGTAGAAAATCAGAATCAGTATACCAGGATTCAGTAGTTAAAGATGGTCATAAAAAGCCAAGATGCCAAGACTCATCTTGTGATACCGATATTTTAAATTCAGCACCAGTGGAAATAGTTGGCATTGAAGCAGCACCACCTAGGCAGTTGCATTCAGAAACCCCCCCAGTAGTGAAAGCAGTCGTCCCTATCCAAGAAACAGACATTCCTGACAGGTGTAAATCAAAGCCATTATCCAACATTTCGGAAGAGGTAATCCTTTTACTGTTATTTGGCATAGTAGACTGGTGAAGTTTTTTTCTCTCCAGGAAAGTGGTTTTGAACAAGAGGAAACTTAATTTTTTTTGCAGCTTCATGGGTTGCAAGAAAAGGAATACATACCCAACCCTGATGTTTTTCTGCACGAGAGCGAAGATATGACTGGTTCCAATCTTTTTGCACCCGACACCTTGGAGTTCGTGCAAGGTATTAGCTTTTCATTCTTCTTGTCAACTTGATTAATACCCAAGATGTCTTCTTCTACCCGTAAGAAGATTGATTGTAATCATTTTGGCTGCATCGTTTCTCAGATTCCCTTTTGTCCAATTCTTGCAGATAACAATATAAGTTCTGCTCCAATAATGGATGATAATACAAGTTGCGAGCAAAAAGAAGAATTGACCCTTGCTGACATGGTAGTTAATGAGGAGCATTCATCTGAACCAAATGCAGAAGATTTAGCTGATTCAGCTGATCAGGAAAGTGCCATATCAATGATCTCATTTCTACTTCCTAAAGCAATTCCACTCCTGAAGAAGGCCTCAAGCAAGAAGCGAAAAACAAATGATTTGTCAGGAACGCAGTCTTCCAGATTAAATCGTTCTAACAACTGCAAAACGAGCCAACTGGATAATGCATCAGAAGCTGGTATACTTAGTCCCTACAAGATGCATGATTTTTGTTTTTCGGATTTTGATTTGCAATATTTTTGCACCCAACATGTCTTTTTTAAAGTATTCCCTTATCCAATAGTCCATAATTCTTCTTCAAAATTTGCAGCTGTGTCACTGTCAATAAAAACATGCAGTGGAGATGATGAGAACGCGCAAGTCGTTGCTCTGGATTCTGTTCAGGATTTTACCAGTAATGGCTCCATTGCTCCGGATAGTTTTGATGAGTCTTACTTGGATGTTCCTGGGAATGGTCATATCATCTCTTACAAGGAAGCCTGTCCCACAGATCTTCCCAAAATGCACATAGCCAAGGAACAGGCTGCAATAGTGAATTCAAATCTAACGGCCCCTGCTTTGGATACTACTGAGATCATAAACCCACCTTCACATGATGTTTGTAATATTGTGGAAGAAAATAATCAAGACGGATCTGTGAAGAATTCCATGTCAATACCACACTGCACCAGTTCAGCTGACAGGATTTTATCCCAAGAATCTGAGGAACTCCGTGCAGCAGAAGGAGGCTTAGTGCAAACAGAACACCACTCTGAAAACAAGGAACGAAAGGGTATATCCTCTTCTACTGAAGGTAGTAAGCTAAATTTTTCCATATCACCATTTGCTTCCGCCTCCAGAATGCTTTGCATGACTGTATCTGTGCTCTGTCTAATACAAGCATGCCTCTAATTGCCTGCAGGTGGCACAACCCCTACTGAAGTTAGTTCTATCAGAAAAGAAATGCATAAGGTGTATAGCAGGAAAAAACGCTCGACCAATCAACAGCGAAGAAACAAAAACTCATCCTCTGAAAGTGAAAACAGTTGCAGAAAAACTGGTGATGATGACCCCATAAGCAAAGTGTCTCATAGTAAAACCCCACGTATCTTGGAGCTTCAACCGACCTTGTCTACCAACTCTGAATCAGATAGAACAAATCCGCAGGCGGATGGAAGCGGCCATGTAACAGAACAATACCAGGGTCCTGAGTTGGTGAAGATGAATAACACTAATGTATTAAGCAATGAGGCTTGCGTGGTACCAGAAGATATAAGCCCAGCTCATTCTTCTGGAGACGCACGTGTATCATCATCCTCATTTCCAGTTTCAAAAGTTGAGGATTTTCAAGCCCATATTGGTGAGGCAATGGACATCCAAGTCTCTGAACCTTCCACAAAGTCTCAGCATAAGGAACAAACTAGCGAGAAAAGCACGTCGGTGCTGGAAATTCCAGCTAGTTCGAATTTAAAGGTCGACAGAGATATAAAGATCGACAATGAAGTGGAAAAAACTGTTGAGCTGCTTGGCTGCTACTTTCATCCCATGCCTGTTTCATCAGTATCACTCAAGTCTGTTGGGAATGAAATCTATATATATGTGTTGAGCTTTGCTACAGAAGATAAAGTTAGAACCCTGTTTTTGTACAAGTTATCAGCCAAAGCACAAACTAAAGGATTCCCCTCTGTCGTCGGTCACGCACCTGTCGTACTCCCTGTTGTTGATGGCATATCTGGTGGAAATGTAAGTTCATTAAAGTTTGGCCTAGTTTCTTTTGGTAAACTGCATGATTACTACCATATCTTGTATTTAACTCTCTAGCTATCCGATAATTGCTACACTTCCTCAGAGAACACTCGAGAGATCTTATTTTCACTTCACTCCGGAAGGGCAACATCTTATTTTTACTGGCAACATCAAAACACCTTATTGCAGGTTGGGACTTCTCTTTACTGTTTCATTTTGTACAGTGATACAGAATAAAGATATCGGCTAAGGGATAATCTTTTTGTTTGTTTGCAGGAAGAAGGAAATTGATTGCTCATGTTTGACTTGTACATCAGCCTCCTTTGAAGAGAATGCAGTGAGAATTGTCCAGGTGAAAAATGGTTATGTTTCTCTTGTGACAAAACTTCAAGCAGTTGACAGTGTGCAGTGCGTGGTGGTGTGCGATCCTAACTATGTCATTGCAGTTATTAAGAGTGGAAACCTTATTGTCTGGGCCATGAACCCACATTGGAGGTAATCTCATCAGAATTTCGCTGAAAAATTGTTGTTGTATCCTTCTTTTATGTGGATCTGCAGGCTGGATCATCATTAAACTTTCTGCTGATGTTCACTTCTCTTAATTTTGCAGAGGTCATACCGAAGAATTCGTTATCCTCCCAAATCCTTGCATGTCTAAATGCATCGTGGAACTGAAGAAGATTCCAAAATGTCCTCATCTCATTGTTGGGCATAATGGTATTCGAGAATTTACAATATGGTATTTTGCTCCTCTCTCTCTCTTTCTGTCTCTCTATCTCTGCAGTTTTCTCTGTCTATCTCTTTGTTAATTTACAGAACACTATTACTGCTAGGGAATGATGAGGATCAGCCAAATTTCCTTTTCCGTCTTCTACCTTTCTCCACGATTGCAGCCTGCTAACTTTATTTATTCTCGAATTAGGGATATCTCAAAGCGGTGCCTAGTATCAAGATTTGAATCTCCCAGTAATATGATCTTTGAGTTCATCCCAACCAGCTTGTTTGCGTGGCACACTGTACATAGTCATTCTACCATCGAGGATCATGTTGACATGATTTTAGCAGCAACAAAACTGTGGTTCTCAAAAGGGACCAACAACAAAACATTGGTTCCAGCTGAAGTCAAAGACACTGCCATCTGGCTTTTAGTCTCCACCGATCCTGACCCAGACGCGAGTGTAGAAAGTCCAGCTAGATGTTGGAGACTGGCTCTGCTTGTGAGAAACCAAGTCATATTGGGAAGTCAACTAGACCCGAGGTTGATCATCACACATCTCTTTCTTTACCTGCATATTTGTCTTTTTAAAAGCTGTTCTCTGGTTTTCTACATGTCCCGAGAAAAAGTAGATTTGATTTGACAATTATATGAGAAGTAAAGGTGTATGAATGTGTCCATTGGCTATGTATCTGTGGTTTACAGGGCTGATGTAGCCGGCACGGTATCTGGTCACGGAGTAGCAGGCACACTTGATGGACTTGTGTACTTGTGGGACTTGTCGACAGGCACTAAACTCGGCTCTCTCCATGATTTCAAAGGTAAAACATTGATTCATAGCCATGTAAATAACACGAAGCCAATCCTCAAAAGTAATTATTGTTACTTGCATTTTGTCAGGTGAAGGAGTTTCATGCATAAGCTCAGATGATTCCGGAAATATATGTATAGCAAGTAAGGATGGTCAGCTTTTGGTTTATTGCCATCCCGCAAAGGAAACTCAAAATCAAGGAGGGTTATCAAATTGACTTCAATTGGCTTATATTATACAGGTTGAGGATTTTTATTTTATCATCTAGTTAATAATGTAAGAGGATAAAATGATATTTTTCTTACACATCTTATGTATATAAATATTCGTTGTTATTTGGAAATTCATATCAAAATTTGAGAAACTAAAATAAATAGTACAGTAATACAAAATAACTACAAGTATTTGAAATTATGAACCTCTTGGCTTTGAGAGTCATACATAATCTAAGCCGCATGAGAACCCATTCCGTTAATTATTGTTGTAGCTAGCTACTGTCATAAAAAATCACATAATTTATTCTAGTATGAAATGCAGTTCACAGTTCACAGTTCACAGTAGGGTTCTTAATTTTAAGAGTGGATGAATTTGATAAATACAAAATATATAATTTGATTATGCTGATGAGATAAATTTGATATAGAATTAAAGATTAAGAAATTTCTTGGGTATCAAGTGTGCAGTTCACGTCAAAAGAAATTTAGAATAACTGTTATAAAATTCAGTTGAAAACGATGCCGTACGGGTAGGGTTCTTCTTATCTTTCTCCTTCTCCTACCCCCAAAACCTAAAACCCCAAATAAAGGAGAAAAATAAAATTGCTTCGCTCGCAGCTCTTATCAGAAGAAAATGCCGACTCTCACAAAGCTTTACTCCATGGAAGAAGCCGCAACTCACAACAAGCAAGACGACTGCTGGATCGTCATCGACGGCAAGGTCTGCTCTCTCTTTCTCTCTCCAATTTTCCTCTTCTAATTTTAAGATTTCTTTTCAATACACGTGTTGGAATCTTGAGCGAATATCCAATTTTGAAAGTTATGTCTATCTCTCCATGACTATAGAATCTAATGAAGAATCGTGTAATTTCTGTTTATGTTTAGTAAGGTTGAGCTACTTTCAATCTTCTTCTTTTGCACAATGCGTTGACTCTGAATCTTTGTCTCCAAGAAGATTGTTTAAGTGATGGGTTCTTTGTGAAAATACCTGATCCGGTTCTCTTTCGCTTTACAGGTCTATGATGTATCCTCGTATATGAATGATCATCCTGGAGGAGATGATGTGCTTCTTGCTGTCACCGGTAGCTTCGTCTTCTTCTTCTTCTTCTTCCCCAGCTTTGCTGTTTTCTTGTATGACTGATCTGTTCTCTTGTATCTAACCCAAGTAAATGTGATGTTCTTTGAAGGCAAAGATGCAACAGATGAATTCGAAGACGCAGGGCACAGCAAAAGCGCTAGAGAGCTCATGGAGAAGTACTTTATCGGCGAGCTAGACGAAGCTTCCGTACCGGAAATACCAGAGCTTAAGATCTACAAGAAGGAGCAGCCAAAAGACTCTGTTGAGAAGCTTGTCGACTTGACAAAGCAGTACTGGGTTGTTCCTGTCTCCATTATCACCATCTCTGTTGCTGTGAGTGTCCTCTTCTCTCGCAAGAAGTAGCCTGTTTCTTGCCTGGAGATTTGTCTGAAATATTGAATTACTGGGGAATCAACTTTCCACGAGAACTCCCCATTATAGATTTTGAATAACAGAAAAGATAGATCAATATTATTATTTTCTCTTTTATATTTTGAGTTGGGATCATGTTATGATGCACAAATTAATGATATGATTAATGAATGCTTTGCTGGTATCAACCTTCTTATTAAGAATTCTGTTTCAGTGCACGTTATAGCCTCGCCAAGTCTACATTATCTATAGCATTGTGAACCTCTAACTATATACTGTATAGGATCTCTGAAACAACGTGAAATATATTTGCTTGCTTGATCTATGATAGAAGAACCATTATATATATGTATATATATCTTGATCCATTTTCATTGAAACCCCAATTCCTGAAAATTCGATAGCTCCAACTCTTAAGAGTACAGTTGAGAAAACCACATCCTTGCAGATTTTCGTTGTTCTGCTTTGTACATAAATCTTCCTGTCAAGTTCATGAGCCATATGTGGAACAGATGTATCGCTTGTTGCTTCTTAATTGAAACTGTCGAGGAGCTAATGTTGATTTGTGATTTATAATCAGCTTTCTATTCACATTAGACACAACAGTTTAGTAGTCCAGATGAACATACCACTTAAACAGACTCCTTACCATTACCAGCTCAGAGATGGCTACGAAAAAGTTCTACAAAAGGTGTGTTTCGTAGAAATGAACTTCTATATATATACCAATTAAATTTCGGTGGGAAGGTTTTGTCTTTTGGTATATGACATAACAAAGTTTATTAAACGCAGAAGAGTTTGTGCAATTGTGATGCATGAAGCTGAGTATGGAGACAGCATATAATGACTTAACTAAGATCAAACGAAAGAATCAGAGCTACTATTAGTGACGTACACTTCAGCTTGCATGTAAACTTCTGAACCGAGATTGACCATTGTTTTGAGACTATTTACACCATTTTTCTCCAGAGTCTCTAGGTTTTTCCGCAAGTCAGAGCTGGAGTGGGAGCAACCGTTAAGGAAACAAGAACTTTCAAACCAAATTCGAGCTCACTAGAGCAGAACGTATTGTGGAAAAAATAATATTAGACGTAATCAAAACAAGGCGATGATGACAAAGCAAATTAGAGGGTAAGCAAAATATTGGGGATCCCCAATTGGACCCGTCTAACAAAACTGGATATCCGGGAGCCCGGAACCTGATCTTCCGGATAGCTAACTCCATAAAGGTGCCCCGATGAGGTGATTTTGGAAACAAATCCTCCTCCTCCTGGTGGTGGTGAAGGAAACCGGACCAAATTCTCGACCAGTGGAGATATAACATAAACGCCTGGAGAGGGACAACGGAGGGAGTCCGTGTCTGGAGAATACTTGAACAGCGTCTTGTTATTGTCAGTGAAGAAAAGACTCCCTCCCTCAGAAACAGCCAGTGGGGTGAAGTAGGTAATGTGCCATCGGCACCATAAAGTTGCAAAGGATGATAAAAGTATGTTGTAAGTCATAGTCCATGTTTCTTCCTGTGCATCCATGCACCATATCTCTAGCTTCCATTCACCTGTAGTATTGGTCTCGCCTATGGCTAGACGGCCTTCAAGGTTCACTATCTGAGCTGCTGGTTGTTGCCTAGGCGGGGGTTCTGCGGAGACAACCCGGAACTCTTCTGTGTGGAGATCCAAAGCCAGTAACTTGTGTTTAGTGAACAAGTTTAACCAGTAAACGGACCCGTTCACGCAAGCCGACTTCCTGTTCGATTCAATCTCGCAAGGAGGCGGGCTCAGTTCCCGCCATTCCCCGATGTTAATATCAAGAATCAGACAATGGTCAGGATCAGACAACATCCTCACTATTTTATAGCTCCCGTTAACTTGGTCCTTACCGAATCCCATCGCCCAATATCCAGGGAACACGTTGTGCCACCACCTTTTATTTGCGACTTCCTGCTCATGGTGGGATGGCCCCGAAGGGAATCTAAAGAGTTCTCCGGTCAAGTCCTAGATACGCCCATCTTTTGACTTTCCCTTTTTCATCTTATTATATATTTTCTTTTTCTATTTAATCTCTTTTTGATATTTAATTACGAACTTTATACTTCCACCCCTTTTAAAAAAAAATCAAAAAATATAGAATATTTCAGAAACTTCGCAAAAATGGTTAATACGGACTTTTCATCCTTGTGTTGGAATCCCACATCGGAAGTTTAAAGGGACCAACACTGGTATATATAAGACTTGGGCCAATCCATTCATTGCCAATTGGTTTTGAGTTGAAAGCCCATATAACTTAACATGATATCAGAGCCTCGTTTGTTAATCCAAGTAGGATGGCCCAAAAAGAGTTTATTACTGATCCTAAAGTGGGATTCAGTTCGAGATGGGCTGATAAGAGCCATCATCTCGAGGGGACGTGTTGGAATCCCACATCGGAAGTTTAAAGAGACCAACACTAGTATATATAAGACTTGGGCCAATCCACTCATTGCCAATTGGTTTTGAGTTGGAAGCCCATATAACTTAACACCTCACAGGGAAATCATCTAATAATACTCGAACCATGGTTCACTCAGAGTATTAGATCGATTTTGTCTGTGTAACACAAGAACAATTCCGTCCATATTGATTGTTACACTAATTTGAAAAATATGGATCTGAAAAGGAGGTAAATTCGAATACCGTGATGCAATCGTGTGTACAAGCTTATGTTTTAAACCTTTATCGATGATTTCCTCCAGTAACTGCAAGTCCTTTTGACGTCCCTCGTCCATTACTGCAACATGACCAAAACATATCAAGCCTGAGGCTCTGGCCCACGTGAAATTAAGAAAAAGTCAAATTCTTGACGTCACTGCTCTGTATTTACAGCAGATTCAGCAGAGAAATGGATTCGACAGTGATAATAGGCGGAGACAAAGCCTGAATACAAAACAGAACACAAAAACATATAAGAGTGTGGCTTCGTCTGTAACCACATTACGTTTAACAACTTGTTTGCTCGATAGACTCCGTCTAGAATAATTGTGTAGACTCTTGAGTTGTTCGTTTCATTATCTAAATACAAGCCAAGATAGCGTTAAAAGTATCAAGAAACTACATTGAAGTTGAAAATAAGCATCAAAACTTTGGAAGCATTACGTCGAACAAGTGGTGAACACTCCAAGAGAGAAACACAATTACGCAGTTCTACCTCAAATATGAGAATCAAACTGGCCTCTAAACAAAAATAAAATCTATCAAGAAAACATTCAACTCCATAGAAAGCCAAGTCGATAAGAAAAAAATAAAATGAGAGAGGCAGAGAACAGCTAAGGTTTAAGAGAATTTGACTCACGCACAAGTAGATGACTGATGACAACGGTCTAGACCGAATGATGCTGTGGTGTATTTCCGTGGCTTTATCAGGGAGACTTTTGTGGTTTGCCAATTTGAACGATCGAGGGAGATAAACCGACTTTAACCGCTTATTTGAAATGGTTTCCCATCACTTAAAATTGAAATTGGTTTTAACTTCAAGTCCTTTGAAATAGAACTAAATCGCACAAAAGCCCACATACTTTCTAAACTGATTATTTAACTCCGAAGGTTCAAATCATGTAAAACAATAGCAACCTTATGTATATAACGAAAACCTAAAAAGTCTATTACTGATATACACACATCCCAAACCATTCGCCTGTGACTGATCAGCATCCTCAACTACCTTTTCTATGAATTTCTTAAGCTTGTATTTCCAAGAATTAGCTTGCTTCAAGAACTGAAGTCCATCATCAAGCAGCTTATGGTCCTCCACCCATGTGACACTTGTTGTGACTCTTGTGAGCTACAATAGCTGTTACAGTCATCACAGTAGCAATAACTGTTTTGTTGTGTAAGAAAGAGAAGCGATAACCTACAAAACATTCTTTATTACGTAAAAAGAAATAAAGTTAAAGTTAAAAACTTACTGTTCATTTTCTCATGCAAGTCACAAATGATCATTGAATCGAACCTAGTTTTCGAGTGGCGTGGAAAGTTGCCAGAGATGATGTATCGGTTGCAGCCAAGAGAGCACATAGGAATAAGATTTCCAGCATCAAGCTGATCAGCAATTGACGCTGAAACATAAGAAAATTTGGTTATGATCGTTTTGAGACCATTTTGTTGAAAAAATAATATAAGTGAGCATTACCTTTAAGACAAACGTTGCATAAATCATGATCACAGGTCATCAACGGGCGAACATTCACGCATGGGTTGCAAAGATTGGTGGGATTTTAAGCATTTTTCATTTTAATCAATTGAACTTAAACCTATTAGCGATGAGATAAATAAAATCTGAATGAAACAAATGCAACAAAGGCATCTAGAGAGCAAATTATGTAATTTTGTAATAAAAAATGTCAGATACAAATATTTTTTGCACAAATATATAACTTTTTATATGTTTTCGGTTTAACTTTGGGTTCGGTTTGATAAATTTGGTTTATAATCGAACTGAACCAAACCATATAAATTAACAAATACGATAATCGAATGACTCAGTATAAACATTGTTTTGGGTTGGGTTGGTTTGGCTTCAAATTCAGATTGATTCGATTCAATTTGGTTTTTTTCCCACCCTTTTGATTTAAACACTACTTTGCTATGAGTCACACTAATTAAAACCAAATAAAGCACAATCAATATATCTATCTTATCGCATTTTTGCTTTGGCATACATATAAGAATGAACATCTAATCTACTTTTTCTTTAACAATTCTATATAAAACCGGATTGTGTCAGCCATCACAAGTTTACTCATAAGCATGAAGGACTTTGGAAAAAATCAACCAACTTTGAAAAAAATACTCTTGTGAACATGCTTTTTATGCCAAAAATAATTAAACTGGACTGGCAAAGAATATATTGCAACATATTTTTTAATATATAGTTAAGATTAGCAACAATGAAATAAATATAAAACCAAAATTTGTGAGAACTAAATTACCTTTCAAGCAAATGTCACAAAAGGCATGGCCACAACTAAATTTACGGCAGCATATAGAACTTCCACATGAATATTAATACTTACAAAGTGTATCATTCTTTTAACCAAAAGAAGTACTGGAGACAATATCAATGTAAAATTAAACCAGAAAACTTACATCAATATCCTGATTATTCTCTTCATCTGCAATTTGGCTTAAGACAGGAAGAACAAGAAAGCAAAGTCCTTGGTTCTTTTTGTCTATCGTTTCTTTCTCTGATGCAGATAACTGTTTCTTTTCTGTTGGAGATGTTACACTGATACCACTGGAGAATAGTGCTAACACTAAAGAAAGTTATTTGTTTGATTCAAAGAAGATGACTTTGTCTTTGTGGCTGAGCATAATCTATGCTCTTTTATGGAGCTGGAGACACCAAACAATTTTGGGGAGAACGTGTATTTATTCTCTTAATCTTGTGATATATATAAAGTCATTATTCTGGCTTTGGCCTGCACTTGACTCGTCCTGAAAGTCAAAAGGGTCATTTCCTTTCGTACCTATAAATTCTCAAAGATTGTGGACTCCATGTTCCTCCCTTATAAAAAAAATGTATTGTCTTATTATATGTCAAAATTTCAAATATTCTTAACTTTGAGCACAACGATTATCAGATAAATTCATCAATACTAGTCAGATTTAGTCAAATAATCAATGCTTTTGAGTACTTGGAGCCTCAAAATGTTGGAGAGAGACATTTTTTTCACGACGTGAAGGTCTCAACTGTTTCATATCTCTCTAAGAAAGGCAAGCACGAACATGTAACAACGCACCTATAAACATTCTCTTCTTGTTTTGCGGAGAAGCTAATACAGAACAGATTCAAGAAAATGGGGAACTCGTTCACATGCATCTCTCACGAGGAGGAACAACGTCCCAAGAAATCTTCCGGCGGCCGCGGCAAAGGAGGAGGAAGTAACTCCGGGAAATACATACGTCGCCTGTCTCTGATCCCTTCATTTAGAAAGCGGACGCTACTTCCTTCGCTCTCCTGCTCTGGCTCGTCCTCCACTTCTTCCTCCAAGAAAGGTGGGATCAAAGCAAAGAAGAAGATAAGAGAGAGACTTCATCAAGACCACCATGGACACGACAAAGACTCTCATATTATTCAAGAGCAAACACTTGCAGCCACTAATCTTCTCTTCAACCAAACCCCTCGCAGTAGCAACTCTGTCGTTCCTCCTAATTTCAGACGCTCCACCTCCGTCGTCTATCCCTCGACTCAGCCAGCCAGCTCAGGCGGCGGCTCAGGACCTGCTTCAGCCGTTCAGACTCCCAAGAAGTCAACTGGTGGATTCGTAAGAAGCTCTAGCTCTAGGCAAAGGTCCAGTACCGATCCCATGATCAAGCCTAACCAGCTCGTAGACAAGGCAAGCATTTCAACTAATAGAAAACTATTGAATAAGCTTATTATGTAGGATATTCATTTTTCAAATTAAACCACAACCTCTAGCATTTTAAACATTATTTGGTTAATTATAAATGCAAACGCCAGATGAAAAGAAAATATATATATATATATCGTTTACATTCACATTTTACAAAAATGTTTTACGTTAATTTTTCTAATCCTGTATGAATTTCCATATTTTTTTTTCACATGCAAATACAAAAGGAAAAATGGGCGTTAGAAATGTCGCAGCTTATTTACGTAATTACGTTGTAACATTGTGAGGGACATGTGTGGTGCATATGTAACAGGAGATGAAGAAAGTGGAAGGTTCAGAGACAAAGCGGTTCGTGCTGGTTCATGGTGGAGGATTCGGGGCTTGGTGTTGGTACAAAACCATAACTCTCTTAGAGAAACATGGTTTCCAAGTCGATGCCGTTGACTTGACCGGTTCAGGTGTTAGCTCTATTGACACCAACAACATCACCAGCCTCGCTCACTACTCCAAGCCTCTCCTCCACTTCTTTGAATCCCTCAAAGCCAACGAGAAGGTTCCAACTTTATCTTTTAATTAATGATGAAAACTACCAGCAATTAGATAATGTTTTAGACCATAATTAATTTAATTACATATAAGTACAGGTGATTTTGGTGGGGCATGATTTTGGAGGGGCTTGCATGTCTTATGCCATGGAGATGTTTCCTACTAAAATCTCCAAAGCTGTCTTTATCTCTGCTGCTATGTTGGCTAATGGTCAAAGCACTCTTGATCTCTTTAACCAACAGGTACATTTTTCATTTTCTTCAATTTTTGTCATAATTATGCCTATAAACATCCTCATTTTTTAATTGTCATTTGGTTTGATTAACTTTTTTTCAGCTGGGGTCAAATGATCTGATGCAACAAGCTCAGATCTTTCTGTACGCCAACGGCAAAAAGAATCCTCCAACTGCCGTTGATTTTGACAGATCTTTGCTTAGAGATTTTCTCTTCAATCAGAGCCCTCCTAAGGTTGATTTAAAACCGAACCAATCTTATACCGGTACAATTCGGTTTGATTACTGAACCAACAACCTTTATTGTATTTGTAATAGGACCTCGCACTGGCCTCTGTATCCATGAGACCGATCCCGTTCGCACCGGTCGGTGAAAAACTTCACGTGTCGGAGAAAAACTACGGCTCTATTCGACGGTTCTATATCAAAACCATGGAGGATTACGCCGTACCGGTTCCTCTTCAAGAGGCGATGATCAAATCGAACCCACCTGAACAAGTTTTCGAGGTCAAAGGATCCGATCACGCACCATTCTTCTCTCGGCCTCAGTCATTGAACCGAATCCTCGTCGAGATATCTCAAATACCGTCCAGGAAATCGTGATGATGTCGATTTAAATGTTATCGATTCTTTATTTTTTTCTTAACCGGATACAATTAACCCAATCCGGTTATAAGATTCCGTAATCTTGGTCAAGTTTTTAAGAGTTGGGCGGAGCAGTGAGCAGAACATAGCACAAATTGGACATCTGCTTCTATGAAACCAAAATTTCCCAATTTTTTTTAGTGATTGAAACAATTCTCTAAATATTTGTCAAATAAGTTTTGAAGTACCTCTTTACGATCATCCTAAACCATATTAAGTAAATGTGTTGATTTGGATTATCATATTCTAAGTTGTAAACCATATTTTCCTCAAAAATTCTACATTTGATAATCCAAAATTATCAAGTTTTGATATCTCGATTATACTCGCATGAGCTTACCTAAAAATGTATAAACTATAATAATGAAGTTATAATCAGAGAGGACGAATTGATCTACTCTTCGGTTTTGTAGTGGTGAGGAGCCAACTCAGTCAACCATAAGGGATCAATTCTTGTGAGGTTCTTGATGTACTTCTTGCTGGTTTGCATAAGCTCGTCGAATACAACACACTCTGGTTTGGCACCGAATAAAACCGAACTTGGGTGGATGTGGACAATCTCACCACTTTCCAAAGCCCTGTCAAGTCAATATTACATGACAACAAAAGTTTGGTTGTGAGCCAAAGTGCGTATTTACTTGCATGTTAAAAACGACAAATGAAACCACAAGAAAGGTAACGAACCTGTATGTCCCGTCCAGTTGTCTCTGTGCTGCTTTAAGGAAAAACGATCCAGCAAGACATCTACGAAACTCAAGCGTGTCATTTCCGCATGAAGACACATTAAAACCCATCTGTTCAACATGTTGACGAATTTGGCTGCAACAAGCATTTGTATGTATGATCCGTCATAATATTTCATCAAAAAGTCGTAATAATCAAGTGTAAGAATCTCAGAAGAAAGGCATGACCGACCCACCAACCTGTAAGTGTCACGAGCATTGTTCAAGGAACGGTGATTCACGAAGTTATCCTTACACCATTTTTTCATGGTTTTATCAGTTTTGTTTCCACCGCCAGCTTCTCTTCTCTTTTTCAAGAACTCATCACACTCCCGATAAACACTAACATAAGTTAGGTGATCCCCTTCAACGCTAGCAAAGTGGTGCCTTGAAGTTCTTGCCTGCCGAAACAAAGGCGATGCTTTCATCAACTGTTTAATAATATAAAGGAAAAATGAGAAGAACTTGTCCAAAGTCCTTCGCTATACGCACCTCTTCTCTCTTCTCACGAGGATCATAGAATATGGATTCCCCATTGAGCATTGCAACAGTGATCAGCATTTCCTCGAGACAGTTGAGCTTATTGGCCCAAATTAGAGCTCTGGAGAAGACAGGATCCAGTGGGAGCCGTGACATTTGCTCGCCGACGGGTTTCTCTAGTTTACCCTCATCTGTCAAGGCACCAAGCGAGCGCAACTCCGCCAATGCTTTTACTATCGAGCTCCTGTTTTATATCAGATCAGTAAAGTGTTCATAACCAAGAACCAACAGCCCAAATCATTCTTATCCACAGCCAAAATAAAGTACCTTGAAGGTTTATCTATAAAATCAAACCCAAGAATATCATCAATTCCCAGAGACTTCAGCTGCAAAATGACGTTTGAGAGATTGCATCTCTTGATCTCTGGTGTGGTTGAATCCTCCAGCTTCTCAAACTCCCTCTCCTGATAGAGATGAAAGCACTTCCCAGGGCCCTCACGACCTGCGCGTCCTCTAAAGCAAAAAGCAAATCAAATCGCATGTAAATTTCCAAACTCTAAGCCAACCATCGAATGGAAACAGAAAAAAAAACGAATACATAAACATGGTACCTTCTTTGAAGCGCCTGTGCTTTTGATGCTGGAACAACATGAAGCGACTCCATTCCTTTGTTCGGATCAAAGCTTCGTGCCTTAACCATCCCAGGGTCTATCACATATCTTATTCCAGGGATTGTAATCGATGTCTCCGCTATATTTGTGGCCAAAACCACCTGAAAATATTGCAAAACACCTCAAAAACTGGATTAATATTGTCTAAACCACATCGTTGCTGAAACAAAACCCGTTGCAGAACTTCTCTAACCTTGCGAAAACCAGTTGGCGCTGGGGCAAAAACTCGCATTTGCTGCTCTGAAGAAAGAGCAGAAAAGATAGGGAGTGGCAGCAGCTTCCGACTGTCTTCAGGTAAATGCTGAAGTCTTTCTTTCACAAGTCTTTCAACAGACTCAATCTCATCTTGCCCAGTGAGGAAAACAAGTATATCACCTGGCTGCTCCCCCAAATGAATCTAAAAAAGAAACCAGATGCAGAATCAGTTTTACTAGAAGAAAAATTCAAACTACTTCTACTCCCCTAAAATGCTGATAAGGTAAACAAGAACAATAACCTGAAATATTGTGACCAGAGCAGCATCTACGTAATCTGATTCAGGATGAACAGTGAAAAGATCCTCAACAGGAAACTGCCGCCCTTCCACATGAACAGCTTTGGCACCACCGTAATACTCAGAGAAAACTCGCGCATCCAAGCTTGCAGACATGATTATCAGCTTCAACGGAGACGCTTTCCTGCCTTGAAACCCTCTCGATGCACCATCCTCACCACTTGCCTTTGTTTGTGCTTCCGAGGCTGCATTCCCAACCTCGTTAACAGCCTTTGACCGAGCCCGCTGTATCTTTTTCAGCAAGGCCAGCAGAACATCGGTGTGAACAGTCCTCTCATGAGCTTCATCGACAATAATGACTGAATATCTAGAAAGAAGCGGATCCAACATGGCTTCTCTGCAAAATGTGACCAACAGATTAAAAACAGAGACCAGCCAATAAATTAAAACCTATGCTTATAGAAAGAGAGCAGAAACCTTTTAACCTACCTGAACAATATTCCATCTGTCATGTATTTTAACCTCGTGGAGCTACAAGTACAATCCTCAAACCTAATGGAATAACCAACCCTTTGGCCCAACTCAACATTACACTCCTCAGCTACCCTTTTAGCTACGGTCATAGCAGCAATACGCCTCGGCTGTGTTATCCCTACCATCTTTCCTCCCTGACAGAATCCAGCTTTGAACAGGAACTGAGGCAGTTCTTCAATGACGCACACCAAAAAAGAAAAAATTAATCTCAATTTTATTTTTCCCGACTGGTTCTTGAGAAGAGTATAGTTTCATTCAACAAAACTTACGAGTCGATTTCCCACTTCCGGTTTCACCAATGATGATAAGAATATCATTCTTTTTCACCTCCTCAATCAAACGCGTCTCCACTGGAGTAAGACAGCCACCAAACAGAGTTTAGTCACATTGAAAAAAATAGTAAAGAGCCAAGTATGAGTTAAGAGTAGTGAGAATTAGTGAAACAGCTCGCACCTGAAGCAATAGGAAGTGAGTTTCTATGTTCTATTATCTTTTGCTTCTTGCTGTGATAAGTCGAATTCACAAATCATTATTCAGAATCCTGTTTTTATGTTTCCTGAGAATCATATCAGAAGGTATGGTTAAACACTAGAAAGTATAGACAAACCTGAGGAGAGAAGCAGTTGGAGGCATGGGGTTTGGTTTGCCGTTTTGTACAGAGCTCTTGACTTCTCCTTGCGCCATTGATGCTATCCCCAAATAAATTCACCAAGATTACTCCGAAATCTTTCCAACCCGGGCAAGAAATTCAACTAGCAGAAAATTTGTTCAGATCGAGCTCGAATTAGTACAGCACCTTGAAGAGAAGATGCTGAAGGCTCGTGCTTGTCGTAATTCTTCTAGAAGAAAAAAACAAGAAAAAATAAAGAGGAATACAACATTAGGTTTTGGCATTTCGGTTCGGTTTAAAACCGGACGATTGAACCGGTTCAAACGCGATCCACTGCATCGACCGGTTTAATTTTTGTACTTTTGCCTCTATATATTGTTATTTAAAATTTAATTAAGATTTAACAACTTTTCTTTGTGATTTTCTTAGACCAACGCCATGTGGATATTGCAGACTTGGAGGATGACGATTCGTATCTTGTTGATCATTGGAATGACATGATAAAACTTCGGTTTTAAAATGATCTTTTGGCAGTTGAGAAAAGGTAAGTTTTTATTTTCTAACTTGGTTTGGTTTTGAATATTTACTCTGATCAGGATAATTGATTTTTTTTTTTTTGTATGTTCGTAAATTTTTGAGAAATGACAGAGATTGGAAACTTATGAAGCAAATTCTCAAGCTTCCAAACTGATCATGTTGACGAATATGACAATCTATAAATTAATTCATGCAAAGAATGATTCGGTGAAATTCTTTATTGAGAAATGAATATAACAAAATGATCATCCGTAATACAAATTAAAAGGACAATAGTGAAAACTACACAGTCTATAAACACATGCCAATATAACTTATTACACTTAATAGATTAATTTGATAACGAATTATAACATTACTACATTACACGAGCAGGAGGAATACTCTGCTCATTCTTGAAGAAATTTTCAGGATCATACTTCGCTTTAACTTCCATCAATCTTTTCAAATTTCCCAAGAAATACTTTGATCCATAGATCTTAGCTTCATCAACGTTTGTCTCACCACTCGGATTGCTTCCAACATCAATGTCTCTGTAATTAAAGAACGCCTCTCTCGGGTTACTTGAGACGTACGGTTCCGCAATTTTATAAAACTCCCTCATCATATTCAGACTAGTCTCTGTGGCGTTTGCGTCCAACCATGTCGTAAAGTATTGAATCTTGAACAAGTTTCCTTTCCGGTGAGGAAACGCCGTGGCGGTCGACGGAATTCGGTCCATCACGCCACCGTAAGGGTTCCATTGCATCCACACAACATTGTTGAATTTCAGCATTCTTTTCCAAAGCTTCTCCATTCCTTCCTTAGGAATTGGTTTCTTGACGTAATCTGATTTGCTCTTGAAAAAATCTCCGGGGCTCGATGGTCTGTCTAAAAGAATGCTTGTCGGTGTACCGGCCGGATAATCGGCCCAAAACAACGTCGTGTTAAGCCAGCTCATTTCTTGACAATCTTCACGTTTTAGCCCTAATTCAGGCAAGCTCTGGTTCATTATCGCCATCAGCTCATCGGTTCGACCCAAGAACTGAGCATAGAATACAACCGCGATGGTTCTCTCTCCACGTTTCGTTCCATTTACGACCTGAGGCATTGCTCTGATGAAAAGAGTTTCAGGGAATTGGGTAGCTACAAGCTGCCACTTGTAGAGAACATCAGTGCCTCCTTGTTCCAATGTTTTGTTAACCTTAAACACTGTGAGGATCTTTGGAACCTCGACGAGGTTGAGTTTCCAAGAGAGGATAACTCCGAAACTCCCACCACCACCGCCGCGAATCGCCCAAAAGAGATCCTCTCCCATGGTAGCTCGATTCAAGAGCTTGCCGTTGACATCAACTAATTGAGCATCAACGACATGATCCACTGTGATTCCGTATTTTCTCATCAGATTTCCGTACCCTCCACCGCTGATGTGTCCTCCAGCTCCTACCGTAGCGCAAACTCCGGCCGGGAACGCTAGCGTGCTCCTCGCGTCAGTGATCTTTGTGTAGACCTCTCCCAAGGTCGCACCAGCTTGAACCCAAGCTTTCTTGCTCGACACGTCAACAGTAATAGACCTAAGATTGAACATATCGAGAATTACAAATGGCACAGACGACATGTAAGAAAGGCCCTCGTAGTCATGGCCGCCACTTCGGATACGGATCTGGATACCGTTGGACTTTGCGCACACCACCGTGGCCTGAACATGAGATACATGTTTTGCCGCCACGATGGCTAGTAGGCTTTTGAAGTTAGGGCTCAAGAACCTCTTGTTTTTCGTGTAGGACACGTAAGATGACAAGAAGGTGGTGGTGTTATCGGCGACGAAGATGGAATCGGTGATTGGGTTCTCCGGATTAGTCCGATGGCGCATGCATCCGATGAAGTTTTCAAAATGTGGTTTCGTTACTGCTCCGTCGGAATCCGATACAGCAAGAACAAGACACAAGACAAAAATCGCTTTTTTATAAAGTGTTTCTTTCATTTTGTTATGTTTATGTTTTTATGTAATATGTCTTTCGCCTCTGTTAGGGTCTTTATTTATAGAAGAAAAAGTTCCTTCAGAGAAAACTTAATCAGAAAAAACTGTTGAGAATTTTTATATAAAGCTGACTTTTTGTCATATAGGTTTACTTTGATTTTTTTTCCTCAAAATGTAGGTATATTTTGAATAAGCTTATGAGAAATTTTTTTTTTTATCTTGGACAAAGATACGTTCATGGAAACTGCAACACAAACAAGAATAAATATTGGTAATATTTCTCATGGTCAAGAACACGGATTGAATAACTTCTATTAGTTGCACATTTCTATCCTCTTCCACATATACTGGATAAAATTTCAAATAAAATAGTATCCATGGGAACGTGAGATGAGACTTCATTCATATTTTCAAGAAACATCATTTTATTGAATCATCTATGAATAATTTTTGTTGATTTTTAAGTTAAGAAAAATTCTAGAATGCACTGATTTTTCCTCTCTCTTCTTTTCCAATCACTGTTTCTTTTTTCCCTTCCTTGAATTCAAATTTTATAGGTTACGTTTGTATGAATACTAATGATATTAAGATGGCCGAGAAATTTTGAGATAGACTTTTTATACGTGCAATAGACTTTTCTTGTAGCAGAACGTTGATTATTTTTCCTCACCATAAAATTTACAAATGGTCGTTATTGCACGTTATCCCAAAAAAGTCTATTTCAAAATTTTGTATGTATGGGTTTTATTATAATACTATATGTACAGTTGTGTCTATTGTATAATGTTTAAGTCGGGGCTGCTGCTTTCTCTGTCGATTTTGTTTCGGGAGAAGAAGAATAGAACTCAATTTTTGTGATTATTATTTCCCACAGTTTCATATTGCCTAGAACTCAAATATACTACAATCTTTGGGATTTTTACTTAAGTTCCAAGATTGTAAAAATATCTGTATTCATTTGGTTTTTTTTTTGGGGGGTCAAAATGTTATTAAAAACAATAAAAAGAGTCTTATATAAACAAGGGCGTTAACGAATATCTCAAAAGGCGATCATATACAGTTCCTTGAAGGTAACCACAATGTATCGAGGCCAAGCATAAAAGGATGTTGAGAGCATGCATGAGTAGTCTTTATGCTCTCGTGTTGTTATCGCTTTGGAAGCTACGGAACTTGTTGGCGCGGTAATAAAACCGTCGTTTTTGGCTGCATTTCGGCGGCAATATCTTGAATTATTTGAAGGATTAAGATATTGTTCTGTGTGGCTTACTTTGGTTTTGTTCTTTAATTTTGGTTGTTACTGTTTTGGAATAATCTGTTTGGTTTTTCTTTTATTCAAATAGGAATATGAAATTCAGGTTAGCAAAATATTTATGCAAATGAGACAATAGTGAAAAATACACTGGTTATAAGTTATAACACATGCCCACATGATTTATTAAGTTTGATCAAAATTATAATGAAAGAGTAACATTACTACATTACATGAACAGGAGGAATACTCTGCTCGTTCTTAAAGAAATTCTCAGGATCATACTTAGCTTTAACTTGCATCAATCTCTGCAAATTTCCCAAAAAATACTTTGTTCCGTAGATCTTAGCTTCATCCACGTTTGTCTCACCACTTGGATTGCTTCCAATATCGATGTCTCTGTAATTAAAGAACGCCTCTCTAGGGTTACTTGACACGTACGGTTTCGCAACCTCGTAGAGCTCCTTCATCAGACTCAGGCTAGTCTCTGTGGCATTTGCGTCTAACCATACCGTAGAGTATTGAACCTTGAACATGTTTCCTTTCCGGTGAGGAAACGCTGTGGCATTAGCCGGAATCCGGTCCATCACTCCACCGTAAGGGTTAAATTGCATCCACACAATATCATTGTTGAATGTCAACATTTTCTTCCAAAGCTTTTCCATTCCTTCTTTTGGGATTGGTTTTTTGAGGTAATCCGATTTGCTCTTGAAGAATGCTGGATTCGTCGGCCTATCTAGAAGAACGCTCTTCGGTGTACCTGCCGGAAAATCGGCCCAAAACAACGTCGTGTTAAACCAGCTCATCTGGTGACAATCTTTACGTTTTAGCCCTAATTCAGGCAAGCTCTGTTTCATTATCGACATCAGCTTATCTGCTGTACCCAAGAACTGAGCATAGAATACAACCGCGATGGTTCTCTCGCCGCGTTTTGTTCCATTTACGGCCTGAGGCCATGCTCTCATGAAAAGATCATCAGGGAATTTGGTAGAGACAAGCTGCCATTTGTATAGCACATCAGTGCCTCCTTGTTCCAGAGTTTTGTTAACCCTAAACACGGTCATGATCTTTGGAACCTCGACGAGGTTGATTTTCCAAGAGAGGATAACTCCGAAACTCCCACCGCCACCGCCGCGAATCGCCCAAAAGAGATCTTCTCCCATGGTAGCTCGATTCAAGAGCTTACCGTTAACATCGACTAATTGAGCATCACCGACATGATCCACCGTGAGTCCGTATTTTCTCAGCAGATTTCCGTACCCACCACCGCTTATGTGTCCTCCTGCTCCTACGGTAGGGCAAACGCCAGCCGGAAACGCTAGCGTTTGGCTCGCTTCACTGATCTTTACGTAGAGCTCTCCCAAGGTCGCACCAGATTGAACCCAAGCTTTCTTGCTTGACACGTCAACAGTAATTGACCTGAGATTGTGCATATCGAGAATGACAAATGGCACAGACGATCTATAAGAAAGGCCTTCGAGGTCATGACCGCCGCTTCGGGTACGGAGCTGTACACCGTTGGACTTTGCGCAGATCACCGTGGCCTCAATATGAGATACATGTTTCGCCGCCACGATGGCTAGTAACTTTTCGTAGTTAGGGCTCAAGAACCTCTTGTTTTTCGTGTAGGACAAGTAAGAAGACAAGAAGGTGGTGGTGTTATCGGCGATGAAGATGGCATCGGTGATTGGATACTCCGGACTAGTCCGATAGCGAAGGCATTCGATGAAGTTTGCGGGATTGGGTTTCGTTTCTGCTGCTTCTAAAACCGAAACCAGAAGAACAAGACACAAAACAGAAAGTGCGTCCTTCATTTTTGTTTTTTTTTGTTTGGGAAAGATCCCATACGTCTCTGTTAGGATTTTAGTTTATAGAATAAAGATCTAGAGAGAAACTTATTTCAAAATTGACTTCTGTTTTGTCATAAAGGTTTACTTTGACTTTGTTCTTGGCAAGATGTAGGTTGTCTTTGAATTTTCTTTCTTTTTTGGTTGAATATTAGAATTTTCTTTTGTCAACAAATACTACAGAGAAATCGCTTTCATGATCGGGATCAGGGATTGAGACGCATCTATCGAACTTCTATATTTCACCTTTTTAAAAATTATTGTAGGTGTATCCAGTGTATATAAGCATGCATTGCAAATTTTATTAGTGGAAGAAAGTTGATTACATTTGGCGAAAAAAAGAAAAGAAAGTTGCAAACCGAGATTTTACAAATGGAAACCGGTAACGTAAGGTTAGAGAATCCTCTTCATTCATAATTTCAAGAAACATATCTTTTATGGAAGAAAAGTATTAAAATACGATTAATTTTGTTGATTCTTATGTAAAATATATTTTCCTCTTCTTTTCGGATTCCTGGTTTTTTCTCCCTTATTGAATTCAGTTTTTTAATAGATTACGTTTGTATTGTTGTAGATCAAAAATGATTTTAAATGGGCCGAAAATTTTGAAAAGAGATTTTTTGTCTTTTAATAATGTGCAATAGACTTTTCTTATAGCAGAAACGTTGACTATATTTTGTTTAGTACATAAATGGTTAACCTGGTTTTCAACAACTTGCATTATACTCCGGAAAAAAAATATAAATTTGAATATAATAACGATATTTATCACAAACCAATGGACCAAATTTGGCTAAAGCTCGAATTTATATAATGCAAATTAAAGCTCATCCGCTGCAATATTCTCTGACCTTTGGTTTTAGCTTCGTCAATGAAATAAATCAATAATGATGACTGCTGGTTAGTACTAGAGGTAATACTTGTTTTTTGCTATATATAAAATTAAAATATTTATATAGACAGAAGCTGGAATAGCTCAGTTGGTTAGAGCGTGTGGCTGTTAACCACAAGGTCGGAGGTTCGACCCCTCCTTCTAGCGATTCAATTTTTAATTAAATTATATCTATTGTCAATTTTCTTTTGCTCAGGTTTACTTTTACTTAAATTTATTTCATTTCTTATATAAACAAGTCAGTTTTGATAATCAGATTATACATATCATTAGTTTTATTTTGTTCAGGTCAAAAACTCGAATCTTCTACAATCATTAGAAATTTTACTTATTATATAAAATAGTTCAGTTTTTATAATCAAAGTATATCTATAGTCAGTTTTATTTTGTTTAAGTTTAGATATCAAGTCTTCTACAAGCATCACGACTTTTACTTAAATTCATTTCATTTTTTATATAAACATTTCAGTTTTCATAATCAGATTATACATATCGTTAATTTCATTTTGCTCAGGTTTAGAACTCAAATCTTATACAATTATTAGGACTTTTCATTTCTTATATAAATAATTCAGTTTTTATAATCAGATTATACCTATCGTCAATTTCATTTTGCTCAAGTTTTGAACTCAAATTTTATCATTGAGACCTTTACTTAAATTTATTTTATTTCTTATATAAACAATTCAGTTTTTATAATCAGATTATCTATCGTCATTTTCATTTTGGTCAGGTTTAGAACTCAAATCTTCTACAATCATTAGGACTTTTACTTAAATTCATTTCATTTCCTATATAAACAATTCAGCTTTTATAATCAGATTACACTTATTGTCAATTTCATTTTCTGAAGGATTTAGTTGAGCTCAACGTCCCTGTTCCTGCTTACGTAAATTTCCTATAACTTTGAAATTCATACTCTCTTTCGAATTTCTCTTTCATCAAAATTTCTAAATAACTTCTCTTTTTCTACTCTAATTACATGTTTTTGAAATTCAAATTGTGCAGGATTTGGTTGACGAGCTCAACGTCCTGTCCTGTCCTTGTTCCTGTTCTCGTGACTAATGGTGCTCCGGTAAGGCTCTTTCAGTTTATTTCCTTGTTACTGTTATATACGTTAATATATGACTTTGATATATACTCTTGACTTGTCAAGATTTGATAAGTGTGATTTGTCTCAAATTTGATATTCAAATTTGCTGAAGATTTGTGTCAGCCATAGAAGAAGGATGTCATCCAAACGACCCTCCCTTCACCACAAAAGGAGACTCACCCCAACACTGCATTTCCGACTCAACGTCATTGCCATCATGGTGCCGCCATCCTCAACTTCGTCAACATCTTGTGGCTATGTTCATCCTCAACATCTCTCCAACAAAACATCAAACCAAGCTCCACATCACCAAGCTTCACTGCACCACATTACAATCCACGTCAATCTCAAGTCTTCCATTCTGTTAAAACCCCACTAGCACCTTGAAATTGAGGGGCTTATAGAATGATGTACAAATAACAGAAGGATGATTGCTTGTTTGTAGAGGTAATATTTTGTTTTCTATATAGTAAATTAAAGAAGTTATAAATACAGAAGCTGAAATAGCTTAGTAATTAAACAAAGTTTTTGATCATATACATTGGGACATTCTTTTCCAACTGAAGTAACCACAATGTACACCATTTCAAAGAGCCACAACATATTTTTTGTCATACCAATTTAGCTCTTGAGGTAAACCGGGTCTCTCTTTCCCCAGCCGAAGCCATTAGAAGCCCCACAGCAACAGCGAACATGACCAGCATTCCAACGAGCAAAGCATATGTTCGTGGAGACGATCTCCTATACTCCCCAAACAGATATATCCCCCAAAATGTCGACACCAAAGGAAGTGCCTACTCATGATTCATAAACCAAGATTCACCAAAACACACAACCAAAGATCACACAACTTTATAGTTTAAGTTTTAAGTGTGTGTGTGTGACCTGAACAGCATCTGAGGCTGCATAACCTGCAGCTTGTCCACCCATGAACTGAAGACCGTTACCGAACCCACAAAGCAAACCAGCCACAAGAGCCCAACCTCTTCCGTCCCAGTCATTTAGGTAATCCCTAAAGGAAGATCCTGGTGAGTCAAGTACAGGTTTGTATAGGAAACTAACGTTAAGAGCAATGGCGATTACGAAGCAAGATAGTGAGAAGTAGAAGAATGCAGTGTAGACAATCAGCTTGGGAACGCCTTGTTTCAGTGTGTGCCATTGATCGTTCGTTGCAAGGTTGAATAGTGGTGAGAACAATGAGAAGCTAAGCCCTGCGAAGAAGGTTATCCCTAGACCAACAACCATGCTCTTCCCAAACACCTGAATCCAAGAGAGAAATCCATAGAGACTGATTTACTTTGTTGCTTCCAAATTCATAAGACTAACAGAACAAAAACAAAAATCCTACTTTGATTGCTCTCGTGTTTTCCACTGCTAAAAGAAAAGCTGCAGTCCCTTCCTTAACATTCTCCATCTCTTCTTTTTCTTCTTCTACAAAACAAAACGAAGAAGTGAGTAATCATCTAAGCATTATCAGACAATTAAGCCATACACCTTTATGTCAAGCTTCACCTCCAAACAGTCTCTGACGCTCTTCATTGTTCACGGTTTTGCCGAGTTTGGCTTCTACATCAGCAGAATTAGAAGAGTGAACCGCAGAACCAAGACAAACAGCTACCAAGAAGCAGACAACACCAGAGAAAAGAATATCTGCTCTGTTCAACCTGTTGTCCAGAAAGTAATTAACAGTCGTGCCTACAAACACAAGACCGCATCAACCCTGTGTCAGCACTCAGCACAGAGATTCTGTTGCAACAAAGCTTGAAATCAATGATCCACCTATAACAACGGTGATGCTCGCTGCCGTCACTTCCGTTACAGACAGACCAACAAAAGCTAAAGCATACTGAGTAGCAAGGTTCCCAATACTTAAACCCACTCCACCCGCCATTGCAAACAACACCGAGGGCCAATTATCCTGAATCTGTAGCAGCAGCAGCAGGAGAGAGATACATAAGTAAACTAAACCTCATCTGAATATAGTAGTACCAGAGAAAGAAAGGAAGATCAAAGTCCTAACTTGAGTGAGCTGGGTGGTGAAGCTTGGTGCCTCTGGTGTACTTCCACTGACCCCACCAAACACAAAGGCTATGAAGATTGCAGACAAGAAGTTTGTGATGGAGTAGTCGAGATAAGTGTGTTGTGGGAGACGACCACGCCGTTCAAGAAGAGCCAATAGAGCAGGCCAAGTGCCTAAGCAGAGCAGAGAAAGCGTCATACATGCTATTGCTCCTCCTTTGCTCTCCACAACATATATTCCTAATCCATCACCACCCACCACCATCATCGACCAATATATCCTGTTTCTGACTGAAATTAGACATGATTCGGAGACAAAGAAGCCTCAGATAGCCACATAATCACAATGATTCCCAGAATTAGAACCCTAGTCAGCTACAGAATCATCGGCTAACAGCTATTGTTCCGGATTGAGAGCCATGGCAATTACAGAAAAAAAAAAGCTTGGAAATTGAATTCAGCATTAAAAAAAAAGGCTTGAAATTCGACATGGGTATCTAATTCTTTCCCAGTATTCATAGTATCCGATTCGTAATCCTACTGTAGATTAATCGTTGCAGATGAACGATGTGTTGAGCAGAGTTAAAGTTTTCACCTTTTCTACAGAGCTGCAGATGAACGATGTGTTGGAAAAAAAGGTCAACGAAGAGTTGATATGAATGAATCGAAGAAGCTCAATACTATTGGTGATGCACGCAAGAACTATTCTTTCTTACATAGTGTTTGATGCGACAGCTCAGAGAGCGAGAGAGAAATCTTTGTTAAATCCAGCCATAACAATACACCGGGTCCGTTCACTGAGTGAAATTGATCAAAATTGATTCTTTTAAGAACGTCTTTTTAGCAAATTCAATGAGCAGAGAAATTGAGAAAGAGGTGAAGTTTATTTTATCATTATCGACGTTGATCTATGATGAAAGGAGACATGGACGCATATGGAGGTAAATTAAAAAGAATAGAGAGCATTTCGTTTTCTGGGTTTACAAAATAAAACAAGAAAAGCTCTTAATGATGTTGTTCTACAGACCATAACTAGAAATTGTCCTTTCGTTTTGTCAGATAAAAATGGATCACAGATGTTTGACAAATCGCTAGAAAATTTGTAAATTCACCAAAATACAAGAACCAATAACTTCTACTTAGAGTCTAATCTATGATAAACTTAAAACAAAATAATGGTTAGCTCAAGCTCTTTAATTATCTATCTTTGAATCAAATAGTTTTATGTTTTCATATGTTAGCTTGATTTAGTAGGTATAATTTTCTGAAGTAGGTTTATTTTATTGACATGGAGCTTTAGGATGTTATTAACTCTCTGTTCATGAGTCTACCAAACTGTTGAAGTTTCTTCCTTTCTTTGCATCATTAGCCATTAGGTCAGCCACATCCGGTCACAACCCCTCTTCTCGTTTACAATTTTGTGTTGTCACTTCTAAAGAAATAAAAGGAATTGCAAATTGACTATGTCACAATTTGATCCAACAAGTTTTTTAATAACAATGTTAAAACATTTCTTATGAACATGTAAATCGACAAGGAAGTGTAGTTTATCATTATTGAAACCTCCAATTTGATCTCTAATGAAAGCAGAGTTGGACGCGTATTAGGTAAAAAGAATACAAACGAAAGAGCATCTCATTATCTTGATTATACAAAAGAAAGCAACTAAGCAAGAAAAGTTCTTTCTTAGTTCCTATAAACCAAAATACTATAGAAGTAAATCCAAAAAATGAAAAATGCTATTAAGAGAAAGTCGCATTCCTAATTGGAGATTCAAATTCAAACCCTACAAAGAGAAAATATAATAGTGAGAATAAAGAGAGCTCTAGCTTTTCACCTACGTAAACACACACTGTTGGCAAAATCTCAGCCGTCCGTAGCAAGTAATATCACTTTGTCTGAGATGATCTCTGACCTAAACCCGTAAGGCCACGGCAGCGATGGCTGTTAGTAAGATGACGGTCTTGGTTCGGAAAGAGAGCTCCTCTCCACCGCTCGGATCGAAACCGGTGCTCCCGGAGGGTCCCATAGTAGTGTCAGGGAATACAGATGAAGTCGGCATTCCATTGGTGGTAGTGCCGTTGAATGGCATCCCGGTGGTTGAATTGCCGGTGGATGGAGTTCCGGTGGTTGAATTTCCGCTGGATGGAGCTCCGGTGGTCGGAGTACCAGTGGAGCTGCAAAAGAGTTACTCTATGAGCACATTTAAATCATCATAAAAATTTAAGAAAACAGTAAACAAGTTGTAACAAGAAAGTTACAACTACAAAGAATTCACAATAAACATACCCGGAACTAGATAAACAGCTTGAAGCATCTGCAAGAACACAATAAAGAAAAAGAAAATCAACGTAGAAAAAAAAAATTGTTAGATGAACAGAAGTTGAGGGATTTGATAGATGGGTAAGGAAAGAATACTGGAAGGAGGCGAGGTGGGGATGACGGCGGCGCCGTTAAAGTCACACGTGGCGCCAGTGGAAGCTTTCTTCTGATAAAAGCTATTAACGGCGACGTCACAGTGGTTCTTGATGGTGTCTGGTTGGAAACAAGCTCCGGTCTGCTGAATCAGTGTACAATCAGCACCTGATCCACACGCGTAGTCTATCACCTTCTGAAGCGCTGGCTCGTCTGCATCTTTGCACACACAAACCGCCGCGTCTGTTCGATGAAGAGCCAGAAACAAAAAAAAATCAGAATAGTCAATAGGCAAGAGATTGATAATTTGATATAACAGAACCTAGGTCTAGTGAAGTGAAGAATACGTAATAAAGATTAGCATTACAAATTTACAAGACCCGGAAGCATAAAGAACCAGGCTTAAAAAGGAGCTAGAAAGAATCTTACTTGAATGTGTAACAATGGAGAAGAGAAGAAACAGAGGAATCAAAATCGCCATGATGCTTCTAACCTGATGTCTTTGTTATGCTTGTTGAACAAGTAAAATCGAAACTTGTTTAACCCTGACAGTGTCACAGATAAGAGTTTGCGTGTTTGGAATAGAGATATTGAAAGAGGGAGAGAGATCTATATAAGATGCTCGAATGACAAAAATTTGGATACTAATAAGCACTGTACTGTACCCCTTATGTGGAAACTTCCAGGTCTTTTTGTGTAATGACTTGTAAATGTTAGATTTTTAGAACACAAAGAGGAACAACAGAGAAAAGATGAAAAGCTCGCTTGTCGTCTTGTTATTGTGTGACTGGTTGACGCACAAAAGTATTGTAGTGGGAGACTTTAGGTGAAATAAAAGATAGCTTTGTTTATTTACTAATTTGCCACCTCAATTTTACGTACCGATGCATTTCATTTTGCTTTTTTTTTTTTCTTTTTTTTTTAACATTTGGTTTATGTTCGGATAATCTATGATTTAGCAAGATTCTAGCTTTTTCCCCAAAGACAACAATAAGCCTTTACAAAGTAAAAGTTGGTTTTTCTTTTTTACTTGGTAAAAGTTGTTGTAAATGTAATTTAAGCGTATATTATAGTGAACAAATAATATAATAGTTTTCTAAAGTAAAGTAGTATGATTTCTGGAGCACTAATTAATAAAGGATGAAAAAGTGAGAGAAAACGGAGAAAAGAACACAAAATTTGGAAATAATATACACCGTAAAAGCTTAAACCAAGTGTTTTAAAGTACTTAAAGGCTAAGGTAACGAGGAGCCATGTGCAGAACAAGCTTTTGAACCCGCGTCACACAACACGTGTGGTTGTGTCACTAGTCACCAAATCACACCATTATGCTTATAATCCGAGATTTTAATTGTTAATTTGAAGACGACCATAAAATAATAAGCGTTATCAGTAGCGTAATAGTTTGGTTTTTAACTTTGAACAAAGAGACCTTTTGAATCAATGAGTTGGATTAATTTTAACAAAAAAATTAAAGTTATTGGATTAGTCAAAAGTTTGTTAAAAACTTACTTTACTGAAAAATAGATATTTTATGAACAAAATTATTAAAATAATCTTTAACTAAATCAACGGATAGAAATATTATGTTTGAGAGACATCTTTTTGTGTGAAAATACTCTATGGATTACCATTGTTTTACATATAGATAAGAGATATATAGTCACACTCACAAGTCACAACTGGAGTTTGATCAGAAAACTCTAAAACAGATCAATCCCTTTTCTTATAATACTCTCAACTCCAGTTAGATTCTTCCAACAATGGCGTCGTCTCATCACTTTTCTGAGAATCCTGAAAAATGTATTAGTCTTTGAACTAAAAAGCTTGTGTTTGTAGCAAGATTTAGCCAAAAGAAAGCTCAGATACAAGATTGAATATTGTACTAGAGAAGATGATGAAGGTAGAGAAAGGTTTTTGAGTTTGTTTTTGGAAAACCAAAAATAGAGAGACTATCCTTAGTTATGCTCCTCTGCCTCTTCGTATTTTCTTATTTTTCTCCTTCCTTATTCGCATTTCTATGAAAGCTAGGCTTTCGAGCTTTCACGTGTTTCTTCTAATTTGTTGTCTTGCGCCTCGAGTCTCCAACGGCCACGATATTATTGTTAGCATCAGTTTACGTATTAGATTAGAGTCAAATAAGATCTCATGAAATTGAATTATATATCAACTTATTACAATCCAGTAGCGCAATAATTAAGTGACAAACCTCATTAAATACCAAATAAGTGAACAAAAACTAGAATAGTATATGTCATTCAAGATAGACAAATCAGATTCAAAAGGAAACATACTCATTCAAAATGAAGATTTTTCGTTAAGCATAAATGGGAACAACGTACATAAGTATTGTATTCACGACTTGGTTAATTAAGAAAGCATGAAAATAACTATGCCATTCACGACTTGAAAATGACAATAATAGTATTCGAAATAGCATCTAGAGATCCTAATTTCTGGCTTAATGTCCCCACAGGCCATATATATGATCAAATTTTGTTTTGATCACACCAAAAAATTATATAGTATTATATGTTAAAAATTCAACAATTTAGAATAAGTTCACACTATTAGTCGTAATAAAAATGTTGAAATATCATCAGCAACTTAAATCATTAATAAAGAAGACAATACAGACATACAGTATGAACAGTAAATATAAGTTCTTAACTTGTAAAAATCAAGCGTTTAAAACTAATTAGCCATACTACAATTTTGTTGACAGTAAATATTTGCATTTGTATTCTTCAAAAAAAAAAAAAAAAAAATTGCATTAGAAAAAAGAAAAAAGCGCGGGCAGTTTAATAATGGGCCGGGCTTGAGATGTCTAACACCCCTGAAAATGACATCATTTTTGTGGAATAATTTCTGAAATGCCACTGTCTCAGTGAAGAGATCGTGAGACGACCGGAGTTGCAAAAGCTCATCTGAAACTCTCAAGAAAACCCTAAAACAGATAAACCCCTTTTTTCCCCAGACTTTGATTCTTCCAACAATGGCGTCTCATCTCTTTTGCCGATACCGAAACTCTCTCCTCAGAACCCTTAAACCCAATCACCACGCCTCGAATTCAGCCATCAGGTCCATTTCCGGTACACCCTTCCTCTCTCAGGATCCCCAGCTCGCAACCGAGTCAACCGATCACGACACTTCGAATCACCAGGCAGGAGGATCCACGCCGCTTCCGCCGAATCCAGCGACGGGAAGCCCTCTTTACCAGGAGAATTGGAGGAGTCCGATCCCGAACTCCCCGTCGCTCAGCCAATCCCTCGTCCCCATGGGATTTCTAAACCAGGCCACTGCCGCTCGCATTCGAGCTCTCTCCGAGTCGCTCGACATGAACTCGTTGCTGAATATGTTCGCCGATTGGATTGCGTCGCAGCGTTGGTCCGACATGAAGCAGCTATTCGAGTTCTGGGTTCGATCGCTCGACAAGAATGGGAAGCCGAACAAGCCCGATGTCAACCTTTACAATCATTACCTTCGGGCTAACTTGATGATGGGTGCTTCGCCTAGCGAGATGATCGATCTGGTTGCGCTGATGGACGATTTCTCTGTGGCACCCAACACCGCGTCTTATAATCTAGTCTTGAAGGCTATGCACCAGGCGAGAGAGACCGAGGCTGCGCAGAAGCTGCTTCACCGGTTAGATCCCTTGAGAGTTTTGTATACTGATTCCTTTTGGTTTGCTCTATAATGATACATACGTTCCTGCTAAAATTTATGTTCAATGAGTGAGTCTTATGAGCTATTCTGCTAAATTTATGTTCAATGAGTGCAAAAAAATTAGAAATTTACTTGATTTAAGTGTAGAATTTGCTGATAAATGGAGGAGGGTTATCTCTGAAAGCTGCCAGTGAAACGTGTATCATGAGAATGTAGATATAGGCTTTTTTATTCTGCTTATGTCTCGATGTAATTTCGTCAGGATGCTGATATCGGGGAAGGAGGAACCTCTATCTCTACCGGATGATGAATCATATGATTTGGTTATTGGACTGCTGTTTTCGACTAGGAAGAATGACGAAGCTATGAAACTTATGGACATGGCATTGAAATCTGGTTATATGTTATCCACCGCAGTTTTTAGTGAATGTGTACGTAGCTGTGTAGCCGAAGGTAGGACAGATACACTAGTCTCCATCATCGAGAGGTGTAAGGTAGAGACGAGTTTTTGCTGTCTTGGTTTGATATTTGAAGATTTTTTTTTCCCTCCGTTTTATTGATTGTATCTGTGTTCCTTGTTCCGCAGGCTCTTGACCGGAACAAGTCCCTATGCCCTAGCTGGATACTGTGTACTTACATGGCAGAAGTTGCGATTCAAGAGGATAATAGCAAACTAGCGTTTTATGCGTTTGAGTTTATGTTCAAATGGGTCAACAAGGGTGAAATGGCTAGGCCTGCGGTTTTACTTTCTGTTGACGAAGGATTGGTAGTATCAGCTCTTGCGACTGCTGCGAGGACATGCAACCCTTCTTTAGTAGATGCTTCATGGGCGATTCTAAAACGGTGCCTGCGCGGGAAAAAGGCAGCCAACCCTGCGTCTTACATTGCAAAGATCAATGCGTACGCATCGTTGGGGAACCTGGAGAAAGCTTTCGTCGCACTTCATGAATTCGAAAACGCATATGCTGGTTCTGAAAAAGAAGCTATGGATGAAATGCTTTCACCTTTCACATCCTTGTACCCGCTGGTTGTGGCCTGCTCAAAGAAAAGCTTTGAGACATTGGATGAGGTATGCCTTGACTCATTTTAAAAGCAGAGCATCATGATCATGAATGTTTTATGGATTTGATTGTACTAGGCAGATATAGCTTGTACCTTGATCTGACCTTGCAATGTCACGTAATTCCACCAGGTATACTTCCAGCTGGAGACGTTGAGTCAAGGTGAAACTCCATATAAGTCTGTTGCTGCTCTAAACTGTATAATTCTTGGCTGCGGAAACACATGGGATCTGGATCGTGCTTATCAGACGTTTGATGCAATAAGTGCTTCTTTTGGGCTGACTCCTAACATCGATTCGTACAATGCTTTAATATATGCATTTGGAAAGGTCAAGAAGGTACTGCTTCCATGTCACACATCTCTCTCTCTCTTTTTTTCTCTAATATGGAGGATATGAACAATTAGGCCTAAAGACTCGAGCTTGTTTGCTTTGCAGACTCTTGAGGCTACAAGAGTATACGATCATCTGGTTGGCGAAGGTGTTAAACCTGATCCCCGGACGTATTCGTTGCTGGTTGATGCTCATCTCATTAACCGGGATCCCAAATCAGCTCTGACCGTCATTGATGGCATGGTAAACCAGATTTGAAAACCGAACCGCTATGAGAGAAAGATCTGTGTTGTTTACATAGCAATGAGAAACTGATACATGCTTTCGATTAACAGATCAGTGCTGGATATGAACCTTCGAAGGAGACATTGAAAAAGCTCAGAAGGCGATGCGTCAGGGAATTAGACTCTGAAAACGATGATCAGGTCGAGTCACTGGCCAAGAAATTTCAAATCAGGATGGGATCAGAGAACCGCAGGAACATGCTTTTCAACTTAGATTACTCCAGAGGCCGCGCATAATGCAACGAAATCCTAAATGAATGGTAGTGATAACGAACCCTGAGTTCAGTGTAATGGTACACAGGAATCAAATGGTGACCATTTCACTCAAAGTGTGTTTGGTCTTCTCTATTTTTGCAGAAGCTCTCGTGAGGAGCGAGGTATGAAGCTCAGGCTCATCGAATTTTGAAGCTATGGACCATTGCCCCGTGTTTCATTGCTGTAAATTGCTTCATTGTATTCGTTTGAGTCCCTAATCTGATTTTTCCAATACACAGCTCATTGTTTTTGTTTGGAAACAGAGAGTTATTTAGGATCGCTAGTCTCTGGCAGATGCTTTCAGGCAGCCTTGACCAATAAATGTCAAAACTTTTTGGAATGTTCCTTTTAATTTTAATCTTTATAAAAAAAAACCACTAGATTTGTAAGATTGATTTTCGTTATTATCTTAGTATAACAGCAATTTCGTGCAGAAAGCATTGTTTCTGGTTTATAAATTGTCTTGCATGATGATGCTTCACTATTCCATTGTGTACTATGCTTGGATAAGTCATTGTGTACCGGAATGGTTGAACCTGGTAAACCGGAGGTGAAATAGAAAAAGAAAATGCCAAATATGCACAAAAAGAAGGCCTTGAAAATTGGCCGGCCCAATTCAGAGATCCAGCTGGGTTCTCGAGAAGCTCTGTATCACCAGTTCACAAACAGCTTTCAGAACATTTCTCCCCATTCTTTGGGATCAAAGACGCGAAACCCTAAAAACTTGAGAAAACTGATTGAAGAAAGGAAACAGGATGGGTGGTGGAAGGAATGACGAAGTTAGCGGAGGTAAAGCCGGCAAAGAGGAAGAGCAAGAGCAAGACGGCATGTCCGTACACTCTCCCTGTAAGGCTTTACCTTCCTCCGCTTCCTCTCTCTCCAAGGTTTCTCTCTCTCCCTCTCTCTCTCCCTCTCTCTCTGCCATATACTCTTCTTTGTTCTGAGATTTTAATGGTTCCTCCTCTTTCTTTGATTGATTCTCAGGAGCAATCAGAGGTTGAATTGGAGCTCAAGTTGTTAGAAGCTCTTGAAATCTACCCTCCCGTTAAACTCCGAGGCAAGTTTTCACAATTGCAAAATCTTGTTCCTTGGCTTGTTTTCTATCGCTAGAAAGAAACAAATACATGTTTGCATCTGCAAATGGTTCTTTCTCTCTCGTAGTGATCAGAAACCATAAGCTTTTACCAAAAAAGGAATCGTTTTTCATTGTATTTAATTAATCGATAATATGTCGTCTCTTGTCCTCGGACACTGATCAGTTCTCTGGTTTCTTGCTTTCTACTAATGAGATTATGTTCTAATGCGGCGTGCAGGCATACATCGCCACTTTGTTCTTTATGGTCTGATGGAATATCTCGGCAGAAGGTTTGTCCGACATTTCCGTACTTCCTTTCCCTGAGTTTTAATTCCTCTTTGATTTGTCTGAACCTTAAAAGCGGCTTTCTATCAACTATTCCTGTCCATAGCTTCGACCGACAGTTCACAGCGGATGAGGTTCTGCAGCTGCTTGATCGTTTCTACAACCTAGATATGCTGGTAAGTAGTAATTTCAACAAACATTGGACTATTATTATGTTACGTAGCTCTAGGTTCTAAGTTTGCTTCGTTTGTCACTTCACGCCCTTCTTTATAGTTGCGCTGATGGGTTTTTGATCTGTTACCTCTGGATTTTTTCAGAAATCAGATGATGAGGACTCTGACATTCTCAATCACGAGGAAGAGTTTAGCTTGCCGCAGAGTTACTTTGATAAGGAAGATAAAGAATAAGAAGAAGAAGTGGTCTTTACGTCACTTTAATCTCTGTTTTTGTCTATGGTTTGGTGAGGTTTGTCCCCAGCTATATTATAATAAGTTCTATTGTACATTATGATAGATCCATCAGAGCATTACTGCTTTTTCTTCTCTTTTCATGATGCCATTTAGAGCCAGGGCTGAGTTTGTTTGTTTGTTTGGTTGGTTGACAATTTTTTTTTAATAATACAGTTGATTGCTCTGTTTATTGGAAATGTTAATGTAGCAAAAACATATCTGATCAAATCATAATATAATTGCATAACATGAAATATTTGATATCATGAGATTGACAACAAAAGAAAGAAAGAAAAAAAAAGGTAAGTAGAAAAAAAAAACAATATAGGATTGAATTCAATCGTCTCTGATCCCATCTTCCTGATGAGACCAAGCTATGGAACTTAAAGAAATTGGCCTCCCACTTCTGGGCATCGAATCTAACCTCATTCAACTTTCCAAGAACTTTGATCAGTTCTGAACAACAAGAAAAGAAACATGAGCTTTAACTCAACAAGAAACAACAATTCAGACAACTATTTTTTACACAAGTTGATGAATACCTCAGTGGCGGCTTCTGCAGGCTTAGCCTGTTCTTGCTTGGGTTCATCGGTCTTGATGTTGTCTTCTCCTAAAAGAAACAAAAAACAAAACCCATTCACAATCTCAAATAAACCCATCTCGATCATGCTTTGTGATTTTCAGACAGACCTCCATCTTCAGGAAGATCAGAAGTCCAGAGGGTGAGGTTGTCTCTCAGGAGCTGCATGATCAAAGTGCTGTCCTTGTACGACTCCTCACTTAGAGTATCCAACTCCGCAATCGCCTCATCGAAGGCTTGCTTCGCCAAATGGCAAGCTCTGCAACAGTTTTCAAGAAACCACATTAACAACCAAAAAGGTCTGTGACACGTGATGGTATTTTCATTAATGTTTATTAAACGAATGAGAAACCTTTCAGGAGAGTTCATTATCTCATAGTAGAAAACAGAGAAGTTAAGAGCAAGGCCAAGACGAATCGGGTGGGTCGAAGGAAGCTCTGTGCTTGCAGCTTGTGTTGCAGCCTAATGAAAAAATATATCTTTCAGACCAAAACTCTCCTAATACACAAGTGTTTGAGAAAGAACATAAATAAAAAAAACCTCATAGCCTTTGAGCGACTGTTCAGCGGCTTCCTTCCTCTCTTGCTCTGTCTTAAACTCAGCCAAGTAACGGTAATAATCTCCTTTCCTACAAAAAAAAAAAAAAAACAAATCAAAATTGAGTTTCATTCGGAGATGATGATGATTCAAAAGGAGAGTGTGTAGGTTGTGTGTTTCACATCTTGTAGTAGAAAACGGTGGCTTCTCCTGAGGTAGCGTGAGGAATGAGATGCTGATCGATGATGTTGAGAATGTCTTGGCAGATGTTTGCGAGCTCGTCTTCTACCTTTTGGCGATATCCCTTGATGCTTTTCACGTTCGATTCGTTGCCTTTAGACTCTTCCTTCTGCTCGATGGAAGACATTATCCTCCACGAGGCCCGTCTTGCTCCGATCACGTTCTTGTACCCAACAGACAACAAATTCCTCTCCTCCACCGTAAGCTCGCTGTCCACCCTCGCCACTTTCTTCATCGTCTCCACCATCTCTGCGAATCATCACCAAAATTTTGTGATTTCGATCGCATTATGTTCTTGCAAAAAAGACAAATCTTGATTAATACGTACCGTCGTATCGCTCGGCTTGTTCGGAGAGCTTGGCCATGTAGACGAAGGTCTCTCTATCTTTGTCGGATCCTGACGTCATATTGTTCTGATCGAAAACAGAGGACTTGATTTCTGGGTTTGCTAATTTTTGTTTTTTGGGGAGGTAAATAAATAAAGAATAAAATGATTGGAAGAGAAAGGAGGGAAACAGGGAAGAAATATATAATAAGAGAGGTTTGAAGATGGTTCGCGAATGGCGGAACAAGACTGAATCTCCACCTTGAGATCCGAGGTGCCTAAGTTTCTGCGCAATTCCTGGGTTTTTCTTCCGCAATTTTTTATAACCAACTTAACGAACTTTTCGCTCCCTTGCGACGTTACTACAATTCATTTATTAGATTTTGGATTCACCAATGTACATCAATGGGGATGTAGCTCAAATGGTAGAGCGCTCGCTTTGCATGCGAGAGGCACGGGGTTCGATCCCCCGCATCTCCATTAAAAAATTACTTAATTTTTTTTTTAAAAATTAATTAAAAATTAAACAAAAATTTATTTAAAATAATTATAAATAAAATATATATAATAAAAAAAATGTAAACATTTAAAACAACTTATAATTATTAAAAGAAAAAGATATTTTCATATTTTTTTTTAATTATTAACAATAAGTTCTAAATGGAAATGTACAAACTATTTATGATAAAAATATGTAAATTTTTACAAAATTTTCTAGGATTGTTATTATTAATTATTAAAACAAAAATAAAAAAACTGAAAAATAACAAGATACACAACTTTTTAAGAATGTTAAAAAAAGTTATAATGAAAAAATATAATTATTAAAAATTTGTATTCGCGCAAAAATGTAAAGTAAAAAATAAATATACAGGCAATCTTTCAAAAAAAATGTATAAAACTATATATTTATTATTGAAAAGTTAGAAACAAAAATTTATGATAAAAAATTGATATTTTTTTAAAAATACTACATGAAATATATGTAATAAAAAAAATGTAACGAGATTTTATAATACATTTTCTAAGACTATTATAGTTTCTAAAAAAGATTCGCAATATTAAAAAGTATATTACAAATATAATAGTTAAAATATAAAAACTTTGATACCTTAAAATGCATATATAAAATATATGTGAATTCGTTACATTACATAAATATATTTCTCTCAAATTAGAAAAAAGAATTCAAATATCAAGTATATTAAATTTATAAACAACTAACAAAGAATATTAAAATTTAAAAATAACACAATTAACTATAAATATATAGATATTTTTCATAAAAAAATAACATAATATATATTAGTAAACAAAAAATATATTATATTTTATAATAAAAATATCATTAGATTTTGTTTGAATAAATTTTATTTTTCTGATGTAATGCATATAAAACAATTTTGTAATGAAACTGCTTATATTTTAGCCAAAACTAAAACTCCAAATGGAATCTTTTACTATGATTCAATATCTGAACCTCCAGGACTTTTAAACATTTTTTATCATGATAACATATTATGATAAATAAATATGTTTACGACAAAATAAAATTCACCATAGTAAGAAAGTAAAAGTTAGACCCAAATAATTTTTTGTGGTTTTGAACAATATAAATAGTTTAAAAAAGATACAAATAAGAGTTGTGTCCAAAAAATGCAACCATTTATAATGAAAAGATGCAACCATTTATAATGAAAAGATGCAACCGCAAATTTTGAAACGACACAACTTTTTAAAGTGTAAATAGAATTTATTCGGATTGTTAACAAAAAAAATTAATAACATAATATATATTAGTAAACAAAACACATAATTTCTTGATAATAAAAATATCATTAGATTTTGGTTGATTAATTTTTTTTTTTCTGATGTAATGCATGTAAAACATTCTTGTAATAAAACTTATCATATTTTAGCCAAAATTGGACTCTCAAATGGAATTTTTTTACTCAAATTCAATATCCGAACCTCTATGAATTTTAAACACTTTGTATCATGATAATATGTTATGATAAATAAATAAGTTTACGACAAAAAAAACCCAGTATAGTAAGAAAGTAAAAGTTAGATCCAAATAATTTTTTCTGTGATTTTGAGCAATAAATAATTTAAAAAAAACACAAATTACAGTTGTGATAAAAAATGAAACTATTTATAATGAAAAGATACAGCCACAAATTTTGAAACGACACAAATCTTAAGTGTAAGTGACATTTATTCGGATTGTTTGCGACAAAAAAAAACCCACCATAGTATAAAAAAGTAAAAGTTAGACCGAAATGATTTTTATTCTGTGGTTTTGAGCAATATAAATAGTTTTGAAAAGACACAAATAACAGTTGTAATGAAAAAATACAACCATTTATAATAAAAAGATGCAACTATTTATAATGAAAAAACGCAACCACAAATTTTGAAACGACACAATTTTTTAAAGTGTAAATGCATTTATTCGGATTGTTAAGAAAAACTAAATAACATAATATATATTAGTAAACAAAACACATATAATTCCTTTATAATAAAAATATCATTAGATTTTGGTAGAATAAATTTTATTTTTCTGATGTAATGCATGTAAAACAATCTTGTAATGAAACTACTCATATTTAGCTAAAATTGGACCTCCAAATTGAATCTTTTACTCAATTCAATATCTGAATTTTCAGGATTTTTAACACTTTGTATCCTAATAATATGTTATGATAAATAAATAAGTTTACGACAACAAAAACTCACAATAGTAAGAAAATAAAAGTTAGATCTAAATAATTTTTTCTGTGGTTTTGAGCAGTATAAATAGTTTTGAAAATATACAAATTATAGTTGATGAAAAAATGGAACCATTCATAGTGAAAAGATGCAACTATTTGTAATGAAAAGACACAACTATAAATTTCAAAAAGACACAATTTTTCAAAGTGTATTTGGCTTTTTTTCAATTGTTATTATAAATTTTAAAAAGACATAATTTTTCAAAGTGCATTTGGCATTTTTTCAGTTTGTTATTATAGATATATTAGTTTTTACTTTCTTTTTCCGTATAACAGCATCAGTGGAAGGTCACACCACCCAGTGGGGAAGTAAAGGGTTTAGGGGAGGATGATTAACATCGGAAACCCAATTCGCCGATTTTTCCATCTCCGCCGGCGATTCACTACCGTGTCGACTCAACAGGAACTGACTCCAGCCACAATAACACCGGTAAACCAAAACCATCTCCTCCGCGTCTGTACAATCCTCTACCAACAGCAGAACTCGCCTGACTCGCGGCTCGCCTCGAAGCTCTCCTCCACCGGGTTTCAGCTCAGCCACGAGTTCTTCCTCCAAGTCTGCAACAACTTCCCTCTCTCGTGGCGTCCGGTCCACCGTTTCTTCCTCTACTCGCAGACTCACCACCCGGATTTCTCCCACACCTCCACTACCTCTAACAAGATGCTCGGAATCATCGGTAAATCCAGAAACATGGATCTCTTCTGGGAAATGGCTCAAGAGGCCGGGAAACGCGGATTGGCCAACGATAAGACGTTCCGGGTCGTGTTGCAAACCCTTGCTTCCGCTCGGGAGCTGAAGAAATGCGTCGCCTTCTTCCATCTGATGAACGGGTTTGGGTACTCCTACAATGTGCAGACGCTTAACAGAGCGGTGGAGACTCTGTGCAAGGAGAAGCTCGTCGAGGAAGCCAAGTTCGTCGTTACGAAGCTGAAAGATTGTATCATCCCCAACGAGATTACTTACAGAACGGTGATTGAAGGGTTCTGCGATGTTGGTGATCTGATCGAAGCGTCAAAGGTTTGGAATTTGATGATGGAGGAAGGATTCGAGGTGGATATCGAAGCTGGTAAAAAGATCATGGAGACGCTTTTGAAGCAAAACCAGCTCGATGAAGCTTCGAAGGTCTTCTACGTGATGGTATCGAAAAGGGGTGGAGATTTAGATGGATCTTTCTACAGGATTATGATCGATTGGTTGTGCAAAAACGGCAGGGTCGATTCTGCACGGAAGGTGTTCGATGAAATGCGTCAAAGAGGTGTTAATGTGGATAACTTAACCTGGGCGTCGATAATCTATGGGCTATTGGCTAAACAAAGAGTTGCAGAGGCATACAAAGCAGCCGAGGCGATTCGAAATCCGGATATTAGTATCTACCATGCGTTGATCAAAGGGTTGGTGAAGATTAAACGTGCAAGCGAAGCAACAGAGGTTTTCAGGGAGATGATACAGAGAGGGTGCGAGCCGATAATGCATACGTATCTTATGTTGCTGCAAGGACATTTGGGGAGAAGGGGAAGGAAAGGACCAGACCCGTTGGTGAATTTCGATACTATATTCGTTGGAGGTATGATTAAGGCGGGGAAAAAGTTGGAGACCACAAAGTATGTTGAGAGGACGATGAAGAGAGGGCTGGAAGTTCCTAGATTTGATTACAGCAAGTTCTTGCATTGCTATTCCGATGAGGAAGGTGTGGTGATGTTTGAAGAGATGGCCAAGAAACTCAGAGAAGTGAGCTTGTTTGATTTGGCAGACATTTTCCAGAGGTATGGAGAGAAAATGGCTACACGAGAGAGAAGGAGAGGTAGAGAAGATTTTTAGACACACAGTGTGGTAGGCAGCTTTGTTACCTACTCTGGGATCATCCCAAAATAGGCAGTTTAGCCAAGAAGCTAAAGAGAAGTGGTCGATAATATATGCTATGGAATAGACACAGGGTTCTTTTCAGTTTCTTCTGCAAAAACAAACTGAAAGTTGTCTCAAATTCTGATTAGAAATTGGGTGTGGCCAGAACTTACAAATATAACATCTATTATAAGATTCAGCATGTAAAGTAACACTGCAATATGCTAAAATTACAATTTCTAAGATCCCAAATATGGTCTTCAATACAAGTCCAAATCTTGTATGTATCTTTTAGGCAGAATAAAGAGATGCCACACACCACCAATAGGCAATGACGCTTTGGACTACTCATGTCAAAAGTTGCAATCTCCATGCGTGTGATAAATGCTTTGCGTGACTATTTCCATCATATAGGCATACAAGTGCGTGTTTCTTGACCACAAATTGAAGGCTTATTTTTGATATGTCAAGAAGAAAGAGGTTCTGGATTTTGCAAAAAGCTTGTAATTTGATTTGATCGCGGTACTCAGGGCAACGGGATCATTAACAAGAAACTCAACTGGATTTGGTATGTCCAACGAGTATGCATGATATGATTTTAATGAAAATGCTTCTGTCTTGTCTTCGATAATACTTTAATTAAACATCCAGGCATAAACATCATAAGCATTGTACGAATTTAGTTTAAACATCCAGACATAAACATCATAAACATTGTACGAATTTAGTTTAAGCATCCAGACAAAAGTTAGAAAACAAGGAAAGGTTGCATTCCAAGGAGCTTCCTCGAGCTTTCTACTCCGCACTCATCTCATTTCACCTCAAGAATGAAATCTAAAACAAACAAGGCAAGTTTTGCTTCGTTATCAAGAATCAAGAATCAAGAATCAAGAATAGAATCAAGAACAAAATTAAATAGAATCAAGAACAAAATTATGTACCACGGCGAGGATGGCCCTGGCCGACCCACACGACGACGACGATCATGGACAGTGTGTCTTGGTGGTGTCGTAATAGGCCGAACAGATACTTTGCGATCTCCAATGTAGCTCCCATCAAGAACCCGAACCTTCTCTATTGCGTCAAATCCCTTAACACGCACGGCAGAGCATCTGTAGAAATCAACAAGGACAAGTCTTAAGAGAGGAGCAATTAATAGCTTGAATGCCATTTAGGAGAGGAAGGAGCCACAAACCCCTTCTTGATGACAAAGACTTCAGCGACCTCAACACATGAAGAGAAAAGTTCCCTCGCGGCGACCTGTATCTCAGTATCACTTATGTCATATCCCTGAACAATCATCGTGGTCGTCCTGCAATGGTTGAATTGCAGGGGTATGAACAAACACGTGCAACGACACATCACAAATCTCCAAAAATCAAATATGATTTTACATGTGGTCCGAAAACGGATAAGCCTCGACACAGACATTCCATCCTCCCACGTCACGTCCACTAAGTTTCAACGCCTTGTCTACTGCGTCCTCCCCCACAAGATAAACAAAAGCAGCACACTCATGTTTTCCAATATAAACATCAGTGATGTTTCCACATGAAGCGAAGTGTTTTCTCAACGCACTCTCCACATCCTCGTGAGGAAGCCCACTGTCAAATCCCGTTACGGATATCCTCCCAATGTCACTGCAGATAATATATATTAACAACGACGTGACGAGAACAACACATCGGTTCTTACAAATACAAATCTCAAACAATTTACCGGGCTTTTGGGTTTTGAATGGCTGCATCACACCCCTTCAATTTCATCCCCCTCTCTTTTGAGATCCTCTTCCGTTTCATCCCCTAAGGTACAAACGATCTCATCAGAAATTTCCACTAACTTCAAATATTTCGAGAAACAGGGTTTAAAGAGTGAATAACAAGAAAGCCATAAAGACAACAGTTTTTTTTACTTTGTTGGCGGATTCGTCCATGGAGAAGCTAACAAGAGCGGCTTGCTTAGGTTGATTTTGTTTATCTCTGAAGAAAGGTATTTATAGTTGATTTTGTTCATCATTAGTTTGGGCCTGCACTAAGCCCATTTTTTTCCAAATCTTCCGAACACATCAATAGTTTACCTATTTATATTCGGGTTCGGTTTGGTTTGGTCAATAAAAATTAGTTTGGTTCGGTTCATGTTTGATTCGATTTAGTTCTTCCGTTTGGTTTTCATTCGGGTCATACAACTACATGAGTTGTATAAAGAAATCAGTGAGGATCTATCTGGTGATTCAGAGTTTGATTCAACAAGTGTTACAGAATTGTTAGTGATGGGTTTAGCATCCTTTGCTAAAAGCTTTTCATGAATTGAGATAAGGCCCATTCGAAATCCTACTTCCGTTTTCGGATTTAGATCGGCGCTCATATATGGAAATATCTGAAGATATATTCGAATCGCGAAAGAAAATGGTTCCCAATTCATCTCCAAGAAGTTCGAAGGCTTCTGCGAGTTATGGAAGATACAGCTCAGTAAATCCACCCGTACTATCCTCAAGGGAACCGTCAAGCAGAAACAACCAACAAAACCATCCTCAACGGAATCAAGAAACGACTCGACGCTAAAAAGAAACTTTAGGCCGACGAACTCGATGGTGTACTTTGGTCCCATCGTACAACACCTCGCACCGCCACCAGCAAAACCCTGTTCTTCTTAGCGTACGGATGCGAAGCGATGGTTGCTGCGGAAGCAAACGTCCCGAGCCTTCGACGCATCCTTGCTCCCGAGCATCCAGACTTAACGAGGCAATGCTGATCGACAACTTGGACACATTGGAAGAAAAGCGCGACGAAGCCTTACTCCGGATGCAAAACTACCAGAACCAGGCAACCCGTTACTACAACAAGAAGGTCAGAAACCGCCACTTCGAGGAAGGGGACCTCGTCCTTCGAAAAGTCTACGAGAACACAAAGGAATGACGAGCTGGCAAACTCGGGGCTAATTGGAAAGGACCTTACATCATCATACGAGTCATCAAGCCCGGAGTCTACCGTCTGGAAACAACGCCTGGGGACGAAGTCCCCCGTTCCTGGAACTCGATGAGTCTGAAGCGCTACTACAACTAGAATGATTTCTACAACACCCCCGGGCAACAAAAAAAAAACAAAAAAAAAACAAAAAAAAAACAAAAAAAAACAAAAAAAAAGAGCTCTTACCGAGCTAGTTATCTCTTATGTAATGTGAACTACGAATGGCTTGATCCCATTTTGGGTATGTACGCCGCCTGCGAAGATCCAGCTATAACTTAATAAAATCTTCATATTTTACTAATCTTTCGTGTGCTCCCGAGCTCCGCGCTTTACTACTTTACAAACGCTTCTTAGCTCTATTATACATCGGTGTCCTGGCCAGACATTTGATATAACGCCTATAGTTAAGTTTGATCAATTTAACTCGGCAATAACAAAAGTCAAGTCTTGTCTTGTGCACGTTCCTCTTTGAACAATATGGTGAAACCACCTAAAAGGTCGAAGGGAAAAGTGTGTTCCACTTAGTCCGGGAGTCTTTAAAGCCGAGCCCAGACTCGCACTCTCTAAGCCGTGTATGAAGTAAGCCGAGCCCAGACTTGCACTTACATTCGAACCTAGAAAATTCTAAGTCATATTAACAAGATACGCCGACCTGTTCGCATGTTAATATTTGAACTTATGAATACAGTCGTATGATGCAATGAAAGCCGATTATCACTCGCACGCTCATATTCGAACTAAGTTAAAAAGTCAGGACCGACCCCGTACTATCCTAAGTCATAAATCGATTTACACAAATCCGACTCGAATAAACAAAGCCCTAGAACGGGTACATTTCATTAATTCGTGATAAACCCCGCAACACGGGTACAAACATACAAACTAAGATAAACCCCGTAGCACGGGTACAAAGAAACAAAAGAAACATAAAGGGTCATGCCTCGGGACCCTTGATCTCTCCATCCTCAGATCCAGCCCGGCTTTCATCATCTCGGTTGAACTCTTGACCTTCATCACCGCCTTCTCTGCTATCGGTCTTTGCCCGGTCCTCTTCTCTTGTCTCCCCGATCACATCAAGAACGACACCAGGATTCACATCCTGTTCGGTGGTCGCCTTGACGAGCGCCAGACTCGAGTTAAACTCATGCTGAACGCCTTCCAAATCGGGTACGTCCCTAAGCTGTTTGATATCCTTCGGAGTTAGCCTTCCTCTGTTCGATCCATGATCATCTCCAAGAAGGACCACCGAAGGATGATCTCTCGGAAAGGCCAGCGCGTCATCGGGCACGTCAAAATCCTCATCGAGAAGCTCTATCTTGTCGTACAGCCCGGCCTCGTCATTCAGCTTCTTAAGCTCGACTTTGATATTCTCAATCACTGATGGCGAACATTTAAAACCATTCCGCTCAAAAACCTTGATAGCATCGAGTTGTCCTTCCAGCTGAGCAAGGGAAGTCACGTTCGTGTCTATCTCCTCGCGTTGAGCTATATATGCCCGCGTCTTCCTGATAAGCTTGACATAATGGAAAGACACCGATTCTCGAACGTAAGAAGCCCAGTCTTCCCGGGCTTTGATGAGAAACTCCCTTTCAGCCTCGAATTTCCTCGAGATCGAAGCCAGATCGGCAGTAAGGGACTGGATGCTTTCATCCTTGGACCTCAAAAGAATGTCGCAAGTATCGACCTCGGCCTTCGTCATGGTCAGCTCTCATTCTTTAGCCTTCACAGCGGCCTCTAGCCTCTTCTCTCTTTTAAGGCTCCTCTTCAGAGCACGGTCATACCTCTCGATCGCCGCTAGAGAGATTCTTGGCCTGAAAAAGAACAGGATCGATTATCAGCGTAAGATGGAAACTACCGGAAGCCTAGATATGAAGAACGGGAAAACTTACCCTAGTTTGTGCTGAAGCCAGTCGGACGTAGTCGTCTTTATAAAGAGCTCGTCCATCTTACAGGACGGGAGGGGCAGACCCTTCATCTCCCACGCAAGGCGAGCACTGGACATCTCATTCATATCGATCGGCTGCTTGCCCCGGTACTCAAAGTTAAAGGCATACTTGCCCGGGCAAGAATTAGCTTTCTGCCTCTTTGCAGTTGGTTCGACTCTGGGCTCCTTAGAAACTGGTTCGGGGAGCACTGTGTCGTCTGCTACCCTAGTCTCAGGATCCTCATCAGCACGGGATTTCCCTTCGGCACGGGCTGCATTTTTGGTAACCTTCGCCTTTTTTTTCTCGGCTCTCCTCTGCTTTGAAGTCGTTTTGACAGTGGCCGCATCTTGAACGTTGCCCTCGGCGTGAAGGATAGGATCGACATCACTTTGAACCTCAGCTCTGGAGTTTGGGACCACTCCTGGAGGCGTATTAGCCTGGGTCGATCCGACCGCAGGATTGTTTGCATCCGAGACAAGGGTCTCACCCGACCTCTGCTCAATACCCCTTCCACTCGCAGCCAGCAAAGACTCCTCGAATTCTTTGGCGAAGTCCCTCGTCTTCCTCGGCTTAATCGGCATTTTCTTTGACTTTCGACAAAGATGACCTGACATAGCGGAGTCGTTAGCCCGGGAACATTTCCTAAGAACGGGATGCAATTTGATCGACTTACCTGTTGCTCTTGAAACCCTATCGATGGTAAACTGCGGCCAAGTCTCGTGGCTTAATCTCTGAAAAGCATTCCTGTGCTCGAAGAAACCTTTTGCAGGAGGCTTGATCGGGGTTGCCGGTGTCGCTGTAAAACAAAAACTAAAGTCAGCACGGGATTAAGTAAACACTCTTCAGCTAAAGATCGGCTAGCTACCGATCACATCGGCCCATCTAGTTAGGATCGGGACGTCCGTATCAACTACGATGTTCTCGTTGATCTTCACGAAGAAATAACAATCTCGCCAGCTGTCGACCTTCTTCGACGACTTCTCGGTAACTATGTTCAGCTTCCTCTTCATACTAACGTAGAACGAACCCCGGTTCCTAATATTCCCCCCTTGTGGCTTGATATCGGTCATCTTTTCGAAGATATCGGTAGTGAACGACAGCCCATTCTCCTGAGCAAGGACCGTCAGGCTAACTACGTGACGAATGCAGGAATGTGTAGTCTGTGAGATCGGCATCCCTCTCCTCGCACAGTACTCCAAAAGAACCCGAGGCAACGGAAACCACAGATGGGCATACAGGAAGAAGTGCTCGAACAAGCATATGTAGCCCGGCGGTACATCCCAAGGTCGTTGCTCGGGACTTGGACCACAAATTTGATCTCAGGCCCGATCCTACACACTTCCTTTAGCAGATTCAACGACCTCCATGTAGTACGGGATGGAATTACGCCAAAGGTGTTATCAGAGCTCGGGGCGTTCTTCTTGGACAATCTCAAATACTTGTAAGAAGCCGGAGTGTATTTGTCGAGAATCCCGGTCTCTCATGATTCCTCTGAAATCCCATGGCTAACAGGCTCGGATTTGATGTCGGCTTCGTCTTGACGGCTAAAACATTAGCGATCCCGACCTCATCATCGTTGCCCCGATCAGATACATTGACGGCACTCCCAGCTTTGTCTGATTCATCTCTTAGCTCGGGTACCTCAACCGGAACCCGTACCGTCGATGGCCCGGCATTGCCTCGAGCCACGTAACCTAACTGTCCCTCCTCGAAGCGCTTCGCCGCGTGCTCCTGCTGGTCTCTCTTCATCTCGACATAATTTATTCCCATCGCCCGCGCAAACATTTGGCCGGACATATCCGATCCCGAGCTAACACTGCCTGCCGATTCGACTGGCGAGGAAACCACTTTCTTTCATGTAGACGATTTGTGAGGATTCATCTTCGATCTAAAACAATCCCGACCTAAACTTTACCGGACGCCCCGATCTATCCTAGGACTACCGGACCAACAGAACAAAAATTCTAGAGAGAGAAAAAAGAGAGAAGGGAGAGCGAACCTGATTTGGACATTTTCGCGAGAAGTAAAGAAATGAAGACCCTCGCCCCTTTTTTATACGAAATCGACACAGTTTTTGAGAAACCCGTA